TTGTTAAGGACAGAAGGAAGGAAAACGGGCGACTTGAGCAGCAGACTAACTGATGATGGGGGGTAAAAACAACACAGATTTTTTTTTCTTACTGATACTATCATAGACACTGAAATTTTATTTGACACAGTTACATTACACAATTTAAATGACACAAATTGCATACTGTGATTTTATGTAAACATAGTGGTTCCTATAGATCAAGGCTCTACAAACTTAAAATCTTAATGAAACCCTGAAAACAAACATCAGTGGCAAACCTTTCATCCCCATCTCTGCTGTACATATACACTTGCACTCTCCATTCACTTTCTGAATCATCTTTCAATTCAATAGTCCATCTGAAATTTATATTCAAAGTTGTGTGCTTTGTTAGAAATAAATGAAAAACAACAAATAAAATTATGGAAGCACTACAATTTGGTTCTAAATCTGAATAATCATTGTCCATGTCCTTATACATGTTATCGTCTATATATAACTCAAAGACTTTTTTGGAACAGTTCTCTCCCTTAGAAGCCTCTTTTGGGATAAGAGATACACAAAAAAAAGGTAGCTTATCCAAAGGCCTAACAACAATCAATGAAGAAAGTCATACAAAAGCATCATATTAAAAAGATTTCAGGATTCAGTGTCAGAATTATATCAGAACACATAATCTAGCTCAGAAATCCCTAACCATTTGATTTAAGGAGGTATGCTACCTTGCTGTGCCGATACACCTTATTTTCAAACAAACACAAATCAAAAAGCACCTAAATTTAAGTACAGAAATTCAGATTTTGTTAATCAACAACAAAATGCGTTATGAGAAAATATCACAACAATCAGTTTAACCAAATTAGGCTTAAAGTATTAAACACCCGTGTTCCTTAGCAATTATTACTAGAGTGATTGCACAACCTTCCAAACTTCTACTTCTTTGATATTTCACACATTTCCAAATAAAATAGGTGAAAGGGATGGAAATAAGGGCAATAAAAATAACTCTATGACAGGTACTGCTTCAAAGGGAAATAACTTTCACAAAAAGTACAGTTTAGGCAGCATATACCCTTAATATCAGGACAATACAACTTGTACACATTCTCCCTCAAAGTGAAAAAAGATAGAAATACCTAAACTACATACTGCTAAGTTTGCAATAGGGTTTAGATTTGGAAGTCTGAATTTACCTACAAGGTAAATAGAGTACCCTGTACACTGTATATATTCATCATTAACTGCAAGTTACATCATAGAAAGGTGTTTATTGTTACATTTTTAATTATGTATCTACTCATTAATGATGGTTTGCAGAAAAACTCCACAACATAATTCAACTGTATAAAGCAATAAGACAGGAGTATTACAGTAAATCCTCTCTCTCACTACTTCACAGCATAAACAAAGGGCCATAACTCTGTATATTTACGGTGACAAATGTACAGTCTCCACTACAGTGGTTTGGGGAAATGGGGTTCTTAGTGTAAGTGTAATAGGTTTGAGAAATGCATAGTAACATGGAAATGAAATCTTATACTGGGACAAAGGTTTAGTGTGGAAATTGAAAGACAATCGGAATACCTTACTTTACATAGCTACCTCTACAATTACACTAATAGTTTGGTTTCATATATGGTTAAACCATTTCTATATACAGTTAATAGGGAGTGTGTTTAGCTTGATTATCAAACAAAGCAAATTAAGAGGACAGAAAGAAAATAGAAATCATCTTCAAATAGTACTCTACACAGAAATTAATTGTAAAAGATGGTCTCAATTTTCAAAATTAAAAAAAAAAAAAAAAAAAAATAAAAACAAAAAAAAAAAAAAAAACAAAAAAACCACCAAATTCTTTAAAACAACATTGTTAATTCAACACATTTTTTTCAGTATGATGTGTCATAATTACAGAAATTGTTACATAAGAACTAACAGACCCTCATAACTTTCCAAATAGACACTAACCCAACCATGAGTGCTTCAATGTAGAAAATCAGTCACAGTTTACAGACTTTCATACCACAGGTGCTTCCTCACTGAAAATCAGGAGAGCTCTGCAGACTGTCACACCACAGGTGCTTCTACCTAGAATATCAGGAGAGCTCTGCAGACTGTCACACCAAAGGTGCTTCTACGTAGAATAATCAAGAGAGCTCTGCAGACTGTCACATCAAAAGTGCTTTTACGTAGAATATCAGGAGAGCTCTGCAAATTGTCACACCAAAGGTGCTTCTACGTAGAATATCAGGAGAGCTCTGCAGACTGTCACACCAAAGGTTCTTTTACGTCGAATATTAGGAGAGCTCTGCAGACTGCCACACCAAAGGTGCTTCTATGTAGAATATCAGGAGAGCTCTGCAGACTGTCACACCAAAGGTGCCCCCATGTACAAAATCAAAGGGCTCTGCTGACTTTTAAACTAAGGGTGCTTCCTTGTAGAAAATTGGGAGAACTTCAAAAGCTTTCACACCAAAGGAGCCTCCATATTGAAAATCAGAAGAGCTCTACAGAATTACATACCAATACATAGCTCCCGGTCATAAATCACAGACCCATGTGGACAAAACAAATGCATTTGAAAGGGATAAATACATGTACTTGCAATAAAAATACAATGAAAATCTCGCACAAGCATAAAGCAAGTCTGTCACACATGAAATTAATACTTAACTTCATAATTTATGTGATTTACGAAAATCCTTAATTTCATTATCGCAATATATTTACATTTACATTTGTACACAAATCATTTTCAAACAAAGTTACTATCAATATTTCCATCTTCTTCAACGAAAAAAAATGTAATGGTACATCTTTCTAATAGACAGTTACAAGTGAAAAGTCTGGAAAGAGTCCATTTTTCTAATTGACCAATTTTACTATCCTAACAAGCAAACAGTGCAATAATTGAATCCAAATTGCAATGATTTTGCAGAAAAGACCCATTCTGAATCTAAATCACACATTAAATAGTTTTCTGACAGTAAACAATTAGGTATAATAAAAAAAACCTCTGTTTTTCATTACATAACCTCTTAAAAAAATTAGTTAAGAAGACAGCAAAATATTTCAGTTGCACAGCTTCTAAAACATCAACGGATTAAAATATGTACTGGTATACAATGAACACACATTTGTGAACTGATGCTTTGGAGTAAGTTAAGTCATTGGCAAGAAATTGTCAACTGCGATACATTAGATATATCCAGCTAAAAACCCGAGGTGCCAAAACATAACAAATGACTAAAAGAGGGGTGGGCTTATTACAGAACAATGGAATAGCATTATTAGTTGGCACTTCAACTGAATATATGATTACCAGACGTACCTGGTATATACTTTACTTTCTTGCTGTCGGTAATATTATTGGGAACATATCTTTGTTATTTTGTATCAGAGTTCATTGTAAACGAAACTGTGTTTTTAACAACTAACACCTGTATAGAAAGTGTAAAAATGATTCAATTTTGCACCCTGAGAACAAACTTCCTTGGGCTACTGATTCTCTTCAAAGAAATATTACTTTTAAGTGAAAAGACAGTAGATAACTGATTCTTTTCCATTCCAACTGAAAAATAAGAATGCAAAGAAAAAAATTAAAAAGTTTGCAAAGAATACCAGTAACCTTTCACTCTCTTATGTATATCATAACCATTTTTTTGAGGAGCTAAAATTTCATGTTTTACCAAAAATATACATTTTCATCGGTAATTTATTCTGTGTATAGATCTTACAAAACCCACTCGTACTATAATCCACATCAACATTTATCTGTTTTCGTGGACACAAAATTTATGAATTAAGAGTAACTATCAATTCAACAAAAATAAAACCTTCTAGAATTAATGATTTGACAATGACTTATAGAGAAATCGATTGAGGAAAAAACATTAATTTTCCTGTGGGTTTCAAACGCTCTGACGACTTGGAAGAAGTATTAATTTAAACATGATCAATGAAATGCTTGTTGTCAGTAATTGTGTATAATGGGTGGTCAACTATTGCATCTTTGGTTTTAAAGTCAAGTAGTGTAAGTAAACAGGTACTTATGTACAACAAAAAACAGCTACAATGTATATTCTTTTCAATTACCGATGGGAAGTCGAAAAAATACACAACACATAGATGAAACTACATAACACATAATTATATAAAAGACCAGCATATATCAAGCTTAAAATTAAAACAAATTTAGCAGTAAAACCCTTTAATGGAACTCACACTTCAATAATCCCTTCAAAAATCTGTATCAATGGAAACCAAACACTACTTATGGTGCATTTTGCCCTACATATTCAACTTTGAACCACATTTCAAATCTTTCAGAAATTCTTTTGACATTTTCTCATCAAGCCAACTGCAGCATAGCAGCTCCAATATTGATCTAGATGTTTTTACTTTTGTCTGAAACAATCAGAGTTGTGGGGCAACGAATCCGGATTTGGTTTACCTTGTATCCATCCTACATTTCCAAACCTAACCAGAATTTTTGGTGATATAATTGCTCCGAAGAATTCAGACTGTCTTCAGCCAATCACTGCCTGATCTTGCCATATTTTCTGACAGTTGCCAACTTCGGAAGTTAAGGCTCGTAACCAAGCAATTTAGTCAATCACTACTTCAGAAAAGATATCAGATATTTCAAAGCCCCGGAATTGAAAAAAAAATTGCATTATGGATATATCAAGTTGCCATAGAATATTTCATCTCATATATCTAAGTTTCAGAACTAAAAATTCTCTGTGTGAATAAAATTGATATAAAAAAATCAATTTTAAAACAAATTTCACATGTTTCAAGCTAGTTTTAGTATTGGCTTGAGAGACCTATCTAAAAACAAATTAATTAAACTGCTAATTAAAAAGCTGAAATTAATTTTTTTAAAGGAGATATTTTCATTATGTATTGCAAAAGTTATTCTTTTCCTTATGGAAGTCAAACCCTATGTGAATGAAACCTTATGTGAATGAAACACACAGTTCACATGTAACATAATTAAAACAAAGGATGTATTACTTATCTTACATATTCAACACAGAGGTTAAAATAGGTCTGGATATTTATCATTAAAGAGGAGGGCATAAAAAAAATTGAAACTCAAGAATTTTTCATTTAATTTTCTCTTTCCAAAAAATTCATCTGATAAACATTGTATGTGTTTGACTATCACAAATATTTAAAGAAAGGGATATTGGCTGTTAAAAAATAAAATGGAAAGCGACAGCTGGTTATCATTAGACACACAACACTTCTGCCATATGTTTACAAAGTATAAAATCACATCCTTGAATAACACACAAAAAGTCACAGCTGTAGATGTACCTAGGGGGGGCCACTATCAGCTACGCTTCATCGACGTGGAATATACAGAGATGAATGAGTCGGAACCACCAGCAGCCAGTTTGACCTGGAGATAGAATAAAAAATTTTGAATATTGAGAACATTACCTGAATACTGTAAATCACTGAAGATTTCATGAATACTTTTTTTCGCAACTCATCTTTGCAGATATATTCGCGAATACATTATATCATTAACGCTGATCTTGAAATGACTTCGAATTCAAGACTGATGATCTACTGGAGACGTAAATTCTGGAAAATTTCTGTATCAGCAACAGATAGTTTCATATTGGCCGCCATTTTGTTTATGAGAGAAATATAAGCGACTAACAGTGAAGGATTATTTTATCTATAATAATAAACTTTATTTATTCCACAACAATTGTGAAACAAGTTTTTCCGACTTAAATTAATCACTCTTCTTGGCCCCAATTGTGCTTTAAATTAAAATTTTTAGTCAAATAGGATTTAGTAAAACTTGTCTATTTGTGTTATAGCACGACAACAACCCTCCCTACCTTATAAGGATGGAAGGCCAGACAACTGATGGCACCAATTCTCTGTCCGAGGAAGCCCTCATGGTATTTAATGGTACTCAGACTGTCCCCTGACTGGTTATAAACACCAATGTACTGGTTCATAGACCCACTGAAACATACAGCACACAATGTAGTGACTACAATCAAACCATGTCACATCATCAACGTTACTGATTTACAGACACTGAAACACAATCAAACCATGTCACATCATCAACGTTACTAATTTACAGACACTGAAACACACAGCACACAATACACTATATACAGTTATGCATTATCAAAAAAGGATGTCAAATGATTACTGTTTATGTTCTAGAGACCCATTGAAATAAACTGCACAGAATATTGTGATTTTTATCCAAAAAAAGGTACCACCTTGTCCATGTCACTGGGACATAGATCCCATGATGACTTTTATCAAATGATCTGACCACGCCATTGATGTGGCTACATAGACCCACAGAAACATACAGCACACAATATTGTGAATTTTATCAAATGATGGTGTCCTATATTCAATGTTTCATAGACCCATATCTCGTAAGAGGCAACTATTTGATAAAGTAACTCCAACTGGATTTAACATTAACAAATATGACTTATCTGAGGATGCAGTTTTGCCACAGACCAACCCAAAAGGGAGAATTCGAATACTGGGAATCTAACAAGAATCTAGCGGAACACATTACAAAAACATTTTTAATCTTTACAGTAGATTTTCGGGTCACCACCAAATGGTTTTGATGTAACAGGTGTTTGTGAAATATCTATCTAGATTTCTGACTTTCAGTGTACTACATGATACAGGAACTTACCATGCTATAACATCAGCTAATTTATGCATATCAACAGCAGTTAGTCCTTGTTGTAGATTTAACACACGGACTGACTCGGTAAACCTTGGATCCCAGAACCTCACGTCACCACCATTGCTGAAACAGGTATACAGTATAAGACCAAGGAAAGACATAGCAGAAGACTAAATAGGTTTACAGGTAACTTATTTGTAAAAATCTTCAAAAATAAAAAGAACCTGCCTCTTCATTGGGACTGATTCAGGTTTGAGATTTGAATATCAATTTGTAGATTTTAATTTTTATCTTGAAAATCTGGGAAAAAATCAGTGTTCTATTTCAGACACCTTACAGAAAATTCATAAAAATTGGAAACTTGAAAATATGAAAGGCTTCTCTCTGGAGTAAAATTGGTTTTAGCGAAAAGTCTGAAAGTCTGAAAATGTATCAATACATCATGGGCATGGTTTTCATGACAGCTTTTTATTCCTTCAAATCAGAAAGTCGAAACATTTTAGACCAAATCTGTGATTTTTTGTTTTAAATATGCGTTGAAAATAATTGTATGATGCAATGATTTTATTCCCCAATCCATTTTGCTTAACAGGAAATAAATACTTCCCACATATTGACCTATGACCCTAGATATCTTGACCTTTACCTTGTGCTGACTATCTTGCCTTCTGACCCCTTCTGAAGGTGAACCTTGAGGACTCTATGGTTGTGTTCCCTGAGGGTCATCACTCGACTGTCAATCAAAATAATATGAATCAGATATGGTTAATCTGACAAATATTTCAAGTTATTAAAACAGAACTAGCTTATCTTGGAACCATTTATTGCAAGCCTTGTCAGCTTAACTTCTCAACATAAATGCACCTTTAAACTTGAGTTATTCTCTAATTTGACTAATTTGTGAAGTTTGCTCCAAATCTTTTTTGAAACAAAGTCATTAGAAAATGCATGTAACAGAAAGGTAGGTCAAAGAAAGCTAGGGGCACTTTTGCGTAAGCAGTGGAAACAGTTGGACCAGTTGAACCTGCAAAAAAAGCATTAGGTACAGATTGGGACTGAGGCTGGACTGCGGAATATTTGGCATGTGCAGTTTGATATATCCAGCTATACCTGTCCAAAAACTAACTTGCTGAATATCATTAGTTTTCAAAATTTCAGCATAAAAACTAGTGTTGGTGTACTCACATATTTCAGGGAACATTGTGCTATAAAGTATGAGTGAAATGGATGGTTTACTTTTAGTAAACTGTCTTATGCTAGACAGGAAATTCTGAAGCTATGCATCTTGAGCTTTATTTTGAGATTTATGAGGTCCAACACCCCGTACATGTGCATGCATGTATAGTTGAATAATTCTGGACCACCTACATTACGCTAATGCAATCTGAGTCACTGAAATGCATGTATCAGAAATCTAGGCCACAGAGATGTTTGTAACAGACACCTTGGTTACAGAAACGTTTACTCACCATTCTGTTGGCCCCAGCCTCCTGTCAAATAGACGAACAGTACCATCCCCACAACCAGCTATGATGAGTGAACGCCCAACAGAATCTGACGCAAGGCTCGTCACACAACTGTCTGCGCCTGTGGGTATGTCCTACAATATAAACACGTAAGTGCAATAAATAGGATTTTACATTTTATCATAATTTATGGGTACTCAAATAGATAAAAAACAAATGTGGGTAAGTAACATGTCACAAAATCCAGCTGCTCAACAAACTTGATTGATTTTTATACAATATTATTAAATGATACAAGATCAAAGATTCTAGAGAAATCATGTCACCATACATTCTTATAGACCTTCAACAATTTAATTAATTTCATCTCTTCTTTTAATTTGTCTTAATCTCTATAGTAAGTGAATAATGAGTTAAAATTGTTCAGAAATTCACACAGCTCTGATTGGTCAGTAAGTGAGGATATCATTCATTGTAATGAAAAATATGATATTGAATAATTGCAAAACACCTGTTTGGATTTTCTTTAGTCACCAGACAGCATACAAATTGAATATGCAAATTCAAATAACCTAAGGAACTGATAATCCCTCCCTACATTCCAAGAACTTGATTTGAGTACAATCCCTCCCTACATTCCAAGAACTTGATTTGAGTACAATCCCTCCCTACATTCCAAGAACTTGATTTGAGTACAATCCCTCCCTACATTCCAAGAATCTGTGATAACAGTTTGCTATTGCCACAGTGAAAACATACAAGGTCTAGCAGTTATCTTATTCTAGCACTTTTCATGCTGACAACATTTCTCTACATTTTGATTTAGATGATAGCAATTTGTGGATGTTATATAGAATCATTGTGGATGTTATATAGAAATCATTGTGGATGTTATATAGAATCATTGTGGGTGTTATATAGAAATCATTGTGGATGTTATATAGAAATCATTGTGGATGTTCATTGTGGATGTTATATAGAAATCATTGTGGATGTTAGATAGAAATCATTGTGGATGTTATATAGAAATCATTGTGGATGTTATATAGAAATCATTGTGGATGTTATATAGAAATCATTGTGGATGTTATATAGAAATCATTGTGGATGTTATATAGAAATCATTGTGGATGTTATATAGAAATCATTGTGGATGTTATATATATAGAAATCATTGTGGATGTTATATAGAAATCATTGTGGATGTTATTGTGGATGTTATATAGAAATCATTGTGGATGTTATATAGAAATCATTGTGGATGTTATATAGAAATCATTGTGGATGTTATATAGAAATCATTGTGGATGTTATATAGAAATCATTGTGGATGTTATATAGAAATCATTGTGGATGTTATATAGAAATCATTGTGGATGTTATAAAGAAATCATTGTGGATGTTATATAGAAATCATTGTGGATGTTATATAGAAATCATTGTGGATGTTATATAGAAATCATTGTGGATGTTATATAGAAATCATTGTGGATGTTATTGTGGATAGAAATCATTGTGGATGTTATATAGAAATCATTGTGGATGTTATATAGAAATCATTGTGGATGTTATAAAGAAATCATTGTGGATGTTATATAGAAATCATTGTGGATGTTAATAGAAATCATTGTGGATGTTAATAGAAATCATTGTGGATGTTATATAGAAATCATTGTGGATGTTATATAGAAATCATTGTGGATGTTATATAGAAATCATTGTGGATGTTATATAGTAATCATTGTGGATGATGCTATATAGAAATCATTGTGGATGTTATATAGAAATCATTGTGGATGTTATATAGAAATCATTGTGGATGTTATATAGAAATCATTGTGGATGTTATATAGAAATCATTGTGGATGTTATATAGAAATCATTGTGGATGTTATATAGAAATCATTGTGGATGTTATATAGAAATCATTGTGGATGTTATATAGAAATCATTGTGGATGTTATATAGAAATCATTGTGGATGTTATATAGAAATCATTGTGGATGTTATATAGAAATCATTGTGGATGTTATATTGTGGATGTTATATAGAAATCATTGTGGATGTTATATAGAAATCATTGTGGATGTTATATAGAAATCATTGTGGATGTTATATAGAAATCATTGTGGATGTTATATAGAAATCATTGTGGATGTTATATAGAAATCATTGTGGATGTTATATAGAAATCATTGTGGATGTTATATAGAAATCATTGTGGATGTTCATTGTGGATGTTATATAGAAATCATTGTGGATGTTATATAGAAATCATTGTGGATGTTCATTGTGGATGTTATATAGAAATCATTGTGGATGTTATAAAGAAATCATTGTGGATGTTATATAGAAATCATTGTGGATGTTATATAGAAATCATTGTGGATGTTATAGTGGATGTTATATATATAGAAATCATTGTGGATGTTATATAGAAATCATTGTGGATGTTATATAGAAATCATTGTGGATGTTATATAGAAATCATTGTGGATGTTCATTGTGGATGTTATATAGAAATCATTGTGGATGTTAAATAGAAATCATTGTGGATGTTATATAGAAATCATTGTGGATGTTCATTGTGGATGTTATATAGAAATCATTGTGGATGTTATATAGAAATCATTGTGGATGTTATATAGAAATCATTGTGGATGTTATATAGAAATCATTGTGGATGTTATATAGAAATCATTGTGGATGTTATATAGAAATCATTGTGGATGTTATATATATAGAAATCATTGTGGATGTTATATAGAAATCATTGTGGATGTATATAGAAATCATTGTGGATGTTATATAGAAATCATTGTGGATGTTATATAGAAATCATTGTGGATGTTATATAGAAATCATTGTGGATGTTATATAGAAATCATTGTGGATGTTATTGTGGATGTTATATAGAAATCATTGTGGATGTTATATAGAAATCATCATTGTGGATGTTATATAGAAATCATTGTGGATGTTATATAGAAATCATTGTGGATGTTATATAGAAATCATTGTGGATGTTATATAGAAATCATTGTGGATGTTATATAGAAATCATTGTGGATGTTATATAGAAATCATTGTGGATGTTATATAGAAATCATTGTGGATGTTATATAGAAATCATTGTGGATGTTATATAGAAATCATTGTGGATGTTATATAGAAATCATTGTGGATGTTATATAGAAATCATTGTGGATGTTATATAGAAATCATTGTGGATGTTATATAGAAATCATTGTGGATGTTAAATAGAAATCATTGTGGATGTTATAAAGAAATCATTGTGGATGTTATATAGAAATCATTGTGGATGTTATATAGAAATCATTGTGGATGTTATATAGAAATCATTGTGGATGTTATATAGAAATCATTGTGGATGTTATATAGAAATCATTGTGGATGTTATATAGAAATCATTGTGGATGTTATATAGAAATCATTGTGGATGTTATATAGAAATCATTGTGGATGTTATATAGAAATCATTGTGGATGTTATATATATAGAAATCATTGTGGATGTTATATAGAAATCATTGTGGATGTTATATGTTATATAGAAATCATTGTGGATGTTATATAGAAATCATTGTGGATGTTATATAGAAATCATTGTAGAAATTCATTGTGGATGTTATATAGAAATCATTGTGGATGTTATATAGAAATCATTGTGGATGTTATTGTGGATGTTATATAGAAATCATTGTGGATGTTATATAGAAATCATTGTGGATGTTATATAGAAATCATTGTGGATGTTATATAGAAATCATTGTGGATGTTATATAGAAATCATTGTGGATGTTATATAGAAATCATTGTGGATGTTATATAGAAATCATTGTGGATGTTAATTGTGGATGTTATATAGAAATCATTGTGGATGTTATATAGAAATCATTGTGGATGTTATATAGAAATCATTGTGGATGTGGATGTATAGAAATCATTGTGGATGTTATATAGAAATCATTGTGGATGTTATTGTGGATGTTATATAGAAATCATTGTGGATGTTATTGTGGATATATAGAAATCATTGTGGATGTTATATAGAAATCATTGTGGATGTTATTGTGGATGTTATATAGAAATCATTGTGGATGTTATATAGAAATCATTGTGGATGTTATATAGAAATCATTGTGGATGTTATATAGAAATCATTGTGGATGTTATATAGAAATCATTGTGGATGTTATATAGAAATCATTGTGGATGTTATATAGAAATCATTGTGGATGTTATATAGAAATCATTGTGGATGTTATATAGAAATCATTGTGGATGTTATATAGAAATCATTGTGGATGTTATATAGAAATCATTGTGGATGTTATATAGAAATCATTGTGGATGTTATATAGAAATCATTGTGGATGTTAAATATAAATCATTGTGGATGTTATATAGAAATCATTGTGGATGTTATATAGAAATCATTGTGGATGTTATATAGAAATCATTGTGGATGTTATATAGAAATCATTGTGGATGTTATATAGAAATCATTGTGGATGTTATATAGATTGTGGATGTTATATTGTGGATGTTATATAGAAATCATTGTGGATGTTATATAGAAATCATTGTGGATATAGAAATCATTGTGGATGTTATATAGAAATCATTGTGGATGTTATATATTGTGGATTTGTGGATGTTATATAAAATCATTGTGGATGTTATATAGAAATCATTGTGGATGTTATATAGAAATCATTGTGGATGTTATATAGAAATCATTGTGGATGTTATATAGAAATCATTGTGGATGCACTAATTTGCTAAAAAAAATTTGGTTGCACTAAAGTTTGTTTACAGTAATCCAAAACAATTATCTTCTAATCCTATTTGGATTTTTTAAAATTTTTTTTCAAATTAAGGACTAAAAGAATATGTTTACATGAAAACCTGAGAAATATCTGTTCACCTTAATCAACAGCAGTAGCTAGAGCTGTATGAGGATGAAGGGCATGGCAGATAGAGATGACAAATCACAGATTAAAAGAGGTGTTATAAGTCATTGGACTGAACTAAAAGTATGGTTCTAGTTTATCCATGTCATGTTAAACCATAACAACCCATCTGTATATCAATACAGTAACTGTGACCTTCACCTTCCATATGCCAACCTCTTACTTAGATAGACAACAACTACTGCTACACTGACCTGTAGTTTGGTTTCTGACCGGGAGTCCCAGATTTTGATGGTCCTAACGTCCCCTGATGCCAGTAACATGCCCGACTCCTGCTCCCAGTCTATCACCAGTCCAGAGCCTGTAATTAGCACAATTCACTTTTTATAAATCATACATATATTTGACAATTTTTTTTTAAATCTTTTGAAATTTTTTTTTCAAAGATTTAACATAATAAGAAAAATACTAACAACACTCCATTTTTATCAAGACACTCTCAGACACAAACAAGATAGACAAGATTGAAGGAGTTAGAGAGAGAATGGGGGAGGGGCACCATTTCCTATGTACTGGTAACTACATAATAATAATAATGAATAACCAATGGGTTAGTCAGCAATATCACGACAATGGTTACATAAAATATCAATGAACAAAATAATAATTACAGAGAGTATTAAAGCAGATTTGTGTTCATAATAACACTAACAATCAATAAGTCTAACATAAGGTGCCATTTTCTCCAGGTATGGGTTCCCAAAGAATAACCACCAACTGTACCAGTGCCTGGCAGATCCCTGTATATAAGGTTAAGAGTAAAAACTACTGTCCTACCTCTAGAGAGTGGGATCATGTCAGAGAGAGCCTGGAAGGCCGACACCAATTCCTCATTGACTAGGTAGTTCCTCCATATCCGAACCGCTCCATCATCTGACAAACAAAATATTGATAAAAATTCTTTCTATGAGCCTATTTCCCCTTAATAGTCTTCAGACAGAGTTTTTGTTTCTGTTTTATATCCCTAAACCCATACAAACAAAAACACTTGCTTTTCTGTTTTAAACAATTAAATCAGTCTGGTTGATCATAAGAAATTCAATACACTATTAATTTGAAATATTAACACTTACAGTACACCTAAAAGATGATGCCAAGATCTCATTTTCACAGTCGACTATAACCAAGCTTAAAATGTAACAAAAGGCCCAATGGGCCTGAATCACTCACCTGGTAGTCAATGTGTAAATATCACAAATACATTGACATGTACATCATTGGCATTCAAAGTGGGCAGATCTAATCAATTCTAACCAATTTTCCCAACAAACAGCTTATAAGACTTAACTATAAACAGTGACAGATATGACTTGGATTATCAGCAAAATACCATGCTTCTATGCCTTGTGGTTAGTCAGAAATAGTTGTTAGGTTTTTCAACAATTTGACCCCTGTGACTTGAATAAGGGTCAAGGTAATTTCTTGTCATAAACTTTGTAGAACTTTATCCTAGGTGCATGTCAGCCAAATAACATGATTTTCTGTCTTATTATTTGTCAGAACAAGTCACTTTAATGTTTTATCAAATTTGCCCCCTGTGACCTTGAATATGGGTCAAGAGCATTTCCTTTCACATTTGGTCTGCTGGTTATCGAGAAGAATTTCTTAAATGAGAAAGTTGACGCTGGACAGACCAAGAATGGATGCAGCACACAATGGTGCATGCTCACTTGACCCTTCGGGCCAGAGGAGCTAACTAGACATTCTGATCAGCTCATACCTGAACCCGTCAGCATTAAGGTATCGTCATGGGCGTTGAGGAACTCCACAGAGGTGATCTTGGTGTGTTTTGGATTTTCATTACATATACTGCCCAGTTTGGTACCCTGTTCCCAATTCCAGAAACTATAAGAAAGATATGATATGATAAAATTGTCAATAAGGTAAAACCTGCTACAGTTTACATTGTCTTCACTTTCATGTTCATCCAAATCCTTTCTCTTCATAAAACACAGTAAAACTTTGTTAACTCAAACTCGAAAAACTAGAATACTCCGCTTAACTAGGAACACTTTGTTGTAAATGTTCTTTACTGATCGTACTCAGGCCAATTCCTTTGATATTCAACTGAGGAAATACTCTTGTATCAGTAATTCTTTACCTTTTCTGAACACCTGTCACTGAGCCATGTCTATGTGGGCACGCTTACCTGACCATTTCCTTGTCGGCGACAGCCATGAAGGACTCGTAGGGGTGGAACTTTATCACAGAAGGTATACCTTGATTTCTATTTACAAATACTTGGTCATCCAGTCGATTGAACCCTACAAAGGCAAACCTCAAAATTAAAGGTTGGCACTGAATATATTGTCATATCTACTTCTGCTGGAAACGAACTCAGATAAAGTTTGGAGTACTCATCAACCATTGGTAGAACTTTTCTTTTTGTGAAAAGTTTCCTACAAAATTTGCACAAAATATAAAAGAACATGAAACTTTTCTTGCAGTAACATGGCAGACTCCAGCATTTCAGAAGATACACATTTCATATTTTCTAGTTATTCAGATAATGTGAGTGTAGATGTTCTATTTATGTTCATCCTTTTAAGTGTCGGTCTTTAGTACAGTTCATTTACAAACAAGAGATCCCAGAGGGATCTTGGCGCCCACCATTTGAGGATCTGTTTTCAGTTCTTGAAGATTTGTTTATTTTTTTTTGTTTGTTACAGGTGTTGTAAATGTTCATGAACTGGTCTTCATTGAATGCACTCAATGATGGCACAAGATATTTTTATTAAGCACTTATTAGCAAATATCATTTAAAAAAGATCCCAAAGTATTATTAGATAGCAGTCAGTTACAGGTGGATAATGGACAATATGCTTGTGCTGTCTTAATATCGACATCCAAGATGGCTGCCTGTGGGCCACCTTGATTTCAAATCAGTCAGGGAAACCAATATCTATGAAATATCAGAAGGATCCATCCAGTACTTCCTCAGATATAGCAGTAACAAGATTTTAATCTCAAAACAGGCAGCCATCTTGATTTCGGATCAGTCCAAAAAGGTATAATGCACAACTTGGAACCAAAGGGAACCTGCATATGAAATTTGAGAAAGATCCATCCAGTACTTTCCAAGAAATAGCAGTAACAAACTTTTACATTCAAAATCCAAGATGGCCACCTGTCTGCCATCTTGAATTCGAATCAGTCTAAAAAAGGTACAATGCACAACTAGGGACCAAGGGGAACCTGCATATGAAATTTGAGAAAGATCCATCCAGTACTTTCCAAGAAATAGCAGTAACAAACTTATACTTCCAAAATCCAAGATGGCCACCTGTCGGCCATCTTGAATTCGAATCAGTCCAAAAAAGGTACAATGCACAACTAGGGACCAAGGGGAAACTGCATATGAAATTTGAGGAAGATCCATCCAGTACTTTCTCAGAAATAGCGGAAACAAACTTTTACTTCCAAAATCCAAGATGGCCACCTGTCAGCCATCTTGAATGCGAATCAGTTCAAAAAAGGTACAATGCACAACTAGGGACCAAGGGGAACCTGCATATGAAATTTGAGAAAGATCCATCCAGTACTTTCCCAGAAATAGCGGTTACAAGAATTGTTTACGGACGGACGGACGGACGGACCACGGACCACGGATGCAGGGCGATTTGAATAACCCACCATCTATTAGATGGTGGGCTAAAAACATAAACCAGCACTGCTATGGATCAGAAGCATTAACCCAGGCTATTGGGATTGAACAGTTTACAATTTTACCTGCACGCAATTGTTCTTCCTTAGCCTCATTTCTCACATGAGCATTTCGTGTGAAGTGGTACTCTCGTTCATGATGCGGGAAACTCTCTGGATCCTGCTCGTCCGAGAGTCGCATCAATGGCTGCGCAAAGTGTTTACAACACCAGGGGAAGTAATCAGTGGAGACCACTGATGGCTGCTTCAGCCGACCGGTAGCTTCCTCTTCCTTCTCCTCAACCTGGAGATGATAACAGGAAATCTGTTATGATAATCTTCTCCCTTGTGTTCTTACTAGGTTTACTGCCTAGTCAACATTAAAACGAAATAAAACTGAAAATTAAAATGTGAAACTGACCTGAGAAGGACCTTTATCGAATATCTTTCGATTACGACTGAACTGCGTGGAGTATGTGTAAGGACTAGATGTACTGCTTGGTAACCGTGGTGATGAAAAGTCACGCTTGATTCCACCAGTGACTGGCCGTCCTGATTCATCATACAAGTAGTTCTGTGGTGGTGTTCTGTCAACATCAGAAAATGATCTACAGCAATGTTTTTTTTTATTCATCTTCTAAGTATATAATTTTTCAATTTCTTTTAAGAATGTACAATAAAACCTTGAAAGAAGACCTACACAAACAAATTTCACCCCCACTCAAAAGCCCATTTTCTCTTTACACAAAACAGATCACTCATATCAAAAACTCTAGCAGACACTTTACCTATCCTAGATGCTCTGTACTTTATAATCTGTTTTGTCACAAATAAAAACGTCTTTCAATACATGAAGGTGAGACCTATGGAGCTGAAATGACATCTGCTTTTTTCATTGTAAAGTGACTAAATGTTGGGTGTCCTATGTTAGAAACCCTGTGTGTTGACTTACCCTTGTGACGTGTTGACAGGTCTGTTTGAGGGACTGGCGGGAGCCGAGTGTGTCATGTTCGGGTTGGGCATCATTTGTGAAGGTTTTGAGGTGGTAGTAGCCTATTCAACACACAAACTCATTATTAACTTTGGGAAAACTCAATGTGAATAGGAGAACATGTTACATGAAGGAGTGGAACAAAACTCAGGAGACTAGACTGAATCTTTCTAATAGAATAGACATTTCAAATTTGCCATGAACAGATGGCTGGACCTGGCTTGATTAAAACGCTTTCCGTTTTCAGATAATGTGCATCTGTAAGTCACCTGGATCTATAGACTGGACCGAAATTTACACCTCAAAAAGACCTAACAACGCATATATACTTCCGTGGAAGAGACATAAAATGAGTTTTCAAATTATTTCATGAAGTAGTTGATACTGTTATTATAATTAAATAAATATAAGATAAACATATAAAAAAGAAAACACGAAAATGTTCTGAGATGTCGTGTCTGAAATGAAAACTTGGAACTATTTTATGTAGATTCTATATATATATCAGTGAGACTAATTACAATGCTATTTCATACGGATATACCATTTCCTTTATTCTGTTATTTCAATTTGCATCATACACAACATCTATAAGTTTTGAAATTTTTATACACTTAACATTTCACATACCATGTGATTATTCTTTCGTAAATATCATTACTGTGTTGTACCTTGAGTTTGATGGTATTGACGATATACTTCGCCATGTCTGCGACCTCGTTGACTGGGTCGATGGCAAGCTGTAGTAGAGTCTTCCATACCATAATGTAAATATTGCTGAAACTGAGACCTGGGATAGATGGGTTGGATCCTGCCCGTTTGCTGCGAGCGTCTGGAGCTGTGGGCATGCTTTCAATACTGGAGGTACTGTCCATAGAACTAATACTACTGCCAAAGCTGGTGTTTCCAGGCGAGGGCTGCAAGCCTGAAGCTAAACACATCAAATGTTTGAATTATAGGCAAACCTGGGGTGATTAATCCAGCCCTCACTAAACTGGTAGTCTCACTACCCAGACACGGTTCCAGAGAATAAATTATTCATTGGGGTCATGTCATAGCCTAAATTATTTTGCTTCTGCTGGAAATGTAGGCTAAACCAGATTTGGGGCCGATATTCTGCCCCATTCCCAATGCAAAATAGTATCTTTTTTCCCCAATTTAGACCCCAGGTTTTCCCAATTCTGAGGAAAACGCCGCTATTTTTCCCAATTCTAAGGGCCCCGGGCCCCGGGCCCCAGTCCCAAAATGGGGTGTGAGAGCCCTGATTTACTTCCATTTGTGCTTATCACACAGTAACAAGGTCAATTTACTTCTTAACTAACACCTTACCAATCTCATAAGCTGTGTGAATATCAGAATAAATCTTCAATTATTCTTGGTAGAGAAAGAAGGAACATTCATCAAGTGACTTCTATGGTTGAAAAAATACCTGAAAACACTTATGCAATAAAACACCTCAAATTATTTCTATTCCTTTAATTTGGCCAAATATTTCTCTACTTCACTTCCAGTTCATTGAAACTGTATCAGGAATGTCCTGCTTGAGATGGATGGATAAAAACATCTTAAGGGGGTATACAGGGGTTGGCATTTTGAGGTAATATTGGAGGAGCTGTGTATACGGGAGTGTACGGAAGGATCACGGATGAAGTGCAGGCTTACACGTGCTGGTTAACAAGTTCTTCACACTGGTACGCGAGGAACTACGCTTCATTCCACTGGCCATGACAGATGCAAAGTTCTCTGTAATCACAAGTGGTATTTTACCATGAATACAAAAGTACAAAAGTACAAAAGTAACATTTTGTTTTCTAAGTTAACAGCATATACAAGATATCCTCAGAGGCCACTAGAACACATGTTTTGTAAACACAAATAGTACACAGAAAAAAAAAACAAATTTATTACCACAAACAGAAGACAGGATTTGTTTCATATTTGTTTTGGATACAGTGAATATTCTTTTGTTTTACTGTTATAAGCACTATACAGGTAGAATTCTTTGACTCTCAACAACCTACTAATGTTTTATTTATGTACATGAACTACTACAAAGAATGCAGATTTCTATTGATACAAAGATTGTACAAAAGACACACTTGTGAATAGCACCTTTCCATATAGATTCAAAATTGGATACGATAAAGTCAAATAATAGACTAAACTGCATCATACACCTAAATGTTAACATTCTGTGACTAGAAGATAAAGATTATCACAAAATTACTATTTGGAAAAAAAAAAAACACTTAACACTCATACAATATTATATTAGTACTGTTAGTCAGACTCACCTGCCTCTTGACACATTTATCAAAATGAACAAAGGGCCCAAATATTGAAATTTTAGTACATGAGAGTCTGTAATCTTGCATACAAAACCTGGTTACTTTAGATGAAAGAACATAGGGTGCATGGCCTGGACGAGATGATGTATGAAAGCATAAATGATCTGACGAATGGCAAGATAAACAAAGAGAGTTCCTTCCTTTGGTTAAGTACCACTGTATCACGATACTATATAGGAAAATAGGACAGGATCACAAAACATAAAATGTTCTTCAGCCAATGGCTGGATTTTAAACAATGCAAAATAACACCAAACAATAAATACAACACAACACAATACTAATCTGTTAAATAGCACCAGCTGTATTTCATTGGAAAGTAGATGACCTCTTTTATTGATCAATACTTTCAAAAATGTTTTCTTATTTGAAAAACTTGATAACCAGTTTAAAACTAAGTAAATTATATTCAAATACATCATATTAAATGATCTGTCGTTTTGAAAAGTATGATGCTTTAAAATCTTAGATTTTTTTCAGATTACTCTTTTTGATTTCAATTGAAATTTACTTAGAACTTCTAAATTAAAATCCTTTAACACACACGATTGAATCTGGTGCTATATTACAGCTTGACAACAACCTAGCTTTGTGTTCATGGAAGAGCAGGGCCTAATCTGATGTATGTTGACTTTGTGTCTTTTGAAATTTATAAAGCTTAGCATTAAGAGTCCCAAATTCATTTTTTTTTAATCTTTATGTATCTAATAATTAAGAAAAAACCCAAAACTTCTCCAACTGTTTGTATAAACTATTGGAACATTAATCTATATCATAAAATCTTCAAATTATAATCTCCTCCCTCCCCAAGAAAAAAATGAAGTGATTTTCATATTATTTTGCTATTACAATGTCAGATTTTTGTGATAAGACTTATTAAAAAAAAGGGTTTTGCTTCTTGATAAATCCACAACAGAGTAGACCCTGCAACATGGTGCTGACATGCAGGAGTGCATTAGTTACCAGGATTACCGGACGATGCTACAACATTCCACCCACCCGGGGCCTCGGCGGCCACAATCGGCACTGCTTTGTCCTTCTGCCTCTCCTCCTCCATTAGTTGCGTTGCCACCGTTGCAAATTGTGACTCAAACTGGGTCACCAGGTATCCAAACGCCACGACCAGTTCCTAGTGACAGACAAAGTGAGTTGGTAACGACACTCCGATTAAAAAATCAAGCCAACAATTGTACAATTCAAGGCAGTAAATAAATTAATGGATATTAAATTCATGTCAAATTTATGTTACACAGAAAATCACCAACTTATTGAAAATATATTTTTTTTAATGAATTCATCCCTGCAGTTCATAATATGCTTTCAATTTTCTTTGTATCAATTCATGTACATTCAAATTTACCATCATGACAGTAAAAATCCATCAGGCATATAATCATCAAAATGGTCGTGTTATGATGTAAACCACCTGTAACAATAACATCAATGCAGACACAAGAAAATTACCAACCATCCAATCAGAATGCCAAGTCTTCAGCTCATAAAAAACCCCGGGAAAACTAGAAATTGTTGGCATTAAGTTTGACAGACTTTTCACCCATATTCTACCTCTTACTTAAAGGTCATTCTAAATGTGACCTCTTCCGAAAACCAAAAGTTGACATTTTATTACATATTTTCTAACTTCTATCAATAGCAATTGAGGGCAATATGAATATGAACAAATATCATCACCCTGTACCTCTTGGTTACTATTAAGAAGCCATAAAAAGAAAATTTATCTGTGACCTTAAAAAAAGGTCATGGTCATTCATAATATCAAACCTGACAGCTAATGACCAGGACATCTCACATGTGAAATGTCAAGATTCTAAACCCTGTTGAACTTGACAAGAAGTTTTTTAAAGTTTGTTACCCAAAACAGCAATTTTCAATGTTGACCCCAACCAACAACCAGAAAATGAATTTGCAGACAAGTTTTCAACAATAACTAAATACAGTATGCTTCTGACAAAATTTCATCTCTGTGTGCCTCTTGGTTAATGAGAAAATGCTTTTTCAAAATTTGACATAACTGACCCCTGTGACCTTGAAAAAGGGTCAAGGTCTTACATGTCACCAAACTTGACAGGAAGCCAAAGAAAGCGAAATATAACTAAAACATGTAAACGAAGTGGGGGACTTGTTTCTACCCCATTTCTCACTAGTATTTCATTATCAAGGCCCATAGCTCTTGAAAATATTGGCAGATTTTAATCAATATTGAACTCATCTGAAATCTCACTAATATAATGTCTTACTAAATTTGATTAAAGTCTGACAGCGAAAATTTAAGTAATATGGTGTAAAAGCAGAAATATTTTTTTCTAAATAATATAACTCAGAAATGTGGTTACCTGCATGCAAGGTGAATATTGTAACGTCAATAATTGTATAATATTCATTTCCCGCATCAATTTTTTTCAGAGAAGAAGATATGTTGCTTTTTACACATGTTGTAAAGACAAACCTTTCTGACAAGAGGGTTTCCATCTTGACCAACAGATGACAAGGTCATACCAACTCCGAGATCAATGTTGTTAGCATGGTCACTTCGCTCCGAGGAGTTGTTGTTGATGAATGTCCCTAGAGCATACACAGTAGCAGCCCGCACCTGTACAAATAAACAAATATCGTAATTTGAGAAAGCTTGATTCAGAAACCACAAGCAGATGTCAAGAAACCAGAAATGTATATAGAACAAGAATTTGCACATGCCTAGACAAATTAGAACCTATTTTGATGAATTTCTTTAATAGGTGAAATGCACTTGTCCATGAAATTCTGAGTATAAACTTCAAATACCACCATATCATTGTTTTTTAAGTCCCTAAAGAAATGAAATCACTGAAGTGATGTTTCCAAAAATGTTTTAGTGTTGACATGAAATCAAAGTGCCTAGGGCACTCATGGACGCTGTGTATAATGGACTGAAGTAAAAGAATGAAGGAAGTATCAGCTTGGAAAAGCAAAAGAATGAAGGAAGTATCAACATTGAAAGAAAGAAAAAAAAATGAAGAAAGCACATGTCAAAATGCCCTATTCACCACATACACTTGTGACCATTTTCCGAAGACTGAGCGCACCGACATGTCATTGAAAATGAAACTAAAACACCACACACATCTAGTTTTAGAACATTGTCTGAAATCTGTTACCCTTTCAATTCATCTAAGCTACACATTCATCTTCCCATAGAAGAACACAACTGATTTAACACTTTTAGTCAAGTCGTAGAAAAAAGGCCTTGTCGCACAATTCTGTGTGTGTGGAACTTCAAACAGATGGACAATAAGTTAATTTATTAGATTTTTTTTTCTTTCTAATCTGTTGATTATTTCATGCAGTAATTGATGTTATTTTATAAAATTTCAAAGTACACTTAATTACTTTCACTCAGGTAGAGGTGTGTTATTGTTTTTTTATAACTAAATTTTATAAATCTGGTGATGACAGTGTTTGTTATGCAATTAAGACAATCAATGGATTCTCACAGAAGGTAAGACGGAAACTAGAGATATCCAGAACACTGATTGAAAATCTGCCGTTAGTCAGCAGAGAGTATTTACCTCTGGCGTAGAGTCGGTCAACATCTTAGCTAGCTTTTCATGGGCACTGTCTCTCACTCCACACCAACGTGCATTGTCAAAGTTGGTCCAAACCTGGTCAGGGAATTGTACATCTTTACACACATGTATGATATGGGATCGGGATTCATGCAACATATACAAAACACATTCTCCTGTCAATGTCTGTATAATGTGATTTCCATTGTATCAACATACTGTACAATTGAAAATTTTTGTGTGAAATTTATTTTCATTGATTTCATAGGTTCTCTAAATCCACAAGTTCATATGTCATTGAACTGTATAAATTAAGTATAAAAAAGTTGTATTGAGAAATATCTATCCACAAAATCAAGTGTCCATAATTTTTTTTTTTTTTTTTTTGAAAAACCATGAAAATTGAGCTTCACAAAAATTTAAGATTTTACAGTTAACATATAACATTTACTTTAAATCTAGAAATTACATTCATCAGATCACTCGATTTGTCTCAGTTTTCTATGAATACAATTTTCAATAGACATGACATACAAAGCAAAATATAAACAAGAGGCCCATAAGGCCTGTATTGCCAGCCTCGCTTTCACTTGGCTGAAATTGCATCATTAAAACTAAAGATGAGGAATACTAAATATCCAATCACATATAACACAACATATCTATTTTCGTGTTGGAGCCCTACCCTCTGCCCCTAAAATGTCAGCCAAAGCATTCATACTTCACACCTTATCATTTCAATAGGAGAAGTAGGATTTTAAAGAATTTGTTGAGACAACCCTTCCCCTTCACCTAAACATGCTTTAGAACAAATTTGGGTAATATCCAATTATTTCTACAGGAAGAGTAAGATTTAATGAATTTGCTCTATTTCCCCTATTGGGCACAGCCTCTCCTGCCCCAGGGAGTCAATGCACTGTTTGTACAAAATTCAGACCAAATTTGGTCAAAATCCTGTATGTCATTTATGACTAATAGCGATTTTAAGGAAAAAAGATGATAGATGGACGACAGGTGCAGCAGGTATACCATAAGCTCACATGGTCCGAGGGTCAGTAATGAGACAGTACCTTGCCGAGACACAGGGCCAGCCATTGTCTCAGTGAGTTGTTGGTATCAGCTAACTGTTCCAGACACACAGATATTACATTTCCTTGTAACGCAGCCTCCTGTTGTAATGTAAATCAGCTACAGTTAGTAATACAGACAGTTTCATAATTAATGTAAAATACTCCCCAATGGAAACATATCAATCGTTATACTATCTAGATGAAGTGTCTCACTGAGACACAGCTGAAATCAGAGAAAATATTGACCCTTAAACCATCACCATATAAGGGCAAGCATGTTACAGTTAGTCCTCCTCATAACTCTAACTGATCCTCCACTGCTTTTGAACTCTTGAGAAATGTATGTTTAAAAACATTCAGAAATAATTCTTGCAAGCTTTATAGGATACTGAGCGGCACACAGTCTAATTAACCTTACAGATAACAATGTCCTGTAGGCTACTGGTATGCATATTCATGGTTTACAACCGTGACCAACATTATGAAAATAACAAATTGGGGCAATGATACTGTACAGTGGAGCTCACTTAAAAATCATGTTATATTTGTCAGGGGAAAACATGATAATAAGCGGAATGTGACATTAACTGTGAACAGTTCACCTTTGAATCGCCACATTTCTTTTTCTGTTATATTAGTGGTTATTTTCTTTATCACCAATCAGATGTCGTGAAACATGGCATAGGGGACAACTCTGTTTCAGAACATTTTACACCATTTCAGAGCATTAGCATGAAGCCTTAAGTCGTAAACTTCATACCAAATAAAAACTAATGAAACATCTTCTATCTTATTACAACTGACAATTCCATGTTAACTTGACTGATTCAGAACATACCTGGCCTTGTTTGTAGTCATTCACAATCATGGAGAGGACGAAGGCGGCCATTGTTCTGTGTTCTGCCTAACAAAGGTATAACAAATTATAAACTATTGAATCAGACTTTAAGTATGTGTGTTAACATTACAAAGTGTATGGAAACACCCTACTTTATATTAAATATCAAAATTGATGGAAAGCTTGCAATACTTACTGATGTATTCTATGAAGTTATCATATTTTGTTTCAAGGGTGTCTTCATGAAAAACTTGACAATGACATTAACAGGTCTGTCAGTCTTTACAACTAGGAATTACTAACCAGCATATAGGGTACACCATTACAGCTAGGAAATACTTCCGGGCTTATAGGGTAAACTGGTATAAATAGGAAACACTAACTGGCATGTACAGTACATTGGTATAGATAAGAAATATTTACTGGCATGTACAGTACATTGGTATAGATAAGAAATACTTACTGGCATATAGGGGTCAGCAAGTACAGCCAAGAAGTACTTATGACCATTATCTTTTACCAAATCTGCCTGGCATGACTGTGGGAACAAAAAAACAGCTGTCACACAACCAATAGAAACGTCATATATCAAACCCTGCACCAAATTAAGAGTTCTATCATTCTTACTTTCTGAAAATTCACAATGTGAAATCTATGCATGGCAGATGCAGGATGAAGATTATATAATCTGTGAAGCCTTCTTTAAATCTAATCCAGAGATAATTAATTCAGAAAATCAATAAACGAGAAAAAGCTTACGGAACTGAAATTTTATACCATTCTATAAACAGGAAAACTTTTACAGTTGTTAAACTCTTGCCTGTTTTGTCTTTTCGTTATTTAGTCACGGAAATAACAGGTGAGCTGACATTTGGTGCTATGGCTTCAATGTATGCTTTTATGATTTCGTCAGTGAATTTAAAGCTGAGGCAAATGAAAAAAGTTTCATGCAAGGGTGAATAACATCCATGGCAATTGTTTTCTTATATACCACAGTCCTCTGTTAGACAATGCTATATGCCTTTTCTTCCAGGTAGATCTATCATGGGAACTCATTCTCTTATATCTACTTACACTGTCCACTGATAAAATCTTAGCCCAGATAAACACCAACAAGGGACGTAATTCTCGAGCAGAGCTCTGAAGTAACTTCAGTACGTATGGGAAGATACCAACAGATAACGCCTGAAAAATCAAACAAAGAATAATGTAATAATTGTTAAGAAATTATACCAACTTTTTAAATATTTACTGTCCACAGTGAGTTTACAGTATAATCTAATTGCTACTCTCAGCCTTTGTCATTTTATCTTACATGAACTGGGGTTACATGTACCACATTGGTTTCATCATGCAACTGTAATTTTTCCTACATGCCAATGCTCATTTCCAAAATTCTGTTAGATGTCTCACTGGTGAATATAACACTACAGTAGCCTGTGATGCAATTGTTGACCAATCAAAGCGTGGATTGTTTTCATATGATAAAACAATAATTATTGGCCAATCAGAAGCGTGAATTGTCTTCACAAATAAAACAACCATTATAGACCAAGCAGAAGTGTTGATTGTCTTCATACAATGAAAAAATCATTATGGACCAATGAGAAGCATTGGTTGTCTTCATATAATGAAACAATCCCTGATCTATTTTCAGGTCAAAATGTGGATTTATTGACCTGGGAAGCTGATATTTCTGGAGACCATCCCTGGGAAATATCACCTTGTATTCACATGAAAACAGGTCAGTAATTGTATAATATTGTCTGCATATTTGACAAACATTAAATGTAAATGTAAACAATTTTATTTTGTTTCATGAGTCACTCATTACCAAACAAACACTTCAAACTTCCCTTTGGCAGTATTCTAACTTCTGATATTAAACCACCAGACTGACTACTTTTAGTCTTCTATCAAAATACCAAGCTGTCCTCCTTTGTAAACGTACCAAACTAACTGCCCAGGGTCCAAGGTCTAAGAAGCGGCCCAGCAGGTCCAAAGCCCGCAGTCTGTGTACTTGACTCAAGAGGACCTGAAACAAAAAAATGTTTGCTTGTGTTTTGAGATAATAATTGTATAGTACTAACATTTTTGATTGACTCAGAAAACAATTTACTATCAAGAATTGCTTCAAAGGGTTTTATTCCTTGTAGAAGGCTAACTTACCTGTAACACTATAGGAAGTTGCTCCGGAGGGTTACGGGACTCGGAGCCATATGTAAGCCAGACCTGGAAGGCTGTGAGCTGCTCTGTGAAGAAAGGGCTGTGTTGGAATGTTGAGCCTTCGTCCTCTAACAAACGAGGCAACTGTCTCAGGCACAAATCCAAAGCCAAATCCCATGCTTGCCTGAAATAGCCAAATCTTTCAAATTACATCCTATCTGAATATGAATATCTTATTTAACGGTAGAAAATTATGAAGGAATTCAGCATGTACTAATAAGAGTTTTATAATAAATGTGAGAAACATAACTTTGGATAAAATTACCCAACCCCTGTCCCTCCCATGTGGGCGTCACTTTAGTTTAGTCTGTTACATTATTGGCATAGATAACCTCAGAGAAAGATCTAATATGCAAGATTCAATACTCCCTTCCACTGGTGCTTTCTGTTTTACAGAAGGCTGAGAAACAGACTTGTTCGTTTAGGTGTGGTTATGTCCATGGGTAAGATACTAATTGTTCTGGATGGCATGCAATGGACCTCCTGCATCTTGTTCAGTGAGGTAGCCATTAGTTACTACAAAAGATCTCAAAATGAGTCTGGCTATTTTCGGGACAATAGACCCAGCAAACAAACAAAATCCTCAAAACAAATCACTTTCATTGCTTCTATGAATACTAATTAATGATGACCTTGACCTTTGAACCTGCAAAGACGAATTCATCCAAACTTCATCAGTTGAAAGGTTCCATGAAGAAATGTGGTTGATGAAATCATGATATTGACTGACGTGATGAGATATTGGGTTAAAATTAATCTCCCTGATAAATTACCAGATGCAAAGCAATAGTTAGTATTCAATAGCACTGATTCAAACTTTTTAAAATCATAACGAATACTTTGGAGTGATTCCTTATAGTGTTTCCTCTTAAGGAATTTAATTTACCTAACTTAAAAAAATAATTTGAATACCATGGCTTTCATGAACAAATAAACTTAATTTTGTCACAAAAGTACTTATCTTAAAAAGTAATCTTATCCAAAAGTAATTATCTCCCAGGGTAATCCAATCTGTCGGTAGTTATCAAATATTTAACCACTAAAGCTCAAACCAGAGATATTTCTGATAATACATACCACATGGGATGTTGGTATGTGGGAGGTAATTTTGGTCCAGACACTGGAGTACAATTATAGGAACGCATTATCCTCTCAGCCAGTAAAAAATTACGAAACAAACTTGCCACCAGTAGATCTTGTCGGAACAGCTTTTGGAACAGATCTGGAGGGAAAAAAAAGAAAAGAGTCGTTCCAAATCTTAATGGGCTTGCCTTTACTTTGCTTTGGTCAACAGTTTTGTATGTTATTCATAACAGGGCACTATTCATATAGGACAACCTATTCATAAACAAATTTTTCACACTAATGGCTAAAATCAATTTGGTCAATCAAATATCAGCACTTTCCATCTTCCATGCATTCATTCAGAATGAAGTTTCGTATTGAAACGACTCAATCTTTAAAAATTTAAAAAGGATTATCAATAACTGTCAAAATTGTATGGCAACAATCATTCTATGTATTACCTAATTCAAGTTGGACACTTCTGAGAAGAAAGATCACAAAATTTTGAGTCTCAATATAGTTTAAACTGTGTTCCTGCCAACTTTCCCCAATACCCTGTGAGCCCCTCCCCCTCTTACCCCTTGGCAGTGTATTCCAAGCTATTGTATCAGTGATAGCAGTAAATATCCAGTTGAGTTCTCCAAGCATGGTTCGTCTGTCATTCAGCTGGCCCGGTACTCTGTTGAAATGCAGACATTCAAAAGTTTAATCGTAGTCTGACTGAAAGCTGAAATCACTGATTTTGACGTTTTAAAGACCAACTTCAAACAAAACAATTATTTATAGCAATGAATCTGACAAATTTTATTGCCTGTTACATGAAACCCTGAGTCAGTAACACAAGTGCTACTTAAGACTTTGAGAGAAAATATTAAGGTCATATTATTTAAATGAAATGTATTCTAATAGGAGTAAAGTTGTCTGGTTTATGGTTCAATAAGGTTATGCACACTTACTTGTCCACCATTTCAGCAGTAAGGTTTGGCACAAGTTTACTGGTGTTCTGTAGGACATACCTGTACAACAGGAATGCGTAAGACTCTTATAACAAGATGCAAATACTTTATAATATCCTGCCTAAATCACAACCTATTAGTGTTATGTAATTCTTAACACGATGTATGTATGCATTGATGTAAGTATGTATACAATGATATACAATGATATAAGTATGTATACAATGACATAAGTACATATACGATGATATAAGTATATAAACAATGATATAAGTATAGAAACAATGATATAAGTATATATACAATGACATAAGTACATATACGATGATATAAGTATATAAACAATGATATAAGTATAATATTAGTTAATTTCTGCCCTATTATAATTTTAAGATTATCGATAATTTAAATTTTATTGAAGAAGAACAAATAAAGAGAAAATACCAACCATTTGAGAGCTATTTTTATGGGGGTGGTGAGACATGAGGTGAAGAGGTCAGCTGGGAGTTCAGGGTTCATAGGGAGAAACTCTGCCGAACCACATGCTGCAAGCTGTATACAGTTTTTGACCGCAGAGGGTGAAGGTGCTGGGCTGTTGAATCTCTGACTGCTACTCAATGACGATGACGACTGATGATTATGTAGAAAAAAGTAGATAATCATTAATAAATGAATCATTGCCATATTGTTAAATTCAAATATCAGAGTTTGGATGCGGCTATAATTCCCATGTCCATACAGAACAATGCCAGCTAAAATCACATTTATGGTTCAAATTTCATTTTCATCAAAATATTGACACAGAGCTGTCCAAGTTAAGAGTTGCTTAAAGACTTTTAATAAATGAAATTTGATTAATTTTGCTGAAATTTTAGAGAAATGTTCGGAGTAATCCGAGTATAAATTTTTTCAATGGATTTTAAGTGGTACTTCTTTATCAAAACAATTATTCTTTCTTTCACTAAACGATATCTGTCAAGGTTCAAAACAAGACAGGATATATCTGCTAACCCATTGTACCATTTCCAAAAAGACATTTTTGAAAAAAAAATGTTCCTCTTTTTTTCAAATGTAATTAAGCAACAAAGAGATAGACAGAAATTGTCTCAATTCTTTGTTATAAATTTTCATTCAGAATTCCTTTGAATTGAAAGATGAAAATGCTGCATAATACTCATGATTTTTCATTCCTTTTTTTCTTCAATTTCTAGAACACACAAACTATCACAGATGCAAAATTTTAACATTTTGAAACTATTTGACCAGACCATATTTACGGGAGAAAAAAAAAAAGACAGGGGATTTACCTCCATCTCATTTTCTCTTTGCACAGAGAACTGTTTGAAGGACTCGACGATGATGCCGGCATTGGAACAGTCATATACATAGATAGACGGACTCCCCATCCATGTCTGAAGGTCGTAAACTGAGAGTGGGATGTACTGTGTGTAGCTCTACAATGAACAAATAAACGAAATATCTCTCATATCCGACCAGCCAAACAAAAAGGTTAGAAAGGGTCCTATTGTAGTGAAAAAAGATTTAGATTAACTTGAGGAGAACGAGAATTTCTATACTGTAACATCTATTAAATTTTTACTATCTGGTACTGTGAAGTTGTCATCAAGTGTGGACTGAAACATACAACAGTATTGACAAAATTATCCATTTTTAAAACTATTAAATTTTCTAAACTTTTTAAACTATTGTGACAATTCTTACTCATCCCCCTCTTTTTTTTGACAGAAAGTAATACATATACTTCCCTTCAAATTGGTAATGTTTACTTAATTTATAAGAACCCTAATATTTTATGGAAATATACCATCTACAGAAAACACACTTCATCAACGATGATAAAAAAACCCTACACAGTGAAATACATGTGAAAGGCTGTTGTTACCTTATTGAAAACCCATATTTCTCCATTGATTGTTGGCTTTGGTACACCATGGCCATTGTAATGGAAAAGAACCCTTTCTTCCTGTCAGAAATAAAAAAAAAAATATATCAAATTACATTAATACTCAGTTATTACACCAATCTTATCCTCTCCAATACTTTTCTTAAGCTATTCTCTGACATTATTCCAGACAGTTCTTACAAACTTTTATCAACTGACAGCTTCTTTGAACAATTATTGAAATTTCCTTCTTATATTTCCTAACTCTCATCTCATTTTGATTTAGGATTTGTAACAAATGTCATTTACTGGTGCCTATTAGTCTCTTCTAGTCCATCATAGTTACACTGTAATGTAGACTGCTTACATCACAAGTTCTGATCAGAAACAGACTTTATTTCAATTTGGCCTAATTTTTCCATGTATACTTGCTGAAACATATTATTTTGCAATTCATATTATATCAATCTTTAAGCCAGAAACAATGAATTATCCCCATAGTAAAGAGTATACAATTCTTGAGGTCTTGTTGGGTTCGTCATCAATTATTTTGGCTGCTTATGATTTTTGATTTTAAGATTGAATTTTCCTATTTTGATTCTTAAATACACATATTGAAACATTCTTCTGACCTTTGCATTACGTCGCAGTGAAGAGCAGAGTTTCTTCACCTCATCCACTGTGGGGTCAAGACTCTGCTTGTAGCGAGCCCGAGGCTGCCATCTCTCATACTGCTTTTGGAGGTTACTGCCAATGGCCTCCAGAGCTTTCTGTGGGCTGGAAGTGGTAGGGTCTGTTGAAAAAAATGTTCTGTTTTAAAATATCTACCACCAAATCCTTTTCTATGAGACTAGCTATAAAATCCTGTACTTCTTTAATAGCTAAGTAAGTTTAAATAATTCATTACTTCATTTAATCTTTTTAAGTTTATAAAAAAAAAAAAGACTTAATGAAGCTCATGTATTTTTCAAATGTAGTGAAAGTCAAAGTCTTAAAATAACCATCCTCGATACTCAAGGGCTTTCTGCACCCGTGGAACATGTCATTGCAAAATTGATGGCACAAGCAAAGTAATTTGATTGGTTCAAGGAGAAAACAAGGCCATTCGAGACGGGTTATGCTCCCCAAATTAAACAAAATTTAAATATGAAAAAAAACAAAGGGCAATAACTCCTAAATTATGAAAAAGAGAGTGATGCTTTTGATGTTTCTTCAAATGACCACTAGCTTGCTTCCTTATAAGATGACTCTTGTATTTGCAGAAAAATATGTTTAAACAAAATTTTAAGCACTCTTTACTAGGGGTGTAATGAGATGCTGGTTTATCCCAATAAACAAAATTAATTTATCATTTGATTTTTTACTGTACAAAAAACACATACCTGTAAATCCGGATATATCAAATTTTCAGTGTTTAAGGATTTTTAATAAATAATAAGAATTCCATGTGTCACCTGCCCAGCAAGGTTTCTGGAGACGAGTTTTATGGATATTCGTTGTATTTATCCCATTTATATAACCTGTCCATTTGTTTGAGTAGAGATGTGATGAGTAAGCTTGCAGTTTAGATGTATAGTGTCGAAGGGAACTGAATCCAGAGGATAGATATGTATATCACAATTGTGCACAGAATTAGACTTTAAAAAAAAAAAAAAAAAAAAAATGATTTGCTCGATCCCAAGGAAGCACTCTTGGGAAGGAAGCACTGTATGACTTTGATGTTGATCGGCTAAAGGGAACAGAAATTATTACGAAAAAAATAAATTTCCTATTTATAGTAACAGTGACTTTGACCTTTGGACCAGAAAAGCAATCCCAAGCAAGCACTTTTGGTGAAGAAGCACCGTATGAAGTTTTAGGTTGATAGGACAAAGGGTACTAAAGTTATCGCAAAAAAGCAAATTTTCTATTTATGGTGTCATTAACCTTGACCTGCAGACCTGAAAAGCAATCCCAAGCAAGTACATTTGAAAAGGCAACAATGTATGAAGTCTGAGCTTGATTTGCAAAAGTGATCTCAAGTTATCGCGATAAAACATTTGTGCTGACAAAGGCATCGTCTCCAACACAGTAATCCTTATATCCATTGGGATTGTTTTCCATGAAAGAGTAATGAGACACAATTTACGTCAAACCTATGAAAGGTAATATATAGCAATACATATCATTATACAGTCTCAGGGCATCACGATATGTCACAATAACCTTACACCACTATTCTATATTGTCTAGAATATGCCTTATAATATTACAACCCCCACATATATATAAATAAAGGCAACTAAACAAGGAAGGAAAATTCAGGAAAACATTTACCAATCCAGCTTTCTAGTCGGGCACAAGGTGATGTCTTGACTACATCTGGAGGGTCGACTCCAACATTCAAGCACAGCACCAAGGCTACACTCACGGTCTTCATCTGTAATAAATCAGAATTCTGATGAGTTGTGTTGATATCAAATATTTTGCTTTTATCAATATCATACCATTTTGAAAAGTGAAGTATCAGAACATATTCTAAGTGAGGAATCAAACAGCTCAAAATGCAGGTTTCGTAACGCACATAAACTTCTTTACAACTGTAATTCACATTTGAGGGCCATGTCGAAAAATTTTACTATACCTGATCTCGACTTGTTAGTCTCGGAAAATAATTATCATTATTGAAATACAACTTAATAGTGTTGTTCACATCTCAAGTAAAATCCAGTCCACATTGCATCATTACATGTGTTTTACCTTCTTGTGTATAATATGCTGTGGACCGGGTTTTACTCGGTTTGTTTACATTTCAGATACACAAGTGCCTGTGGCCATACGGTGAACACCAAACTACGTAAAGTGGGACAAATGAAAACCCTTATAAAAATCGTTTAGAAAGCCTCCTGCTCATTTCCAAAATAAATGCTATCATTTGATTACTAAATAGTGATTTCATACTCGTTCTTTCATTCGCCATGTTTGAGTAACTTTGGTTGAACCCTCAATTTTCTCTCGATGGCGAAGTTCATTGAACGCAACTGGCAAATGCCAGTCAAACAGTTCATCCTCTTCGTCACACAACTCTGTGATGACATCTCCCTCAGACGTCCCTGATTGTGTGAGATTCAACATAGCGATTTGTCAACTATCAGGTGCTATTGGTGTCATGCATTGAAAAGCGAACATTTTCCATAGCGGACGGAGGCATGGCACGGAAGCAGCCATGTTTATTTTCCTTTTGGGACATTTACTCTCAAAACCAAAATACTATTATAAAAAAAACTCTTTTTATTAGGACTAGATAAATTTTGTCATTTAACTAGTTTTACAAATAAGTATACGTACAAATTAAGATAAAAGTATGTTGTACTAGTGTTATTTTAATGTCTGTCGTTTAGAGAGTAAAGCAGTGACATCTACCGGGCAGGTGAACCAAAACAGTAGCCAGCATGGCTGCGGTGGCGGCTGCTGGAGACGAGGACGATCAGGCGGAGGTGTTTATCCCGAGGGGTCGAAGCCAGACAGACGAATTAGAATACTTAGGACTACAGTCTATTGACAGGGCATGTCTTGAGATTTACCCAGACCAACCAAACCCCCTTCAAGCAACAGCAGTTGTCAAGCTATGGTAAAAGTGTTACCCGGGTTATTTTTAACACCTGGTGCCAATATTGACACTTAACATATTGTGTTTTTCACTTGATTTTCCGGTGTTTGATTGTTTTATTTTAATCCATTATACTTTATATACTGACATCACCTAATGTATTTCATATTTGGAAAACGATAAAAAATAAATAGAAAATATATATATATGTTACCAGAGACGTATATGATGTTACACATTCAATCATATTTTCAAATATGAAACCATTCGATTTTCAAAAAAGTACGAAACGCTAATGAAAGTCAATTGAAGTCTATCGAAATTACTCCCTTATTGACTTACAACTTCAAAATGCCTTTACATTTATATTTATTTTACATGATAAGGCACGATAATTAGTTTTTAATTTAACCCCAACAACAGTGAATCTAAAACTTTTGAAGTTTTCGTGGAATCACACATGTCTCTTACAATTGTCTCCAAAACTAAACTCAGTAGGATACATAAATTAAGTGGATGCCACTACTGGTGCATTTACTCACATTTATGCATTAACAAGTGTTCTGGCACAATGAAGACATCTCATAACTTCTCTATAACTTTTTTTTTTTGTGTGTTCTGGAATGTTGTTATAAGCCCTGATTCTGTAGAATCCAGGTAATCAACATATGCAAAGGTACTGTCACACAGGATAATGACCTGGTATTGCACTTGCATAAGTTAATCAGTTAATACATGTATGCCTAGCAAAATATGTCTTCCACAACAATTCTATAAAAATGAAAGACAATAAATCTAGATTTGAACTCACAAACTAAAAAAACCTGAGAAATTAGACTTTTACACATGCATCCCTGGTAAAACACTAGTAGCGATATACTGCTTGGCCAGGGGAAGCATTGAAATAAATCATCACCTCTGTTACACACGTAATTGCTGTCAGGGATTCATCCAGATGTGACTTTTATAAGTCTTGAGTCTGAAATGAAAAATTTGTGACATAATTACTTTTCAATTGGAAACAAATTGAAGATTCTTTTAATCACATAATGGATTATTGAAGCAAATATTGTAGAAAACATAAATACACTATTTAAGAAGGAGACTCCCAATTTTTGACCCTTGATTTTGCTACTTTCAACAAATGAGTTTGCTTAATTATTCTTTTATTCTAAGAGCTATTGATTTTATTTGAATGGAAAGTTTAAAAACATGTGTAATTTTTTTACTGGAAGGTCTATACACACATTTTATATATGCTTTTATTCTAAAGCACATAAAACCTCCCCTTGAAAATTTTTAAAAAGTTGGCAAGAATGCATACATTTCCATGCCAATCCTATAACATAAGGTAGGTTGGAAAAAAAGTTTACAGAATCATACAATATATTTATGAACTTATGTTGTAGGTTGGGAGGCCCAGACCCCCTGGACTACATATCTATGTACTCTAACCCAGGTGATTCAAATCTTGCCATTCTTCCTCACTGGCACTACGTCAGCTATGGCTTCAGTGATCTCCATGGTGATAACCGAGTCCATCCGTATGTATCGTCTATTCAACTTATTTTCATTGCACACATGGTGTTTTTTGTATCAGTTTTTAAAGCAACTTTGATCATTATCTCCACACAAGATACCTGCGTAGTGATAGAAATGTTTAATATCTGTTTACAGTGTCTCAGGACCAGGGCAACCAAGTGGATTTGGATTTGAGCTGACCTTTCGATTGAAGAAGGAAGATGATCAAAGTGTTCCTCCAATGTGGCCCTCAAACCTTATGAACAAACTAGCAACTTATGTTTTTCAGACAGGTTTGTTGCATCTATTTAAATACTGTAATTTTAGCTGTAGTCTTATTTTAGCACTTTTTGCAGTAAGTATATTTTTAGCCCACCATCTAATAGATGGTGGGTTATTCAAATCGCCCTGCGTCCGTGGTCCGTCGTCCGTCGGGCCGTCCGTAAACAATTCTTGTTAACGCTATTTCTGGAAAAGTACTGGATGGATCTTTCTCAAATTTCATATACAGGTTCCCCTTGGTCCATAGTTGTGCATTGTACCTTTTTTGAACTGATTCGCATTCAAGATGGCCGACAGGTGGCCATCTTGGATTTTGGAAGTAAAAGTTTGTTACCACTATTTCTGGAAAAGTACCGGATGGATCTTTCTCAAATTTCATATGCAGGTTCCCCTTGGTCCCTAGTTGTGCATCGTACCTTTTTTGGACTGATTCGAATTCAAGATGGCAGACAGGTGGCCATCTTGGATTTTGGATGTAAAAGTTTGTTACTGCTATTTCTTGGAAAGTACTGGATGGATCTTTCTCAGATTTCATATGCAGTTTCCCCTTGGTCCCTAGTTGTGCATTGTACCTTTTTTGGACTGATTCGAATTCAAGATGGCAGACAGGTGGCCATCTTGGATTTTGGATGTAAAAGTTTGTTACTGCTATTTCTTGGAAAGTACTGGATGGATCTTTCTCAAATTCATATGCAGTTTCCCCTTGGTCCCTAGTTGTGCATTGTACCTTTTTTGGATTTCAATTCAAGATGGCAGAGAGGTGGCCATCTTAGATTTTGAATGTAAAAGTTTGTTACTGCTATTTCTTGGAAAGTGCTAGATGGATCTTTCTCAAATTTCAATTGCAGGTTCCCTTTGGTTCCAAGTTGTGCATTATTCCTTTTTGGACTGATCCGAAATCAAGATGGCTGACAGGCAGCCATCTTGGATTTTGAGAGTAAAATCTTGTTGCTGCTATATCTGAGGAAGTACTGGATGGATCCTTCTGATATTTCATAGATATTGGTTTCCCTTGGTCCCTAGTTGTGCATTGTACCTTTTTTGGACTGATTTGAAATCAAGGTGGCCCACAGGCAGCCATCTTGGATGTCGACAGTAATACAGCTCAAGCATATTGTCCATTATCCACCTGTAACTGACTGCTATCTAATAATACTTTGGGATCTTTTTCAAATGATATTTGCTAATAGGTGCTTAATAAATATATCTTGTGCCATCATTGAGTACATTCAATGAAGACCAGTTCATGAACATTTACAACACCTGTAACAAACAAAAAAAAATAAACAAATCTTCAAGAACTGAAAACAGATCCTCAAATGGTGGGCGCCAAGATCCCTCTGGGATCTCTTGTTCTAAAACATGATGGCACTAATTGCAGATGCTATATGCTACTTACATAGTAGTCATTGTGGATCATTAACCAAATGTGGCAAAAAAGTGATTTTCTAGTATCTGCTAAAATTTGATTACTCTACCCTATTTATCAGGCAATAAGTTTATACAGGTAAAAACCAATCCCATTCTATTGTAGTTTTATGAGAAATGCCAAGAAATGCTATTTCATTTATGGTTGGCTCTGTTTTCGCTGCATGGAATATTTAAAATTTAGGTCACTGCTACTTACATTTCCACTTATAGTAACTGGCCATTAAAAATATATTTTCATCTTCGTTTCTATTATGGATGAGGTAGGAACATAATACATGTTTTGCAACTATTTTCCAGTTTTCTAGATAGTGGCGTTTTTTGCAGGAAATGTTTTACAGGTAGGGGACCATATCCCTTGGCACTGCCCACTAGATGGAGGCAATAGCTCTGAAATACAGCATATGTTGATTACCTCAGACTCTCAAATCCCAGATCTGGATACTCCGTACGGGTACCTTCAGTTCCGACAGGTGAGTGCTTCTGAGCGATAAGTAACTCCAAATTGTTGAGAACATGAAATTTTATTAATTAGCTATGAATTTTATATTCACTTCAGACTCTGTCTATTGTACATTTAAAAATGAATCTTGATTTATAAAAATATTACTGATATGCTGCCTGATCATTGACTTTGGGTAGATTGTTGGAGTGAAAGATGATGAGTTGAGAGCAGCGCAGAAATGGAAAGGTGCTGGTGTACTGGAACTTATGTGTACAGTTAAAGAGTATGTACCATTTTTTGCTTCTCGAAAATTTTCAGAGGAGCATATAGTCTCCGCTTTGTCTAACCGTCTGTCTCTGTCCAGCCTTTTGTGTCTGGAGTGTAACTTTGCCCACACTTAAGTAAGGATCATGAAACTTTCTTTAAACATTGGACATACTAAGGGGATGTGCAGTGTACCAGATTCAGGTCCTGCATCCCTTGAGTTATTGCCCTTTGTTAAAATTTTATGTCTGTAGCATAACTTTGCATTCAATTACACTAGGTTAATGAAGCTTGGTTTATACATTGGTTATACTAAGAAGATGTACCAAATTCAGTGCTTGAAACACCTTAATTAAATATTTGTTGCCCTTTGTTAAAATTTTATATCTAATGAAGTTGTTTTTGGGGAGCGTTCATCAGTTTCATTGATTTTCTTGTCTTATGTATGTGACCGTGATAAGGAAAAACTCTGTCAAATCTTGTCCTAATTTTTCCAGTTTCAGAAAAGTTTCAAGTAGCATCATTGATCCTTATATAAAATTGTAAATACTTTATGATTAACTATATATTTGAACAGGCATCTCCTGCAATCCTAAATGCAGTTGGACCTTGTTATCTTGAACTCATATAACTCCCAGCTTGGGTTAATTCGAAGCATTTCGTTGATCCTTACCAAACTTTATACAAAATTTCAAACTCACTTAAATCAATTAGATGGTTATCTCAAAGTTTTCCCATGACCCCGCTGAGTTTGAGATGACAAAGTTGGACTATATTAGCATTGTTTAAAATCATTGACCTTCCATTCATCAATGTTTCCTTTTCTTGTCCTAATAGATTTAACCATTTCACTTTCACACTATATACTGTATAAGTGGTTTTTTTTTTTTTTTTCCGCTGGCTTAAATTTTCACAGTTAATGTAAATTAGAAAATTTAAGAGTATTAGTTTTTCGGGCTATTGATATGCAGAATTATAAAATATACAAAACAGACAATGTGGTACAATATTGTCTGGCCAATGCCTATCTCTTTGGGATATTTTTGAAGTTATATTTGCAATTTTTAATTAAATTGGTAAATTTTTAATGTTAATACCTAACTTGAACAGCTGCAGAATTAGTACCTAGATAGAACTTAAAATCTTTTGATATGGTAAATATGTTTTCTACATTGGACTAGATTTTCACTGGAACTATATTTTGGAGGTCAAAATACAAATGCAAAAATTGTGGGAATTAGGCCCACACAAAAAGAACAACTTTTACAGTAGTCACTCTACTTACATCTTCAATACTCCAGGGGCTACAACCACTTTTGTTCTCTGCTCCGCTGGAACATGTCATGCAAAGTAATCTGATTGGTTCCAGGAGAAAAAAAACTTTCCTCAGACTCTGGAGCGGCTCCTTTTGAAGACCACAAAGGGGGGGGGGGGGGGGGGGGGGGGGGTACCCAACTTTAAAGCCATTACAATATACAATGTACAACAAAGAATCAAACTTATCTTTTCGTTTTGTCCACAAGTTGTTGCACATGGAACCTTCAGTTTTGCCATGACATGTGCCCGGGATGCAGAGAGTGAAAGTGATTGTAGCCACTGGAAAATTGAGAATGCTGTATTTAATGTAACTCTTTAAGAAAATTTTCTTTTATAGGATTGGTCCCTATTTCATCACCGACATGTCCAGAACACGGTCAATCTTTGAGATGGACATCAACTTACTGCATCAGGTAACAGCGGGAATAGAACAGGATGGATCAAATCTGGGTCATGTGACGGCTGTGTGTTCTTGGGTGGAAATTTCAGCAGGGTAGGTGCTGGCACCTTAACACTGTGACCATGAATGCACACTATGACAAGAGTTAACCATGGGATAAACTGTGTTCTGTGTTCAGGGAATGAATGTAATAATGGAATTATAAAGCAATGGTCCTTACCTTATTCTGACACACCTGAGGATATTGTATCCTTCAGATAAACTACAAATTCCATGCCTCTGTCTTAAGCAATCTCTTGGTGTCCCTTCTTTAGTTTAAAAAAATTAAAAACTGAAAATTTAAAAGAAAATTCCGTTGATGTTTCTGATGCATGAATGATATAGTGATATTGTGCTACATGAAAAACCTATAGGAGTTGTGGAAAGATCCCTCCAATACTTCAGACAACTAGCAATAACCAAATACCAAGCTGGCTGTCTTGGCCATTTTGTGTTCCAAATCTGCCTCACTGTTCAACAAGCACAGCTGATGACATATAGAAATGTACATATAATTAAAACAAATTTAAATCTCAAAATCCAAAAACAATTACATGTTGGCCAAAATCTCTAAATTAAATCTCAAAATCCAAAAACAACTACATGTTGGCCAAAATCTCTAAATTAAATCTCAAAATCCAAAAACAATTACATGTTGGCCAAAATCTCTAAATTAAACCTCAAAATCCAAAAACAATTACATGTTGGCCAAAATCTCTAAATTAAACCTCAAGATCCAAAAACAATTACATGTTGGCCAAAATCTCTAAATTAAATCTCTAAATCCAAAAACAATTACATGTTGGCCAAAATCTCTAAATTAAATCTCAAAATCCAAAATGACATGTTGGCCAAAATCTCTAAATTAAATCTCTAAATCCAAAAACAATTACATGTTGGCCAAAATCTCTAAATTAAATCTCTAAATCAAGCACACATAGCAAGGGACCAAGATCGACAAGAAATAAACCTGTTTTCTGTAGTATGAAGAAGATTAAGCCACTACTTGCTGAGGGATAGAAATGATGGTTATGGAAGATGAACTGCAGATGATTAGCAATTTGAACAGTCTAGCATTTGATTAATGTGGACTAAGAGAAGGAAAAGTCATCTACAAAACATCTTCCAGCTTGATAGATGAAAAAGTAGTGACTCTATGATTAAACCATAATGTTTTTGGTTATCTAAAGTTGAAGGGAGATATCAGATTGTGTAAACATTGATGTCATTTATAAATATCAAAACAAGACAAGTCTTTTGATATTATCATATACTCTGTGTTTTTGGTTCATCAGGACTGTGTTTGAAAGGGAGGCAGACATGGTGACACAGACGCCTTCAGGGGATGGAATGGACACTGGCGATGACACCGTCACACTCTGCCCACCAGAGACCCTTGAAGCAGTACATCTCAAGTTTGATGCTGAAGCAGCTGAACTCCTGCCATTGATTGTCAAGTTAGTAATCAATTTTTCACATACATGTCACCAGAGTAATCACAATTCCAGTTTTCAAATGTTGTGTTTGGACCCCTAACAACTAAGATTTTTCTAACATCATTTGTACCTTGTAAGGGTAACAGTGATCTTGATTAATATCAATACCTTAAAACTTACAAGTCCTTGATCTTATGTCAGCCAAACTCTTGTAGGCAATGGTTAATTAAGATGTTCTACTCATCTGGTCACATCAGGCTGATTGCAACTGATTTCCGTTGAATATGTAATCCTTTCTTTTTGGTGTACAATTGTTGATTTTGTTGTTTGGTATTAATTAACTTTCAGAGCTAGACTGCAGAAAGGTCGATTCTTCGTATTCCACAATGCAGAAAACTATGCAATTCATTTGATACCACCATCTTGCCAGGAGGATAATCAGTTTGTTAGCCAAGGAGAGCCTCTTAAAGCGCAAAGTACATTCCTACAGGTATGTTTGTAAATTCCGGAGGCCAATGAACTGTCAATATTGCTCATGGCCAATCAGAAAAGAATATTTAATTGCATGTACTAGTAAAAGTGACAGAGCTGCAGCAAGTGAATGGATATTCAGGTTTTAAAGTCTATGTGCTACATAACTGTGACATAGTTTCTTAAGGATGTATGCTTCCTTATTGTGACATGGAGACTTAAGGCTATATGCCATCTTATTGTACCAAGGAGACTAAATGTCATATGCTAACTTCTTGTAAAATTGAGACGTGATGTTGTATGTCTCCTCACATTGATAAGAAGACTTAAAGCTGTATGTTACCTTACTGTGCCATAACAACTTTTTTTGGCTATTCGCTATCCAAGAGTGCCATTACCACTTAAGGCTTTATGCTACCTTACTGTGCCACAACGACATAAGGTTATGTGCTATCTCTGAGTGCTATATGCTACCTAACTGTAACAAAAAGGTTGCGTTTTGAGTGTGTATCCTGAATTAGTTTTTCATTTCACTTTATTACAGATCTACTGTTCAGAGGCCCTAATAGACAAAATGTCACAGGAGTTCGAAATTTTACAAGATAATTCTGAGGTAAGAGGAAAGGATATGTTGGTTATCTGTTATCCTGGTAATCTTCCTCCTTGAAAAAAGGACTATGCTTCTGCATGAAATTTGGTACGTGCTTAAAATTTTCTGGAAAGCATATAGAGGCCACCTTGTTTGTGTTAGTTATAGCTCAAGTGACATGTAGTAAAATAACCAGTTGGGTTGATTGTTCTGTCTGGAGGTCAATATTAAATAAAATATCAAAGTAGGTTATTGTGGCCTATTTTTCATAGTTCTGTAACAAAACAATTTTCCCATCTGCTTTTTACATTGAATATATATCAAAGTGGCAAATTTAAAGAAACCAGAATTTACTTTTTATGTTGTTGTGAGGTTAACATTATATTGCGTCAAAGTAGGTCACTGTGACTTAATATATTTGGTTCTACCACTTTCAATTTTAGAGGATTTTTAATGTCAATTCAATTTCACACTACAAAAAAGTAACAGAGAAAATTAATGATTGTGACTAAAAATAAAACTGATAGCCAAATAGCATAATGTATAAGGCTTTTCCAATTTCAGTTGTTGTTTTTTTTCTAAATTTAAGATGATGTAAGAAAAATCTTCTTAATTTTAGGAGAACCAGAATTATCCAATCGAGTTCCGGTTTTCTGACCCAACTGTTGTGATAACAGTTTCTCCAAGAGGACAACTCTATTGTGATGTGTGATGAAAAAGGATGAAATTCTTTAAGATTTTAAGTTTGTATATATTGCCTGTGACCTTATATCTGACCTCCATTTCTTAAGAGAGATTAATAGAAGTTTTGACATAAGATATAAGTATTTGTGAAAATAGTCTTGTATGTTCATTTGAAATTTTATTTAATAATTATTAAGTTTTCATTTCAAAGCTCTATTTCTGTTTTAAGAAATAAAATTAAACATCATTTAGTTTAATTCTAAAAAATTTAATTTTGAAGATATTTAAGTGACCATTATATGCTGTATTTCAAAAGATGGGGGAAAAGGCATGTGCACATCATGTATGCAATATTTACCAGATATATACAGCTTAGAAACTTTTTCATACAAATTGAGGAGAAATTTGAATCTTAGAAATTTTCTGTGTATAATCTGACTTGTTGCTACAAGGTAACACTTATGTTGTGAATTGAAGCAATTATTCTGTGACCTGTTGAAATTTGAAACGTTACTGATTGCATTTGTTGATCATGGCCAGTGTACTTGTTGTCATGGTGATAGTATGACACACTTTTAGTGGTCCTGAAAATAATGTTGTTAGAGTAGACAATGTCATTCGCTTTGCTCTGGAAACAAGCATAATGTAGATTTCCTGCCGTTTATTGTTTGATAGAAATCACTTTATGTTCTACAAAACCTTAAATATCTACTTGTTATTTGTATATCTTGCCATTATTCGTACAATGATAATTATTTGACCTTGGTCTATGATCAGACCTTGTGATTTCTGTGACCAGACCGCCTTGGTTTTATTATCAAACTTCTTTTATGTGACCTTATCTTGTTGTTTCTGTGACCAGAATTAGTTGTTTCTTTGACCCGACCTTGCTGTTTCTCTGACCTGACCTTGTTTCTTTGACCCAACCTTGTTGTCACTATGACCAACTTTTTTGTTTCTGTGACCTAACCATGTTATTCCTATAACCTGACCTTTGTTCTGTGACTAGACCATGTTATTTCTGTAGCCTGACCTTGTTGTTTCAATGATCTGATCTTGTTGTTTTAGTTAACTGACCTTGTTTCAATGACCCGACCTTGTTACAGTGACCTGACCTTGTTGTTTCATTGATCTGACCTTGTTTAAGTAACCGCCCTTGTTTCAATTACCCAACCTTGTTACAGTGACCTGACCTTGTTGTTTCATTGATCTGACCTGGTTATTTTAGTTAACCAACCTTGTTACAATGACCCAACCTTGTTACAGTGACCTGACCTTGTTGTTTCAGTGATCTGACCTTGTTGTTACTATGAACCAACCTTATTGCTTTGAAGACACAACCTTATTCTTATATAACCTAGTATTCATTCCAGTATTTTAGAATAATGATCAAGAGCCGTTACTTCCATGAAGTACATGTTTGTTAAAAGTGTGTGTACGGTAAAGACAGTAGTTGTTACATGGTTACTGTGATGTAGTTTTCTGTAGGAAAATCTGCCATTATTTTGCAATTCATACTTTTTATACTATTCAAATTGCCCTACATCCGTGGTCCATCCGTCCACGTGTAAACAATATCATTTATCACTATTTCTTGAGATGTATTAAATGGATCTCTCTCTAAATTCCTGTGTAGGTTCCCCTTTGTCCCTAGTTGTGCCTTTTCACTTTTGGGACTGATCAGAAAAACAAATTGTCTTACAGGTAGCCATCTTGGATTTTCACTTTGTAAGTTTGTTATCGCTATTTCTTGAGAATAGTTGAATGGATCTTTCTGAAATTTTCGTGTGTAAGTTCCCCTTGATCCCTAGTTGTGCCTGTTAGATTTTGAGAGGGATCAATAAAAACAAAATGGATGACAGGTTGCCATCTTGGATTTCAGCAATGGAGGTTTGTTATCACTATTCTTCCAGAGGAATGTTCAAATTTTGTATAATTAACCCATTCGGCGCCAAATATCTCTCACAATGTACAGCTCAGCGCCAGATATCTCTCACAATGTACAGCTCAGCGCCAGATATCTCTCACAATGTACAGCTCAGTGCCAGATATCTCTCACAATGTACAGCTCAGTGCCAGATATCTCTCACAATGTACAGCTCAGTGCCAGATATCTCTCACAATGTACAGCTCAGCGCCAGATATCTCTCACAATGTACAGCTCAGCGCCAGATATCTCTCACAATGTACAGCTCAGCGCCAGATATCTCTCACAATGTACAGCTCAGCGCCAAATATCTCTCACAATGTACAGCTCAGCGCCAGATATCTCTCACAATGTACAGCTCAGCGCCAGATATCTCTCACAATGTACAGCTCAACGCCAAATATCTCTCACAATGTACAGCTCAGCGCCAGATATCTCTCACAATGTACAGCTCAGCGCCAGATATCTCTCACAATGTACAGCTCAGCGCCAGATATCTCTCACAATGTACAGCTCAGCGCCAAATATCTCTCACAATGTACAGCTCAGCGCCAGATATCTCTCACAATGTACAGCTCAGCGCCAGATATCTCTCACAATGTACAGCTCAACGCCAAATATCTCTCACAATGTACAGCTCAGCGCCAGATATCTCTCACAATGTACAGCTCAGCGCCAGATATCTCTCACAATGTACCGCTCAGCGCCAGATATCTCTCACAATGTACAGCTCAGTGCCAGATATCTCTCACAATGTACAGCTCAGCGCCAGATATCTCTCACAATGTACAGCTCAGCGCCAGATATCTCTCACAATGTACAGCTCAGTGCCAGATATCTCTCACAATGTACAGCTCAGCGCCAAATATCTCTCACAATGTACAGCTCAGCGCCAAATATCTCTCACAATGTACAGCTCAGCGCCAGATATCTCTCACAATGTACAGCTCAGCGCCAAATATCTCTCACAATGTGTAGCTCAGCGCCAGATATCTCTCACAATGTACAGCTCAGTGCCAGATATCTCTCACAATGCACAGCTCAGCGCCAGATATCTCTCACAATGTACAGCTCAGTGCCAGATATTTCTCAAAATGTACAGCTCAGCGCCAGATATCTCTCACAATGTACAGCTCAGTGCCAGATATCTCTCACAATGTACAGCTCAGCGCCAGATATCTCTCACAATGTACAGCTCAGCGCCAGATATCTCACAATGCACAGCTCAGCGCCAGATATCTCTCACAATGTACAGCTCAGTGCCAGATATCTCTCAATGTACAGCTCAGTGCCAGATATCTCTCACAATGTACAGCTCAGCGCCAGATATCTCTCACAATGTACAGCTCAGTGCCAGATATCTCTCACAATGTACAGCTCGGCGCCAGATATCTCTCACAATGTACAGCTCAGCGCCAAATATCTCTCACAATGTACAGCTCAGCGCCAAATATCTCTCACAATGTACAGCTCAGCGCCAGATATCTCTCACAATGTACAGCTCAACGCCAAATATCTCTCACAATGTACAGCTCAGTGCCAGATATCTCTCACAATGTACAGCTCAGCGCCAAATATCTCTCACAATGTACAGCTCAGCGCCAGATATCTCTCACAATGTACAGCTCAGCGCCAAATATCTCTCACAATGTACAGCTCAGCGCCAGATATCTCTCACAATGTACAGCTCAGCGCCAGATATCTCTCAATGTACAGCTCAGTGCCAGATATCTCTCACAATGCACAGCTCAGAGCCAGATATCTCACAATGTACAGCTCGGCGCCAAATATATTCTGGAAAATATCTGAAAACAATGGCAAAAATTGTCAACTAAAGTCGCCTAGGGCGGCCTGTCTGCATGTCGACTTTAGTCGCCTACGGCGTCCTGTTTGCATGTCGACTTTAGTCGCCTACGGCGCTGAAAGGGTTAAGAGTAGATAAGAGAGAAAAAAAGGGAAAAGATCCAACATTTAAAGAACAAATAAATATTAAACAATGGCAGGTGTCAAGATCCCTTGGGAATCTCTTATCTTTATTTTTAATTGAATTAGGTAAAGAGACAGACTCCTTGTCCAAATTTTCCGCTTAAATCACAAAGTTTGTTTAATTTACTAAGCTGTTGCATTTTCATTAATAATTTTACTTTGCTTTTGAACCATATCAAGAAAATCAGTTTTAGGAAATGGTTGACTGAAATAAATGTTTACTGTATGTTTGCTTTATATCTAGTGGCCAGTTTTCATCGATTGTTCCTTTAATATTATCATATGTTTTATTGTTCAACTTAAGCTTATGCCATGATGCAGCATCTGTCGTATGTCAACCTTTTACTAAATGAACAACTGAAGAAGTTTTGCCTGAATTAATTGAAGTTTGTATAATTATTGGTTATTTTGTGGGAAGGGGCAGGGCCCATAAGGGTAAAACAGTTAATTCTTTAAAATCCTATTCCTCCTGTAGGATTTTGCCAAAATTTGGTCAAGATCTTGGGTGAAGGGGGATCAGGTTTGTATGAATGGAGGGCCTCGGCCCCCTGGGGCAGGCCCAATGTGGGAAATAGAGCAAATTCTTTAAAATCCTGCTACTGTAAGAATGATTGGTTGTTGCCCAAATTTGGTCTGAAGCATTCTTAGGTTAAGGAGAATCATTTTTATGCTCTTTGGAAAATTTGGGGTAGCATATAGTCGCTGCCATGTCTGTCTGTCCATCAGTCCATCTGTCCTTTCATGTCTGGAGCACAACTTTGGCCACAAAAAAAGACACAATCATGAAACTTAGTATGTACATTGGCCATAGCAAGGGGATGTATGACATTCCAAATTCAGGATTTAAACCCCTAAATTTCAGAGTTCCTGCTGTTTGTTAAAATTTTGTGTCTGGGGCATAACTTTGCTTGCTTTTAATCAAGGGTAATGGAACTCGGTGTATACTAAGATCATAATAAGATCATGTGCAATGTACCAAATTCAGGGTCCCCAACCTCTTAAGTACAGAGTTTTTGCCTTTTTATAATTTCGTGTCCGGAAAATTACTTTGCTTGCATTTAAACTAAGGGGTAGGATATAGAAACTTGATGTGCCCTTTGTACAAGTTTCTTGTTTGAAACATAACTTTGCCCAGAGGTTGGCAAAGGTCATGAAACTTGTCTTGCATCTAGGCTAGGATAATGAAACTTGGTGTATACATCGCTCATACTAGGCAATATGTGTATCAATGTTATGGCCTGCAACCCCTAAATTACAGAGTAATTTCCCTTTGTTAAAAAATTACTGCATTTAAACTAGGATATTGAAATGTGATGTGTAGAGCACTCGTACAAAAGCAAAGTCAGGATCCATGACCCCTCAATACAGAGTTCTTGCCCTTTGTTAAAAATTTGTGTCATGAGCAGAGCTTTACTGAAATTAAAACTAGGATTATGGTACTTGGTGTATACATTGGTCATACTAAGAGAATATGCAGTATACCAAATTAAGGGCTTCCAACCCCATAATTACAGAATTATTACCCTATGTTAAAATTTTGTGTCCAATAAATCTGTTTTCATGAAGCATCCATCAGTTTCACTGATACTCTTGTTCTATAAACTGGATTTCAGTCCCCTGTGGTGGGAGGGGTGGGGCCCAGTAATGGAAATAAGGAATATTCCTTCTGTTTGAATGATTCAGTTTTGTCCGAATTAGATCTGAATGATTCAAATCAAATTCAGACAAAAGTTAACCATCCTTGGGTGAAGGGAACTTAGGTTTTGTAGGAACAGTTCATCTAAGGGCAGGACTTAATAAGAGAACTAATGTTTTAAATACTTTTCCTGAAGTTTAATCAGTGTAATCATACTAAACCAGGTGAGCAACACAGGCCCTATGGGCATTTTGCCATAATATTGCCACTATAACTGCTTTTCATACCAGCTGTATACTTTGCAATGTTACAAGTATGTTAGTTTTAGCCACAGTACATAATTCAAGTGTTGCTTCATTTGACAAAAGCAATTTGAAAATTTGTGTATCAAGGTTATATTTTCATTGGTTTTGCTGGACCTGATTTTCACAGATGTTTGATAATGAATTCATACATAAATGTACCAGAAAAATACTTCTGAATTTTCATTGGACGTGTTGTAAACATCTTAACTTATATATCTAAATCACCTTGTCACACAAAGTGGGTTGATCAAATCACTTTTTGTCCATGGTCCATCAACAAGTGTTGCTAATGCTTCCCCTCTGAATAGTTCATGAGATTTTCTACAAACTGTCAGCACATATATTATGTGCCTTGGTCCTTAGTTTGTTCTAACTGATTTTAAGATTAATTTTATTTATCAAGATGGCTACCACTTCCTACCAAAACCCTGTTTTAGTGGGAAAACTTTGTTATTGCTGCAAATTCAAAACTATTAGAGGTGATAAGTTAAAATTTTTTCCCTTAGTGCCTAAGTGATATACTGGTCTGGTTTTCAAGATGGCTGCTATGTAATCCCAGAGCGATACTGGTCCTATGGGCCTGTTGTTTTTGTTATATAGCGTAATTTTCTTGAGTGGATATCTAAGAAAATATTTCATGTAGAACTACCAAACTTGGTCAGTGAGTGCATCCAGGGATGTCAGATTTGTTTGGTTGCAAAATAGGTCTATATTTTTTATTTTTGATCCTATTAAAATGTTGTGCTTAGCATATCTTCATCCCTATTCCATGTTGGGTCATCAGACATACTATACAGAAGCATCCTGATGAAGGGTTGTGTGCATAAATAAAGTCTATTTGACCTATATTTTGACCTTTAACCCTGTTCAAAGAAAAAGCATGTTTAAGCATGACTTAAGCATATATCTCCTATGATAGTGCTTTGGTTGGTTAGTCACAGGTTTTCTATCTCCTTAACTGGTCCTATTTCTAGGCTTTGTCTCACTGATAAATGTCATTGTTTTGGTGACATTTGGAGAGCATCCGACATACCACGGTCACTATGACCTGTACCATGAACACTGACCATGTTCAATGAAACTTTTTTTCCATGCAAGGTTATCAAATTTGATGTAGGTGCCATCTTGGGCAGGAAGAGTGTCTTGGGACATAAATAAGGGCACAGTAACCATACAGTATATACAGTACCTTACAAAGCATTGACTGTTCATTATATTTTTCCAATAAAACCTTACTACAAACCCTTTCACATGATTCAAGAATTGTGTACTGTTAACATGCTGCTAGAAGTCTAACATGTTGCAAATGAGATTGGAATGTGAATTTTTAGCCCACCATCCAAAGATGGTGGGCTTTGCAAATTGCCCTTCGCTAGGGTCTGTCGTCCAGCCATAAACAATTATTGTTATCGCTATTCTGGGAAAGTACTGGATGGATCTTTCAGAAATTTCATATATAGGTTTCCCTTGGTCCCTAGTTGTGCCCGTTTGATTTTGGGACTATTCTGAAAAACAAAATGGCTTAAAGGAGACCACCCCAGATTTGACAGTTAAATATCATTATCGCTAACTCTGCAAAGGAATGTTCAAATTTTGTATCAGTAAGAGTAAAAATAGAAGAGAGAAGGGAATAGAAGGGAAAATATCCAACTTTTAAAGAACAATGGTGGGCACCAAGAGCCCTCTGGGATATCTTTTACTTACATAGAGTTAATGTTTGTGTATTGTTATCGGTGCAATTATAATTTTTCAACAGTTGTGTGCGAGAATTTTATATACAGTTTGTCATTGCAATGCTTTGATTGAGGGCTTAACGTCCATTCTATCATACATAAATTGTATAGGGGCTGTACTACATTCATGTTAATAATAAATGTTATTTTTTCTGAACTGGTATTGATTTTTCAAAAAAACTTGTCTCGGCTAACACGCCTGGATTGTAAATGCACACACAAAAAAACACCAAACTGCACATGCTGCACTTGCATTATAAACCAACCTCTCCTGATATTCTTGCTTGCAGAAATAATGACAAAGAAGTGCAAACAATTAACATAGAATTTATTAATGATAATATGAATGTACATTAACCCAAGAACATACAACAGCAATAACACAAACATGAAAGTGTTACAGACTACCACCACAGCCCCTAACCCCCTGCCGCACCCACAGACCACCAAGAATGCACAAACCAACTAGATCCTACAACTAACAAGAGGCACATGGGCCTTAACGGTCATCTGACATAAAATACAAGATTTCAAATTTTGAACTTGAGAAGAAGTCAAAATGTGTTTTCAAGATGGCGGTCATGTTGGATTTCGGACCAACCTGAAATTAACAAACTTTGGTCAGAATCATGTCATGATCATTTCAGGTAAGTTTCAGTTATATGAGACATGTAGAACTTGAGAAGACGTTGAAAATGTTTATGACGGACGCTGCCGAACAAAAGGCGATCGTAATAGGTCATCAGACCCTTCTATCAGATGACCTAAAAACATGCAAATCAAACTTCCTACCCACTCTTGTAGTGTAACAGGAAAAGAAATGGTAATGGCTGCTAACTATCTTTACTTCTCTCCAAATAATCCTTTGATAATATTTTGTATCTTGTATCGCTGAATTTGAGTTTTGATTATAGGCTTTTTATACGCACATCATACGATGGGACGTATTATTGTATGGTGTTGTCTGTCTGTCTGTCCATCATAAACTTTCCTTGTCCGGGCCATAACATTGCGAGTCCTTGGTCTATTGTCACCATACTTTGTACACATATATCTCAATGTGATGGAGTGTCGCGTATAAAAATTGCATGCATAGTTTCTGAGTTATTCCCCCTTAGTTGATTTTTCGTAAACTTCCCTTGTCCGGGCTATAACTTCATGACTCCTTGCTCTCTGGTCACCATAATTTGTACACATGTGTGTCTAAGGGATGCCGGAGTGTCGTGTATAAAATTGCTCACCTCTGATGCATTGTTTCTGAGTTATTTCCCCATAGTTGATTTTTCGTAAACTTCCCTTGTTGGTATATAGTGTATGTAATTCATAAGTTCACATACTATATTAGCAAATAGTGGTATGACATGGCTATAACTTCCCCAAATGATATACAGATTATTCCAAGACAACTTGGTTATTCAGTCAAATACTGTTTCTCCATCAAAGTCTGGCGACGGGTGTATATTGTGCCTCAATTAGGCCCTTGTTTGTTTTGTTATGATTTTATTTCAATTGAAACTGCCATGGAAGAGAGTTTTGCTCAGAGGTTAAGAAAATAATGGTTAAAATGCACAATTACACCTCTGTAATTGATGGTGTTTCTTTACAAATTATATCTGGGTCCTTATCGTCTGGTTCCTCATCATGTTTGTTTTCAACATCTAGATCAACTTCAAGAAGCTCCTCAGTGAAATGGATATTATTCTGTTCTTCAGTTGTGACGGGTGTCTCTTTGTTGCTGGACGGTTTACTTTTACCAATACTCTGTTTGGATTGATTTGCCTTAAGAGAAGCCACAAAATCATTAAGCATACGTTTTGCTAAGTTGTGTATGCCAAATGGTGCTGCATCCTGATGTTGTTGGCGTCTGATAATAGATATGCTCTTATTCAGGGTAGCATTTATCATTGTCATGAGAACCCACATGACAAAAAATACAAATGTGACGTAATAAAACTGTGCAAAAATTGGTGACGCTTCTATCAAATTTGTTATGCTATTCCGACCAATCAAAGCGTTAGTAATTGTAGTCATGGCAATTAGGATGTTCCTGTACGTAGACAAAACACGTCCAAACAGAAGATAACCAACAAGCACATAAGCAAAATATACAATTCCAAATATGATAGCACAAGCAATCAAATCCCCAGAACAGTGATTTAGTACTGCAATAAGCTGTGTAATTCGGTTGTTGTAGCTAAGTACCTGCATGAGACGAAGGGTACATAGAAAAACGATGGCGGAGATGAAAGATGCAAGAACTTCATCCCATACAGCAATATGACTAAAGTTAACAAATTTGTAGTTATTCTTCGCAAAAGCATCTAGCGTCTGACTTGTAAAAATCCATCGGGCACAGTACATTCCTATGGCAGTGACTGTCATCAGTACACAAACCCAATTCAAAATCTGCCAACGATCTTCAAATATTTTCAGTTTGTGTTTTATGAAAGATCTGACCATTTTCACACAACAGATGAATATGCTTATGACAAAAATAATCTCACACAGGAAGATGAATGTTCCCAAACTACCATGGTGTTGGTGTGCCCTAAAGATTTGGACAAAGTTATATTGGTTTGTGCCACCAGTATCCGGAAACTCGACAAGAAGTGACAGATATGCAAATAAATTAATGTTACTGTTGTAAAGGGTAAATTCCACCATCACTGCACGAGTTTTACGATCAAGCCAAGAATTTGCTTTCAGTTCTTGTAATGTCTGAAGCGAGACATCATAGTTGATGCCCATATCTGCAACATATCCTCCACCCCCATATAGACTGTGGTCCCCTAACAGTGGAACACCCCACAGGTCAACAGCTGACGTGAACTGCCAAGCAGAGCTACTCAGTTTTAGGATTTCATCTGCTGGACACGGTCCATCTGCCCATCCAATGCAATAATCGTGGTCCTCCTCTCCAGAAACAAGGTAGTCTTTGTAACATGTACGATAGGCCATCAATGGAAAAGGACAGCTTCCTGGAAATTTAGAAAAAGATGGTATCATTCTAAAAGCTTAGATTACAAAATGTCCACAAATTGGGGTCACATGATGAACGACATCATATGATGACTGTCCCCAGATTTGGGTCACATGATGGACAAAGTTATATGATGACAGTGTCGACAGATTGAGGTCACATGATGAACGACATCATATGATGACTGTCCCCAGATTTGGGTCACATGATGGACAAAGTTATATGATGACAGTGTCGACAGATTGAGGTCACATGATGAACGACATCATATGATGACTGTCCCCAGATTTGGGTCACATGATGGACAAAGTTATATGATGACAGTGTCGACAGATTGAGGTCACATGATGAACGACATCATATGATGACTGTCCCCAGATTTGGGTCACATGATGGACAAAGTTATATGATGACAGTGTCGACAGATTGAGGTCACATGATGAACGACGTCATATGATGACTGTCCCCAGATTTGGGTCACATGATGGACAAAGTTATATGATGACAGTGTCGACAGATTGAGGTCACATGATGAACGACATCATATGATGACTGTCCCCAGATTTGGGTCACATGATGGACGACGTCATATGATGACGATGTCCACAGATTGGGGGCACAGGATGGACGACGTCATATGATGACGATGTCCACAGATTGGGGGCACAGGATGGACATTGTCATATGGAGATACATCGTCCTGTGAATAGCTAGGGTCTTAAAAAGGGTCTGTTACTAGTAGCTACCTCACTGAACATCATGTGGGATGCTATCCCGAGCAAATTATCACATATTATAAAGTACTGCAAACATTGGTGATAACTATGAAATAAAACATTTATAATAATCTATTCAACAAAAATGTGATATCTTCCAAAATGGAAAGTGTTATTACACGCCAACGACAAAACAAATGTGAAAAGTTTGAAATCTTTCAAATAGATAATATTTTCAAGTACCCTAAACTGACAAATTCAGCTGTGGACTTGTGACAACATACCAGCCTTTACACGAAGCTGCCTGAGTCGTACAGGACCCACTCTATAATTCTGACTGTCACGGACGTAACTTTTCTCACCGAGTGTGAGCTTCGTACCGGTGTAGGAGAGTGTTGGGAACACAAACGGCAGAAGTGTGTCTTGCATCCATGTGTAGAAATCATCAGTTGTTACGACCTGAAAATTAACACATAGAGATGGTCTCAAACTTAATTATCATCAGTGTATACATAAATAAAGATTGAAGAAATCATAAATATTAATTTCTTTTAACAAGGAAAATGGAAACAATGCCGCTTATTATCTTATGATTAAAACACAAGAGGCCCAATGGGCTTTACATCATCTGGCGATAAAGACATATAGGATAGAGGCCAAATAGGCCACATTATTTCAACGTTAGAATATCTAGTTTAGATATTTTAACACTTCATATTTGCTAATACATGTAATTAAATTTGCATGAATTTTGAGATGAATGTTTCCAGAGGACTATTAAGTGTAAACCTGTCCTGTGAAAATTTAACCTTTCCTTAAAATATTTCCTTCCATGACAATTTATTCTACAACGAAATCACAAAACAACAAAATGCTACACAATCTACATCATACTTTGTCGAATCGTAGTGTATCCAATGACGGTTTTGCAAGTGGACTCTTGAGTAGGTGATTCTCAATGTGGGCCCTAAACTGATAGGACCTGCTGTCACGGTTACTGTAGCTGATGAGATACAGAATGGTTATGAAGAGTATGTAACAGAAAAGTTCCAGGCACACCATCTTAGCCTTTAATTCCTTTTGTCGCCGTTCCTTCATTTTCTCCACAAATTCTCGACCTAGCTGGGTTGTTGGATATTCTGGTTTCAAATTGCCTGTTGAAACATTATTGTAATTTCTAAAATTTAACAGATAAATTATTACTTTATAAGAGGAAAAACGAATTCTGTATTTCAAAAGGCACAATATTGTTAAAAAAGGAAGAAAATACTGACATATCAACAGAACATTAAATCTAACTAAAATTTGATGTAACTAGGGCAAAATAGAAAGAAATGATTTACATGGAGACTTCTGAAAGCTAGTTTTGATGTAACTAAGGCAAAATAGAAAGAAATGATTTACATGGAGACTTCTGAAAGCTAGTTTTGATGTAACTAGGGCAAAATAGAAAGAAATGATTTACATGGAGACTTCTGAAAGCTAGTTTTGATGTAACTAGGGCAAAATAGAAAGAAATGATTTACAGGGAAACTTCTGAAAGCTAGTTTTGATGTAACTAGGGCAAAATAGAAAGAAATGAAAATGGAGACTTCTGAAAGCTAGTTTTGATGTAACTAGGGCAAAATAGAAAGAAATGATTTACATGGAGACTTCTGAAAGTTACTTTTGATGTAACTAAGGCAAAATAGAAAGAAATGATTTACATGGAGACTTCTGAAAGATACTTTTGATGTAACTAAGGCAAAATAGAAAGAAATGAAAATGGAGACTTCTGAAAGCTAGTTTTGATGTAACTAGGGCAAAATAGAAAGAAATGATTTACAGGGAGACTTCTGAAAGCTAGTTTTGATGTAACTAGGGCAAAACAGAAAGAAATGAAAATGGAGACTTCTGAAAGCTAGTTTTGATGTAACTAGGGCAAAATAGAAAGAAATGATTTACAGGGAGACTTCTGAAAGCTAGTTTTGATGTAACTAGGGCAAAACAGAAAGAAATGAAAATGGAGACTTCTGAAAGCTACTTTTGATGTAACTAGGGCAAAACAGAAAGAAATGATTAAAAGGGAGACTTCTGAAAGCTAGTTTTGATGTAACTAGGGCAAAACAGAAAGAAATGAAAATGGAGACTTCTGAAAGCTAGTTTTGATGTAACTAGGGCAAAATAGAAAGAAATGATTTACATGGAGACTTCTGAAAGTTACTTTTGATGTAACTAAGGCAAAATAGAAAGAAATGATTTACATGGAGACTTCTGAAAGATACTTTTGATGTAACTAAGGCAAAATAGAAAGAAATGAAAATGGAGACTTCTGAAAGCTAGTTTTGATGTAACTAGGGCAAAATAGAAAGAAATGATTTACAGGGAGACTTCTGAAAGCTAGTTTTGATGTAACTAGGGCAAAATAGAAAGAAATGATTTACAGGGAGACTTCTGAAAGCTAGTTTTGATGTAACTAGGGCAAAACAGAAAGAAATGATTTACAGGGAGACTTCTGAAAGCTAGTTTTGATGTAACTAAGGCAAAATAGAAAGAAATGAAAATTGAGACTTCTGAAAGCTAGTTTTGATGTAACTAAGGCAAAATAGAAAGAAATGATTTACAGGGAGACTTCTGAAAGCTACTTTTGGGCCAAGGTAAAGTGACTGCATTGTCGTATCATAGAGCTAGACAACGTGAGCATTTTTGTTGAGTTTACTGTCTCCCTAGACAGTAGGAATACAAGATAAATGGTGGCTAGATTAATGGTGCTGATTACTGTGATACCTACATAACTTTGAGGGCTTCAAATCTTTAAATGATTTTAAACAGAAGTTGAGCCTGGCCAATTAAGAGGTTAATATCTGTAAAGAGTTAAAACCCTACTTTTGTTGTCTTTGGGTTCTGAGGCATGTCTCTTGGCTTCCTCCAACACTTTGTGGATGTCCAAATCAGCATTGCTCTCCAACGATTGTTTACGGAAGAAATAGGAAATGATAAATGCAACTGTAATGACCTGAAACATATATAAAGTATTTGAAAATTTACCTTCATTTATATAATTCTAAATAAAAACCTGACCCAGGTAAATAGCCAGGTCTATGATGTAACTTATAATTAAGTCAATTAAATATGTAAAATTTAATGACAGAATACCCTTTAATCACTTTACGATTAAATGAATAGTGATTTTGCATGACATGTGTATTAGTGTCATTGAATATTATGTATATGATTAAGAACCACCTGTAACACAAGGACTGGCCTTCTGTTAGTCTATTAAACAACCTGTATACATCTAGCAGTATGTCCATGTCTGATAATAAGCCCAGCCAATTCTTTTTGTAGCTGCTGTCAAAATGCATCCTCAATACCCTCCAGAGGTTACACTCACTATCACTATCACTTTCTGCACCCCTGGCAAAATTGAAGGTTCCATGTGCAACACCTTGAGGACTTATCACATCAAACTATCATAATGGTATATTGTTATGGCTTTGAGGTTTGGTGTTGCTCCTTTGTACTCGTCGTGCTTATCAGTCTGAGACTGGTCAGCTTTTTCTCCTGAAACCCTCTCTAGACCAATCAAATTACTTTGTGTCTTCAAATTTGCCAGGAAATGTTTGAGGGATGCAAACGTGAAAGTTTTTGTAACCCCTGGAGTATCAAGGACAGTCAAAATCCTGACAAATGATATCTCGCTGTCCTGTAACAAACCCACCCACCCTACTTTGTATTGCCCTCCTGGGCTTACACAGGATAGATGTGGTACAGATTTAAAAAAAATTGGAATCGAAACCATTTACCTTGATGGGATCAGTGATGAAGACAGATTCTACAAAAGAGAATAGAAAACACAGCAGCCAATCTTCTGATTTTGTCTTCCCCCATTCCATACTGTATAGCATCACAAAGAAACCAGGCACAAGCACCGAGCAGACAGCTAAACCCCAGGCCACATACACACACCAGTAAGGTAGCATAAAGACTTTCTCATCTCTGATGCTTTTACGGCGGGAGTATTCATCTACCTGGGCAATGTCAGGTAGATTGGCAAACTTTGTAACTGCCTTTTCATCTATTTCTTCGATAATTGATTTTTTCTTTGATTTCTGGAACAAAATTGTCATCAAAAATACAGGCAAAGCACTGATGATTATACTCATAAAAGATATGTAGAGACTGGTAAGGGAAAATTTCAAAGGCCCAAAGGACACTTGGTTTTGTCCATCATCCGTCCTGTAGAACATTGCACTGGCAATCATGGCGAGGAAGAGCAAGGCTAAACAACAGGAGAGACGCTGAAGTCTAGTGAAGTTGCTGTCTTCAGGACGGATGAAAATGGAGAGCCACAGGTGTCCATCTGTTGTGGAATTTCTGGAGTTGTCCCTAAATAAAACAGTTACATATTACCACATGGACAAAGATTGTACTAAAGACACACAGGTGAATTGTATATTTTAATACAAATTTTGATCAGACACAGTAGAGCAAAACAATACATTAAACTGCATTATACAGCAGTTTTGTCCTTCTAGGACTCCTCTGTGATGATAGGTCTTAATTTTGAAACCTTAATTAAAATTTACAAGAATATCTTTGAAACTGACAAATACTCCCGGAAAACTGCTGTGATTTTAACCCATTTAACCCTGTGACCTTGAAAATGGACCAAGGTCATAAGGGGTTTGAACAATTCCAATAGCCCTACATTGCAGCATGCTACAGGCAGGACATGCTAAATATGTGGTTTAATATGTGGTTTAAAGATTGTGATAGTTCAGTCCACTGTAATCTTGAGTAGGCCAAGGACATTTCTTTGCACAAAATTGAAAACCTTCGTCACAGCATACTACAGAAGGTTTTAAAGCTAAATGGCAATGCACTACTAGTTTACCACTATCTCTTATCATGTTTATATGTATTATTCAAGAGTGTTCACGGAAATTGCTAATCTCAACCCATGAATATCTTATAAAATGTAGACTATTACTATGATCACATGGCACCCGTGAGCAATTTCTCTAAGCCATCGTTTTGCTGCCTAAACCTACCGAAAACGATAACCAAAGGAGTCAAGGTCTTCTCTTCCAGACACCGGCACTGCACACTGTGTCACTCCATCTTCTTCATCTAGGGATAACCAACGATTACAAATGAAGGTAAATCTGAAACAGAATTAGCCATCCCATGTAGTATGTTGTAAAATAGTTTTATCTACGTGTGACACATGGACCATACTCAAAGGAGTAGCCAGGGTTTGATACTTTATTTATACAACTTTGAAACTTCATTGAAACCTGGCTAGCAGTTTCTCAGGAAAAGCCAATTATCCTAGAAGGAAGGGCACGACCATGGACTTAAGGATCCTGCCTTTAAGACATGCTGACTGCCAAATTTGGTTCCTATGCATCCAGTAGTTAGCTGAATTGTAGGTTTAACAGACAATAGATGTGCGTGTCACAGACAAAGTGGTGTATTACCTTTCTGTTGACTGTAGGTCCATGATCTCCACTTTGCTGAGAAGCCATGAGGCAGCATTTCCTTTCCCACTGTTGTCATGCCAAATATCAAGGCAAGTAAGACTTCCCAGGCATCTCGGTACACACATAATAAACTTCTGCACACTTCCTGTACCAAATCCCTGAGACCAGAAAACATCAAAATCATCCTCCAGTATAGACTGTCAAGTGATCTGAATTTTTCAATCTATCATAACTAAGTCATTTACAAATTTAACTATAATTACCCATAATTCATCCCACATTTAGAATACAGGTATTCTTTTTTATAGAAGTCAAATGCAGGGTTTTCCATAATTTTGTTAGCAGTAGACTGTGTAGTGAAAGTAGGAGGCTGGCCTGCCGTGTACGTGTAGTCGTGTACGGAACATTATTACAGAACTGGATTGGTGTACTTGGCCAAATGATCAAAGTAGCCAATCAAATTGGCCGGCAACCGGTTCTTATGGAAAAGTTACATAAATGCTCGATTTTGATTTTGTATCATTAAAGTTTCAAGGGGTAAATACAGATATTTTATATTCATATTTAATTGCCTGGTCTTGAGAATGATGATTAAATTTAAATTTGCGTTCAATTTTCCTCAGCTAGAAAGCACCCTACCCTTTATAGATAGTATTAGCACTGTAACTCCGGTGTGACTAACTCACCATTGCAAGGATGATACTGGGGTCACTGTCTGACTGGAGACAGCAAAAGTTACGGGGTGGGACAGGAGTTATTGAATCATTGTAGGTAGTAAAGACAGGAAAAGTTACAGGGGGTAAGACTGGAGTCACTGACTCAGTGTAGGTATTGAGGTTTTACAAGGGGTAAAATTGCCATGGAGTCACATACTCACCAATGGCAGAAAGAGTGACAGCAGGTGAGTCATCACAGTAGTAAGAGTTACGGAGATGAGTTTCTATAGGCAGTAAGAGTAACAGTGAGTGAGTCAATATATTCAGTAAGAGTTAAAAGTTGAGTTGTTATACACATATGTGAGCAGGAAGGGTTACAGAGATGGAGTCACTAAAAAGAATGAGAGTTTAAATTGGTAAGTCATCTATATAGGTGGTAAGAGCTACAGAGAGTGAGTCAATATAAGCAGTAATAATAACATGGAGTGAGTCACTACAAGTAAGATTTATATTTGGGCTGAGACTTGAGTCACTGACTTGTAGGTGGTTAGGTTTAAAAATGGGTTTAATGGGAGTCACAGACTCATAATGAGCTGTAAGTTATAGGGGTGAGTTACTTTAGGTACTTTACTTTCAGTAAAACGTACAGAGAGACAGTCACTATAGGCAGTGATTTACAGGAAGTGAGTCACTATAAGCAGTAAGAGTTACATGGAGTGAGTCACTATAAGCAGTAAGAATTAGATGGAGCGAGTCACTATAAGCAGTAAGAGTTACGGGGAGCGAGTCACTATAAGCAGTAAGAGTTACGGGGAGCGAGTCACTATAAGCAGTAAGAATTAGATGGAGTGAGTCACTATAAGCAGTCAGAGTTACATGGAGTGAGTCACTATAAGCAGTAAGAGTTACGGGGAGCGGGTCACTATAAGCAGTAAGAATTAGATGGAGTGAGTCACTATAAGCAGTAAGAGTTACGGGGAGCGAGTCACTATAAGCAGTAAGAATTAGATGTAGTGAGTCACTATAAGCAGTAAGAATTAGATGGAGTGAGTCACTATAAGCAGTAAGAGTTACAGGGAGTGAGTCACTATAAGCAGTAAGACTGTGGAACTTGAGTTACTTATCAGTAGTAGGAGGCCTTGTAAAGTCTGAAAGTTATTCATTTGTGTATGCCTATACCTTTATCTGATCCAACCATAACAATGTTTAGCTGTGGTTCATTGCCTATGATTCAATAATAGGGTTAGTTTTGTGAAATCCTGTATGGTCCTAAGTGACTCACTTTGCTTTTGCCATCGTCAAGTGTCCGGATGCCAGTACTCCGTCGACTACTTGTGACTGCCATAAAGACACGTGACACTGTCCCAGCATTCCGCGCCAACCCCGTATGGATGGTGACAAGATACAAGTAATTGTCGTTTATCTGGTTATCTGACAGATATGATAGCGCCCACTGTAACATAGTTTCCATTCAAAAGTCAAAAAGCAGATTTTTCATTTGAATTTTGAGAGATTACCGTATACTGCAAAAATTTTAATTCTTACTGGGGTATATTTTCATTAAATTCAGATTGATTATCTAATATTTTGCATGAATTTTATTTTAAATGGATTTCATGAACACCATTTATCAATGAAATGAAGTGCCAATGTAAACAGTCTTACTGTTTGTTAATCATCATATCTTAGCCTTACATAAGTATAAGACTTTACACTAACTGGTCTCTTTTATAAATACAACTGAGAATGAGAAATCTTCCATACTGTTTCATGGTCATGGCGATCCCGTCTCCATGCCCACACGGCCACCAAGACGTATAACACAATGACTCCAACGAGAGTTCCCAGTACAGCTCCATTACTGACAATATCAAACTTTCCAAAAACGGAGTTAAAGTCGATGGAGTTTGGCGGTACATAAAATGTGTTGGCAAAGTATTGCCCCGGTGGATCTTTACAGATACATACTGTCTCTGAGGCGGTTGACTCAGTTGACATCTGGAGATAAAATTAATAACACAGAAATCAATAATTTGGATTCTCTCAATGACGTCATTAACATTTACATGTGTTCACAGCTATATGTCACCTTATCACTTCAACAAGGTCATGATGTAATGTCATCTGATCTTTACGACCCAGCATGACATCATCTTGTTATTTTCATGGTATGTCATAATGTCATTTTTTTCATTTTAAGCACTGCACAATGTCAGATTAATTATTAGTTCAAGGATGGTATGTCTTTCACTTGTCATAAATCCTCTGTAAGGGTGTACCCCTATTGTCTGACATGACCCACATGACATGATACCTTTCATCAATTCAGACCCTAACTATCTAATATGACCCACATGACATGACATATCATCTTTTAGGACGTCATGCATCATACATCAGAACTCTGTCTAACATGTTCTACATGATATCACATCTCATCGTTTTAGACCCTAGCTGTCTCACAAGGCCCACATGACATGGCATCTTGTATTGTCTTTTAGGACCCTAGTTACCCACCTTACATGATGTTTTGTCCCACTTGGCTTCCTCTTTGTTCCAGACTCGACATCCAGCAGTAGACATGACCATGTTATATGGTAACACCCGCGTAGCTGGAATAGTAATATTGCCTGATGATGTAGTGTTGTTACCAGCACTACGACGAGTTCTGGATACACTCCCATCTGGAACTGTAATCAAAACACAAAATTGAATAAAATTCTCCTGTTCAAACAGCCATCACAACAGAGAAAACTCTCAATATTTTAATCATAGCCATTTGTAGATGATCAATCCACTTTGAGAGATTTACACTAGTTGTGTGTTAATAGTGTGCATCTCTTCAGATCAACAAGTTATCTTACATGTCTCTAGATGTTGATGACCTGTTCAATGTAACCACCTTGAGAGATTCACACTAGTTGTGTGTTAATAGTGTGCATCTCTTCAGATCAACAAGTTATCTTACATGTCTCTAGATGTTGATGACCTGTTCAATGTAACCACCTTGAGAGATTCACACTAGTTGTGTGTTAATAGTGTGCATCTCTTCAGATCAACAAGTTATCTTACATGTCTCTAGATGTTGATGACCTGCTCAATGTAACCACCTTGAGAGATTCATACTAGTTGTGTGATAGTAGTGTACATCTCTTCAGATCAACAAGTTATCTTACTTGTCTCTAGATGTCGATGACCTGCTCAATGTAACCACCTTGAGAGATTCACACTGGTTGTGTGTTAATAGTGTGCATCTCTTCAGATCAACAAGTTATCTTACATGTCTCTAGATGTTGATGACCTGCTCAATGTAACCACCTTGAGAGATTCATACTAGTTGTGTGATAGTAGTGTACATCTCTTCAGATCAACAAGTTATCTTACATGTCTCTAGATGTTGATGACCTGCTCAATGTAACCACCTTGAGAGATTCATACTAGTTGTGTGATAGTAGTGTACATCTCTTCAGATCAACAAGTTATCTTACTTGTCTCTAGATGTTGATGACCTGCTCAATGTAACCACCTTGAGAGATTCATACTGGTTGTGTGATAGTAGTGTACATCTCTTTAGATCAACAAGTTATCTTACATGTCTTTAGATGTTGATGACCTGCTCAATGTAACCACCTTGAGAGATTCATACTAGTTGTGTGTTAATAGTGTGCATCTCTATAGATCAACAAGTTATCTTACATGTCTCTAGATGTTGATGACCTGCTCAATGTAACCACCTTGAGAGATTCATACTAGTTGTGTGTTAATAGTGTGCATCTCTATAGATCAACAAGTTATCTTACATGTCTCTGGATGTTGATGACCTGCTCAATGTACACACCAAAGGCTGTTGCTCATTCTGTATCTTCAGAACCTGATCTACATACATATCAGCTACACACAACATCTGCACGGTAAATGTTTGGGCCACTTTACAGAACCCAGGTCCAAGAAGCAACTAATTAACTCTGACTTAAATTCCTAATTGTATCACCAAGCAATATAAACTTTAACCCAAGATACATAAAAATTGTCAAAGAACATTCAATCAGCTGCAGCCAAGTAAAAGGATTTAAGATACACAGCATTACATTTGTGTCACCTGTACCGTTTTATCATATTGGTACATGACTACAAATTATTATCTCTTCAGGATAGTTGATTTAAGAATCTACACCAAGATTATATAAGAATAAAAAAATAAGATAAACTTCAAATAAATGGAATACATATGGAATAAATAAAATGAATGTGTACAGAATAGATAAAATGAATGTGTACAGAATTGATAAATGAATATGTACAGAATAAATAAAATGAATGTGTACAGAATAAATAAAATGAATGTGTACAGAATAAATGAAATGAATTTGTACAGAATAAATAAAATGAATATGTACAGAATAGATAAAATGAATATGTACAGAATAGATCAAATGAATATGTACAGAATAAATAAAATGAATATGTACAGAATAGATAAAATGAATATGTACAGAATAAATAAAATGAATATGTACAGAATAAATAAAATGAATATGTACAGAATAAAAAAATGAATATGTACAGACTAAATAAAATGAATGTGTACAGAATAGATAAAATGTGTACAGAATAAATAAAATGAATGTGTACAGAATAAATGAAATGAATATGTACAGAATAAATAAAATATGTACAGAATAGATAAAATGAATATGTACAGAATAAATAAAATATGTACAGAATAAATCAAATGAATATGTACAGAATAGATAAAATGAATATGTATTGAATAGATTAAATATGTACAAAATATATGACATAAGAACCTGTGTCCACTGTGATTGTGATATAGGCTGTGACCTGCTGACTGAACATGCCTCCAGGAACAACAACCATGAAAAATCCATCATTCAAATCACTATCTGGTACTTCATGCCGCCAATCATATGCAGAGCGTGTGGCTCCACTGCCGCCTTTCAAGTACATAACAAACTTCATCCCGTGTGTGATACCATCTACTCTCAACACCATATCATCGCCAGGAAACTGCCAGAAAAACTTGTAGCTGAAAAATTGAGACGAACTTTCATTCGTGTCTGCAGGAAAAGCTAGATACACAGTTTTTGGATTATTGTCTCCTTTGTTTGGGAATTTGACCTTGACCGATATATTGACCTCTTCCTCGTTGCTGTCCTTGACGGAAACAGACAGTACATTCGAGGTAATATATTGAGCTTCAGGATCCCAGGTGAAGGGATTCTTGTCAAACACGGTGATCTACAAAGGAAAGAGTTAACCCTCCATATACAGGAATCACTTTACCACAAATTTAAAGGCTTTTTTTTTCAAATTTCTGTTTACAAAAGAACAGGAAAAAAGGGGAAAATCAGATAATTAGAGAAAGAATTAAAAGTTTTATATACTATTAAAATAATTCTTAATTAGTAATTTAGAGATTACCAGGGTATAAAACTTAGTGATATCTTGGTAGGATGTTGACTAGTGTAAATTTCTTTTTTGTCATATTTTTTTTTTTTTTATTTGTGAATTATTAAACAGAAAATGAAAAACATTGAAATGTCTACATGATCTTGGATGTTAGATTGAGATGTGAATAAGTATCTCATTTTCCAGTCAAGTTTCCTTCCTGAACGAACCTGTATGTCTTTGCTGTCCACACTCTGGTCGTCTGTTTCTGCGAACTCCATAGTGATGTTGTTCCTTACTAGTGGAGTTGTCGTCAGTTCGGGTAACGTCAGTGCTGTCATGCTGGTACTTAATCCTGGTCTGTTGACAAACACAGGGAGTTGTTTCATATTTACCATTCCTTTCAACACTTTTCCCAGTGATGACAGTGATGCCAGGATGCTGGGTACAAATTGCTGAGCCTAGAGAGAATTACAATTTCACATCATTTCCAGGGACTAATTTTGGTAACACGGAACAAATATATATTTATCTGGCAATGAGGCAATGACTCATAATAAGCCTGGCTACTTTTATTGCTATTAGATACTAAGGTGAAAAATATCATTTCAATGTCCTGTAATAAGCCCACCCCCTAATTTTAGCCAAAACTTCAGTGTTGGCTGTTTATATGTTTGCTTGTTGGGTTGTATCCCTATGTCAACAGCCAAGGTCATATTAAGGTAAAGTTTTCCTAAAAAAGTTGGTGCCTGTCTCACTGAACAACATACAGGAGGCCCACTCCATGCCAACCTGACCAACTCAGGAAAACCTCAGCTTTCTGATAAACAAACCGACCTGAACCTACACACTCCTGATCTTCACCTTGGGTAGAATAGTCCTAGGCTCTAATAAATCAGCTATTGTAGCCCCCATTCTGAAACCTGGGCTATATGATACCTTTCTTCAAAGGAAACAATGGTAAATTTTTATATAATCAGCTATGATATAAATATTTACATACAACTTCACTTTTCTCTGTTAAAACTTTTTCATAAAAATATTGACGACTGCCAATGTTCTATATTGTTTTTAAAGTGTTCAAATTTGACCCCAAAGTGTATCATAATCCAACACCTTCCTTATTAGGAAATAAAATGAAATCACATTTCTGAGAACTACCAAATCTGATTTTTTTTTTTATTTCAACACACTGTCTATTCTGACCAAGAAATAATGTCACACAGGTTTAAATTAATTCAGGTTTTACTGGACCAAACAGAAATGTGATCTTTTTACCTTTTCATCAGTTTCGTTTTTCTTCAAAGCCTGTGACTTGGAGATTTGAGAGACAAAGAAAGAGCGTTCCATTTCCGTCATATCCTCTGTGCTGTCTTGGTTAGAGTTTACAAAGTCATTGTTGGCTACAATGGTCTGTTGTATATCGTATAGGTCTGTACTGGTCGGGTTGTTTGGGGTTCTAGTTGTGATTACACTTTTCAAAGCGTTGTCTGCGACACGCAAAATCGCTAAAACCAATCAAATGCAAAAAATCAAAAATATCATGGAACTCATTATTTTAACTTGATATACTACTAGTAGCAACAACTCATACAAAATCATATGTAATATTCATATTATTGAAATGTGTGGACATTCTTACAAAACTTTCAAATGATCTCCTCATGAAAAAGAACACAATTTCAAAAGTTTAATTTCTGAAACATTTGACAAAAAAAATCCATGAAGAATTATCATATACATTCCGATGTCCATAATCTGGTCTTCATGAAAAATTAATAAAATTTCCAAATTTGCATTTTTGAAATATTAGAAGGGAAAATAAAGAAAATACATAAAAAAAATATCACTAACACTCAGATGTTGTTTCATAGTCAGCAAAGAGTGGATATATATCTCCAACAGTGGTGTTTTGAAACATTGTTAGTATCAGGTCGTTTGTAGTGACAGCCGTATTCTGTAAAACAAGGGAATTAACTCATACGACACAAAAGTTTAGGTACTTGAAAATGGCAAACAATGGCAAAGGTCTCATTAAGAAAGGAAAAAAGATCCTTGAGCAATCTTGGGGCCAAACATTTTAATAATCTTTATCAGTTCTATACAATATTGATCTTTTCTCTAACCTCACCTTCTTTCTCCTTTTTCTTTCAACCATTTAACAAGGAATCCTGCATATGAAATCTAAGACATGTCTTAAAAGTTTAGAACTTTCTGAGAAATAACAATAACAAACTTAAAACAGTCAAAATCAGAGATGGTTTCTCATCAGCCATTTTGTTTTCTTGAGCAGACAAAAATTTAAATGGGCAAAAATATTGGCCATGAGAAACATATATCAGGTATATTTGAGAATATCCTTCAAGTTCATCTCAAGAAATTGCGATAACATGGATTGTTTACGAATAGACACCAAAACACAAATATAACGCGATTTGAATGGCCCATATCTGACAATGGTGGGTTACTAAAAATTTGCAAGCTCTTCTAAGATTCACAATAATACAAATTAAGTTTTTATCACGATCTGGTCCAAGCTATGTTAAAAATACTTTGGATGAATATTTTATCAAGACTTTAAATCATCTTACCACAATTCCTTCATCGATTAGTGAAGGATCCATAATGACAGAGCCGATACCTTGTGCCAGGTGTTTCACCGTAACCATACCAGACCCCTGTTCAGCTAACGTAGTATTGTGTAAGATATAGGAGTACTGTTCCGTCACCTAATTTGGAAAACCAAGTAAAAATGTTTCTATCAGTTAGTATAACACTTTACATCATCAAGGTATCTCTTTGTTTCTGAAATTCATGTAACCTGATTTGACCATGAACTGGGGATTTATTTTCTTGTTGTGGTCCAAATGTCTTGACTCATGCTCTGGAGCATGTTTACAGATAAACAAAATAAGAAATACAACATTCAGGGTCTTATGACATTGCCTTGCAGCACTCGAAGCATTTAAAGTGACAGCCATTTGAAAAAGTGACTCATTTAAAAGAGCTTCACTCGTTATTGCAACTTTCCAGGTCCTCTGCCACCAACCCCGAACCACACCTCTCTCAAAAAAATCCCCCCAAAAAACAGAAAACAAAATGTGTTTATGCAACACTATTTCCCAAGTTGCAACAAAATTCTTATTTGGGACATTAAAACTGTACTGTGTAAGCACTGTGCTAATTGCATACACAATATTTGAAACACTTACAGTGTAATAATTAAGGCAAAAGTTTTTCACATGTAGGTCAAAGGTCATGGTCAAGGTCACATGGTCAAAACATTTGGTACCATTGGAAAGGTCTTGTCACAATGAACACACATGCCAAATATTAAAACTCTACCTCTTTCGGTGCAATAATCTATATGGCAATTATCTTTCAAATGTAGGTCAAAGGTTACGGTCATAGTAGGATGATAGTATTAATCTTTTCAAACCTATGAATTGCAGATATTGTTACAGAAAATAGTCTCAACTGTTTCTGTATTAACATGGATAAAATGAACAATCAAAGTTCAAATTCTTTATAAGGTCTTATTTACAATAGACAAGTTTTCATGGGCCGAGTTGAATGGTGGATCAATGTAGTCAGCCCAAAGCCTATCCCAGGTGAAGCTTGTGTTGCTCTCCTCTGTTGCAGACATGACAACAAGACTGCCAGTATCCTCTGGTACACTGGTGGTTGGAAAATCCTATGTAGTGAAAAAAAAACAATATCCAAATATCAATGCTACAGTATTCATAAAGAATTAAAGAGGAAGTGTGCAGAATATTTCTACCTCAAAAGAATTTAAGTGTTAATTTTGACTTTTTAATGATGACCAATGACCAATAAATAATTTTGGAAGTTGATGTTACAACACTAAGGTGTGAATATATGTTTTCACCAAGAAGAGTGTTTCAGTACTATGGAGGCTTGCAAGAATATACAATTACACATTGGAGATGGACGGACACACACATTAATTAGGATCAAGGGTGGAACAATGAAATTAGTGGTGACAGGATTAAAGAGGCTGGGTAGAGGGATAACTGTATTAGTAGTGACAGGATTAAAGAGGCTGGGTAGAGGGATAACTGGATCAGTGGTGACAGGATTAAAGAGGCTGGGTAGAGGGATAACTGGATCAGTGGTGACAGGATTAAAGAGGCTGGGTAGAGGGATAACTGGATCAGTGGTGACAGGATTAAAGAGGCTGAGTAGAGGGATAACTGGATCAGTGGTGACAGGATTAAAGAGGCTGAATAAAGGGATAACTGTATTAGTAGTGACAGGATTAAAGAGGCTGGGTAGAGGGATAACTGGATCAGTGGTGACAGGATTAAAGAGGCTGAATAAAGGGATAACTGTATTAGTAGTGACAGGATTAAAGAGGCTGGGTAGAGGGATAACTGGATCAGTGGTGACAGGATTAAAGAGGCTGAATAAAGGGATAACTGTATTAGTAGTGACAGGATTAAAGAGGCTGGGTAGAGGGATAACTGGATGAGTGGTGACAGGATTAAAGAGGCTGAATAAAGGGATAACTGTATTAGTAGTGACAGGATTAAAGAGGCTGGGTAGAGGGATAACTGGATCAGTAGTGACAGGATTAAAGAGGATGGGTAGAGGGATAACTGGGTAGAGGGATAGAGGGATAACTGTATTAGTAGTGACAGGATTAAAGAGGCTGGGTAGAGGGATAACTGGATCAGTAGTGACAGGATTAAAGAGGCTGGGTAGAGGGATAACTGGATCAGTAGTGACAGGATTAAAGAGGATGGGTAGAGGGATAACTGGATCAGTAGTGACAGGATTAAAGAGGCTGGGTAGAGGGATAACTGTATTAGTAGTGACAGGATTAAAGAGGCTGGGTAGAGGGATAACTGGATCAGTAGTGACAGGATTAAAGAGGCTGGGTAGAGGGATAACTGGATCAGTGGTGACAGGATTAAAGAGGCTGGGTAGAGGGATAACTGGATCAGTGGTGACAGGATTAAAGAGGCTGGGTAGAGGGATAACTGGATCAGTGGTGACAGGATTAAAGAGGCTGGGTAGAGGGATAACTGGATCAGTGGTGACAGGATTAAAGAGGCTGGGTAGAGGGATAACTGGATCAGTGGTGACAGGATTAAAGAGGCTGGGTAGAGGGATAACTGGATCAGTGGTGACAGGATTAAAGAGGCTGGGTAGAGGGATAACTGGATCAGTGGTGACAGGATTAAAGAGGCTGGGTAGAGGGATAACTGGATCAGTGGTGACAGGATTAAAGAGGCTAGGTAGATGGATAACTGTATTTAGTAGTGACTTTAATTACAGTTCTACATTTCTATGATAAAACTTACCAAAGCATTGATGGTAGAAGCTGCATTCTCTACGGACATGGTGACAAGTTTGAGATTTCCTGATCCAATAGCTGAATCTATATTTTCATCTACAGTTTCAACAAACGATGATACCTCACTCACAGACATATCATTGATGGGTGGAGAGGACTGTCAAAATAAATACTTCCATGTAACATACAAAATTACTGATTAATCAAATATTCTATATTCAATTTCTAATATGCATTTTAGAGGTAAATTGGTCTGTTATCTCATTTTTAATCTTTTCTATTCCTGCCAAAATCTCTTTTCGTCAAATTCTGTCCATGATTCTAAATTCAAACCTTTTTTTTTCCAAAGATTTTTCCTTTGTTTAAATTAATATTGTTGATAAATTCATTATAAATCTATTAAAAGCATGAAGTATGAACATGTATTGTTTTGAAAATATTAATTTGAAGCATGAATCAATTAACTAATTTATCATTAAGATTGATAATTTGAAAAAAATACCTGTATGACCCAGAATTGTATTGTTGTGTGTAATAAGAGGGAAAATGATAAATATAGACAGATTTAATCATACCTAGAGACCATTCTTGGGTATTAGACCACAGAATTTGACTGAAACTAGAATCTAGATTTATATGACTCTAAGAAATATACTTACTCTAACAAGAACAGTTTCTTCGGTGAAATCTCCGAAGATGTCATAAATTCTCAACAGAAGATCAAGGATATAAAGATTGGTTGAGTTTCCCTCTGGTAAATAAACACCCACTTTTCGTTCAGCTGTGGATAAAATTAATAGCGACAGCTGAAGGAGACAATGAAGATGTTCTGGTTCCAAAATTTATAATGAAATAATTAAATCTCATACAATTTTTTTATTTTATGTCTGTTTCAAATTTTTTCTCGTAAAGTTTTTAAGCTTTATTTTTTATAAAATTAATTATAAAAAAGTGATTTTCTTTGTTGTATAAGACACATGAAATTTGTTAAATGAACATTTAATCTTGTTTGGTATTCAATACTTCCAGTACATAGTGTTGTTTTTACAATACAATGTATTCAATAAATGATAACCATTTCAGGAATGTCAGAAATTCAATTTAAAAATTAATCACTCAGTATTGTATAATTATGTAGAGATCTACATTAGCTTTTATTGAAGTTTTGTCACAGTTTTAACTTTCACTCACAAAATTTAAGTTGGACTTAAGATATACAGGACCTGGCACCAATAATCTGATTTTGGTTATTAAGTTTGATATGTTCTAGATGTTACAGACTCAACTGACCCCATGAACAGACAGTCTGAAATGTCAGCTGAAATGGGAGATGTTCAGAAATGCTTTAATACTCACCACCATGATAGAGAAGTGTTGGTTCCTCTGATCCCTTCCTGGCAAAAACTCTGTAGAAAAATGATTCCTTCCAATCCAGATTTAAATTTCTATTTTTGCGGTATCCCTCATCTTTCCAGTTTTTAAAATTGATGTTAAACTGTGTTACTCCAGCTTTACCTTAAATAACAGTTAAATAATTCAACAATACCGATGACATATCAATGATAACAAACCGATTTTTACTCCATCATACAGCATTTCCCTCGCTTCAAGCTCCGGAGATGAACACATTGCTAAAATGAGAGGTGGGGATATAGCAGGGTTTGATTTGGGTGGGCTTATTGCCAGACAAGGGCTTATTCCATACATAGAGTTGGTGCGAAAATTGCTACCCATTTTGAACCAAGTACAGCTAGGTATAAAACAGTTGACTGACCATGATGTCATATAACACTGACTATATGACATTTGTGTTCCCAAATGATGGTACCACTGGCATGACTTTTGTTCTTGTAGTAAAAATATTTATAGGTCAATATTTCCATCTAGTAATATGATCAGGAGTAGACGTATTTGTGGAGATTGAACAGAAGTGAATTAAGCAAAACTTCAATGCCACAACTAATTCTACCTCAGTATTTTTGTACTCTTTTTAGAAAATTAAAACATTTGTCGATGATTATGTATTTGTTTGAATATTTATTTTCATACAATACTATTTCATCAATATATATACGAGGTAATTATCAAATCATTTGCACATATATACATCACAGTGACCTCATTAAATATCCTTAATTGTGAAATATTTCATGGCGGCAAATTAAGAAATGTGAAATATTTCATGGCGGCAAATAATTATTTGTGAAATATTTTATGGCAAACAATGATTTGTTAAATATTCCATGTGCCAACCAACAAGATATGTCCAGACTTAACGACGATGTCAAAGGATGAAAAATTAATAAAATTTTGACGTGCAGTCAACTTACCACTCGAAGGCGAAACTTCATATTTGCCATCGTACGGTGGTATATTTGTCTCGATCAAAACAAGAGTTAGACTTGAAGAGTTCCCGAACAGTGTGGTATTCAGCTCCACGATGAAACTACTATCTGGTAACAGAATGTACTTACTGAGCACGAACGCAGGAGAGTTCAGTTCTGGAAAAAATCATGTTGATGATGAAAGTGCAACTGGACAAGACTAACATGTTACAAAAATATTCTGGCATTATTCCTACTAAGTTTTAATTTGTATGTTCACGAAAAAAAAACATTTTTAGAATGTCCTGCATCTGATAAGATGATATGTGTTTCACAGGAAATTAAATCGTGCTTGTGACCTCAGGCAAGACACTAACTGCGTTGCTGTGGACATCCTCAATAGTCCAGGGGTTATGATCACTTCAGCTCTCTGCATCCCTAGGACATGTCATGGCAAAATTGAAGGTTCCTAATGCGACACCTCGTGGCAAGACAAAAAGGCTGGTTTGATCCTTTGATGTACAACAAAAAGGAGCGTATCAGCCTGTGATTGGTCAGTTTTTTCTCATGGGATCAATCAAATTAACTGATTTGTGACTTCAATTTTGCCATGACATGTTCCAGGGGTGCAGAGAACGAAAGTGGTCGTAACCACTGGAGTACCGAGGATGCGCTCTGGATAGCATCCGGATAACATCCTTTATAAACAGAGCTAAATTCAAAATTACAATGCCTGTCCACAGTGCAATATATACACTGCAAAAAGGTCTGTAAGGAATTTTGTAAAGCTATTTTAACAGTCACTCACCACTCTGCAATCCATTCTGCCAATCAAGGAGATCCGATTTAGTTTTGGTAACGGTGTCAAACTGGAACACGTTCCATGCATAACTGATGGTAGTCAGTTCATTGTAGGTACAAGAGAAACAATTTGCACGCAGAGAGAGGATGGAACTGCTAGCTGTCTTTGGTAAACAGTTTAGACGGCAGCTGAAGTATGAAAAACATGGCTAGGACATAAAAAACCAAATACCAACTCAAATTAAGGTTACATCCCAAAACTCTCCAGATTAATGATGTAAATTGTCTTGCGCCTCCAGATCATAACATTGTCCACAATGATTGCAATTTAACTAACTTTCAAGAGTGCAATTTTGAGTTGTCAATCTATACTTGCAATCATGCACACAAATTAAGGTTTTAATTCAAATTTCTGCTTTGTATATTTTTCATTCTTTTCAAAATTTTGCTTTATCTTCTGCTATAACAATTCATTCTTCTTGAAAATGGAACATGTTTGTAAAACATCAATGCCCTGCCGCCAAGGCCTTGACCTTGTACCCCTGAAACACAACAATGTCCAAAATATACTCTACTTGAAGTAAAGTTTTATCAAATTTCATGAGAGAATGAAGCTCCTATGAACTTGCTAGATGCTTACATTAAATTGGGACAGGACCATTGAAACGGGACTGGACGCGATTGGACGAGACAGGACAGACATGGGCAACGCTTTATGCACCACCATTTTGTGTCGGGAAATAAAATTCCAAGGAAAAATTAGGATTTTTTCGATAACGAATAAGGGTTGAATACAAAAACTGGAATGAGAAAATTTCAACGAGAGTAAATCAATACCATAACTATGAATTCAACATATGGAGTTTTGAAGTGCCAAAAACAAAACTGGTACTTATAATTTGCCTGCTTTTACCTCTTTCGCGTAACCCTGTTGAAATGGTCGAGGCAGCATAGAACTAAAATGTCTCCAGTGAAATTTGAAAAAAATATTTAACCAAAATGAATTCCATTTTAGCTCATACTGTACATAACATTGCAAGAAATGTTTGTTTACACCGACTACGTTTTAGTGCAAAAATTCTGAAACTAACAAAGTTATACAGCCAGATCGTTTCGGACAGGCACAGCTGGCTTCTTTGAAGTACAAGTGCCAAATATTCTATTGTCCAGTCTCGGTCCCAGTCCGTTGTTAGCATTTTTCTTGCAAGTCAACAGCCAGTAAAGCCGTTTAAAACGCATATGCATATATTTTCATATTTTCATAATTGCACTAATTCATTAATAAGTGAGAATACCATGAAATTTTACTCTGCAAAACGCTTAGTTACTGCTATAATGAATATGTAAAAAAAACCTTTCCATTGTTTGTTGAAAAAGAGCAGATAATTTTATAAAACTCTTACTACCTGATGTCAATAGCCGGGGGATTTCCTGGAACAGATTGGACTCGTTGCTGAAAGTAGCTAAAAGAATCGTTGGCACTGACTCTCATTGTGATGAGAAACCCTAAAGAATCTACGACATTTCCAGCGCTGATAACCAGTCTGGCATTTCCATCTGACTTTTCCATGAAGTTTGAACAGAACTGTTGTTGAATGTAGGTATCTGTGATGTTTCTTAGCAACTCGTCTTCTGATGCCAGGGCATTCCAATCTGTGAGGGCCATGGCACTGATCTGTACTGGTGCATCGACAAGATATCCCACTAATGAGGTGTAGTCAGAACTACGTTTTCCACAAATATAATAGTAATCAGCCCCTTGCCGCTCCGGGATGAGGATGGCTATTCTATTAATGATGTTTCTTAGACTTGTCAGATGTGTCTTTTCAGACTGGACGGCACTCAGCCAGTTTTGGACATCAGTTTTAATTGTCGAAACAGAAGATGAAACAGAGTAATCACCGAAAGTAAGGAATTTTTGATAATATTCAACTTTTGTGTCAATGATTTCAATCAAATTTATTAGATCTGCGTACATGTAACCAAAACGAGTGATCTGACTGTCAAAAAGAATGAATTCATCGGTGAAATTTGGGTTTGTGGTCATGTTACAGAAATCCTCTTTCGGAGGATTGCTATTGAAATAGGTGATGAATGTCAGATTCTTCACAGCAAGTACCAGATTATCAATTCGATTTACGACAAAAGTATGATTTGACCAGGATTGTTGTGACATATCATCCGGGAACAATATTTCTTCGTTGATATCGACGTTGAGCATGTCGTAAATTGAGTCGATCGCGAGTGGAGTACATGCCCATGAGATTTCCAAAGTGGACGTAAATCCAGGGCCTTTACTCATGTCGTAGGAGAGGGTGAGTCCATCAATGGTGTGGGTGCCTTCACCAAGCATACGAACAGACCCGCCTACGATTGCTGCATAAGGGGGAGGGTATGATACACTGATGAACAGTTCATCTTCCAGCCATATTTGAGACCCTCCGTGATAGTAAACTCTCAGGACCACCTTGTAGAATCCCAATTCTGATGCATCGAATGGAAGACTAGGCTCAGTGACAGAGAGAATATGTGTTGCGTTGCTTGTTATAGTAGGTATATGAAATACATTCCACATGTAATATGGATGTATATTTTGTCTTTTACAAAAGCTGGTTTGGAAGACCTGTACTATAGAATAGATCTCAAAGCTAGCGGCAATATAGATAGACATGGGCGTTTCTAAGGAGGAGTAAAGCGGATCCAGTACGTTGTTACTGAAGCAAGCTGGCAGTACTGAAAACCCATAATCAAAGAAATATTAGCTATTTGGATATTGTTTTCTATTGCAATGAAATCCATTGGCGAGTTCACTAAATTAAGTCAAAATTTGATCAAGCACAAAACGAAAGCTAACAATTATCTTCTAACAATAAATTCATATCAAATAAATAAATAAATCAAAAGCTGGTTATCATTTTTTATATAGTCATTTAAGCTTCACTGCTAAATTTTACATAATAAAATTGCTTGACCTTACAGTGACCTTCACGTGCCAAATTATTCTTGTCATAGCAGTAAACTTCCTTGACTTGTCAGTAAGATTACTAGCACCTTCACTTTACTAATCATTGCCTACAACGACTTGACCTTAGTAACTTTCACACTCCCCACAATTATTTGACCTCAGTAACCTCAACAATTCTCAAAATTATTTTAAGATCTTGGTGACCTTGACAATCCTCACAATTATTTTATCTTTGGTTTTCACGAAAATAAATTTTATAAGACTCCACAGTAAGGTGTAAGTACTTTGTCAATATCATGCTGTTTACACTTTAAGTACATCCTTACCCTCACACTCCGCGGTCTGGTTGCTCTCCCCGATACAATATATTCCTTCACAAGTTGGCGGGTCGTCACACATTCTTTCTCTTGTTTTGGTTCCCGTTCCAATGGACACAGAGCAACTAGACCAGTTACCCCAATCTGACCAACCTCCATCGACAGTCGCTGTTAACATACCCGTCAAACAAATGGTAAAAAACAATATGTACATAGAGCCTTCAATACTCATCTAGATTTTAAATCAAACAAACGTGACAAAATGTTTTTTTCTGGTGCAATGCAAAGTATTTCGATTTTCCCATGTTGGGTTGTATACGTATCATTGTAGGATGTGGAAACTTACTGCCCCTCCCCCACTCCCTAATCCCCCCACCCTCCCCCTTTTATAACACTGGAACTAACTAATCACAAATAAAGTGCAGAATTCAAAAGCTAATCATACAAGCGTACTATTTTTTGCACAATATCAAAGGAAAAGAAAATAAATAAAATCTGTTTACAGGTTCTACCTGAAAAAATTTGGGTCGGAAGGTATTTTTTAAGGATGTATGAAACTCGCGCGTTTGACCGGAAGTAGAGCATGATTCAGTATAAGATAAAATCAAGCGTAGTATCATAGACGTTTTTACGTTTCGATATACTATGTTACCAATAGTTGTACTTTGATTTCTTTCCTATAGACTACAAACTGGTTGACGTTTTGACGACTTTTTAGCGTCAAAGTTCAACTTTTTTCCGTTGCTAGGGGATTTCTCTTGAGTATAACTCGGCAAGTTTTGGGTAGGTTTCAACATTTTTTAAAAATTAATTATCACCACAAATAACTGATTTGAAATAAATGAATGCTGGCTTAGTAGATCACACTTTTCTTGAATTCTTGGACCCAAATGTAATTTGTTTTTAATGGCGTCCAGCTGGGGGAAAATGATGAGCACAACCACTCCTTCATTTTTTTATCGTGAAAACTATTCTCAAACATTTCTCTCTCAAGTCTTGATAAAATTAGAAGTGAAGGAATCCCGGATCATCTTATCATAGCTGTAACACCTGAATTCATCTTGATAGACATATCCGAAGTACATAATTGGATCTCTAATCCGAAAATGCGTTGATGATGCTTATTATAAAACAGCCAACGGGCCTGTGATAATACACGTCAATTGAGCGAGGCTTCCGGCTACATACTACTGTAGGTTAGCATATCGTCACTATTGGCAACCACGTGTTAAAACAAAACTGCGCCTGATAATTTCAGTGAGAAAAATAAGTTCTGAAGATCAAAGGAAATAAGATGTGTTTATTATGAAACCCCGTTGCAACAAATTGTGAGCACAAATGTCAAAAATAAAACTCCTATCTTTTAGGGTGCAGTAGTTATCATCAATGTTATTTTTTTTCAAATGTAGGTCAAGGGTCGCGGTCAAGGTCACATGGTGAAAAAGTTTGGTATCACCGGAAAGGTCTTGTCACAAGGAACATACGTGCCATATATGAAAACCCTGTCGCTTAGGTGCGATAGTCATGGGCAATGTTAAAGAAAATTGTCACTACTACGGACGGTGAGGAGACACCAGACTGTAGTATCTACTTTTGATTATCTTATATCTTTCAGTTTAGAAGTCTGTGTCGATGATGTGTTTGAAAAAAAATCATCCAGAAACCAAATAAAGGCATTACTAGATAGACCAATTCAAATCGGTTTTTGGCAATTACTGTACGGAAAAAACCAGAAATACCAAAAGGAGAGGATTTCTGGCCTGACGATATTTTTGATGCATTATTTGGCTGGTTTTTTTTTATGTCGCTTACAAAGACGTCAGTTGCAACATTCAACTTAAAACAACAGAAAAGCAGAAATATAAACTGACTTGGTTTTGAAAAATCGAATTAAGTGAAATACTATATTTTATTAATTCACGTTGATTCCGATATCGTTTATCGTATGTCCAACTGCTGTGCTGCTTCGTCAGACTGAACGACACAGCGGAAACTTCGTATGGGCATCAACCATCAGTTTTAATGATGTTTAGGGAAAAATGGTTTTTCAATAGTACTCATACTGTGCTATCAAGACACACTTTTTATATTCTAAAATACGCAATTTGCCATTGTTTTCCACGCTTTTTTTGTTCAGATTTATTCAACTTTTAAAAAAATCGGCTAGTAAATGATGGACGACCTTTCTGCAGTTTTCCGAGTTAAGGCATAAAAATGAAGATGCCGAGACAGGCACGCGATCGACGGCACCAAACCGTAATGTCACACGCACTTATAAGCATCTATTGATAAATACAGCTCATACATACGTTGTTGACAAGGAAGTGTTATGGTACTGTTTCCGCCACAGCTATTTCCTCCATTACACGGGCTCGGATTATCACACACACGTCGCATCTGGAACTGACCACGACCGCACGTGACACTGCACGAGCTGTTGACCCAAGCTGACCATCCACCATCCACTGACAATAAAAAAAGTCTCCATATTCTAAATTATTCAAACTCATGGGCATGTTAACTTACACGAGTTCTCTAGCCTGAAAAGGGAGATAATTTTGAATATGATTCTATGTATTCTGCAAAGTTATAGTTTTTACTTTTAGATAATACTTTTTGATATAAATCTAGTCAAATCATGCTTACATTTAAATGAAATTATCCTAAAATAAATCGAAGTTAATTTGAACATTTAAAACTATTTGAAAACATAACGTCATCTACAGTAGATGAACCAAAAAACTCCAGACAAATACAACCAAACCTATTAATAGAGGTCTTAATGGAGGAGGCAGAGAAATGTGACATTTACACACAGGTGGCCTTTATATAGAGGTTAAATAACTATGAATTGCATTACACAAGGAACCAGTAATGTGGTCTAGTGACATTAAAGACAAATTTGAATTTATCTCGATTTCAGAATTTTTCATAACTTCCAAACCTTTTAAAGGACACGGAACTGTTTCCTCCGCATAAGTAGTGACTCCATCACCACACATACTGTCCGGCTGAACAGCACTTGCATCAAAAGGCGTACAGAAGCAAGAACTGCTTTTTTGAAGCACACAATCGCCTACACATGTTTCATTCGGGGGACTATTTGTAGAGTTCCAGTAGCAGGAACGGCTCCGATTTTGCGTTCCGGAACACGAACCCCAAAGACTGGACTCACAACTAGACCAGCTGCTCCATGTATCCCAACTATAATCGTTCATTCCTGTTAGAAAGAACGCAAAAGTACAAAACCATTAAACATAGCCTCGCATATAGCAGTGTTTCTCCTTCAGCTTTCAATTTCGTTTTCGTTGATGCTAGGTGACGATTTTTTTACAGACTGCATTGTCGCACGGTTGTCGAGGAAAAGTAAATACGTGTGTGTGAAATGAATACGTGAATTGTAAATGGAGAAAAAAAAAAGTTGCCCTTCCCTAAAAATATCATATCGAATATGGATGTTACCTTGAAGGTCTAACCCAGAGTAACGTTAATATATACGTCATCACATTTTTTCTCTGATGGTCGCTAATGATAGATATTTTCATCAGATGCCATGCATTTCCGAGCGTCTAAGCTTTCTTTTCTAGGTAAACCTTCTTTTTCTGATTAAAATGATGTAAGGATACGTAAAAATATGATATTTTTAGACTGTATGTCCAAGTTTGTCGAGCAGTTCAGTTCCATAATACAATTAATCATATTTTATTGTCTTAATACAAAGCTATGGTTGGATCTTAAGTTATAACATCATTATATTTACCTTTTCCCATCGAACGTGAAAAGGCGTGAAGGTGTTCTGTCCGACCACGAGGGTTTCCCCATGGTTTCTTACTCGGGCAAACAAATGTGATTAACGTAAGTTTGAAAAAACTTGTTTCGAAACTGTTGTAAAACAAATACCGTTTAATTCCTTTAGGAAAATGTTTGCGAAATTACTTCCGATTTGGAAAAAGGGCTAAACGGAGATTATCGGTAGCCGTTTTCTTCAAATGGCGACTATTTCAGGTAAACAATTTTTATGTAAGAACAAATAACAAGCGGACCTATGATGATACTGTCAGTGTCTGTTTGGACTTTCTCTTAATAAGCACGAAAGATTCTTTCTTTCTTTTTCAGTTCAGTTTTCAGTATTTTAAAAATGTTTAATAAGAGGCATTCAGCAATGTACACCAAACAATGTATACTATTAATATAACATCTGAAAGTTGGTTGAAAAACATTTTTGTTAGTTTCTTTTTCAGTAATCTGCTCCCCAACGAGACATGACAGGGCATTGCATAAGAAAATAATATCTATCTGATTTTTGTTGAATCAGCTGTACACAGTAATAATTTGGAATTAGCAAATTTCTAAGCCAACACACCGATTTACTAAGTATTCACCTCCATTCCCTTCAAAATAGAAGATAGAAATACATCTATGATGAGGAATATTTAGTAGTTCAGTTTTTATAAATAAGTGTACATTATATGCTCGGAACTCGAGGTATTTTCTATCTCTTGGACTTTGTTTCCGAGGATAGTCTTCTGAATTTTGTTTCTAAAACTTGACAATTTGACGTCTTTGTGATGGTGTGACGTTTCTCTGGTTCTATCGTATCATAAACTATTATATCTGTTTTTATTCACATTGCAGTATGATAAATTAATTGGTACACTACGAAAAGACGATAGTTATTGTTTGGTTATTTTTGCGTTGAGCAATGGCGCTGCGAAATTATCAAAATTACAGAGGAAGTGAAATTCACTCACAACAAGTATCAATCACAACACAGAGTTTCTTATAAATGGTTATCATTATCTGTCGGACCGTAAAGTTCAAATAAATAAATAAACACATAGAAAAAATAAATAAATAAATTAATTAATAAATAAATAAAACATTCAAATAATAATTGCCGGAGTAATTACAATTGCTACAAATGATCTAATGTAATTTTATTCTATAACAATGACATGATAACTCCGTTCATCTTTTGTTTATTTATGCAAATTTTACGTAAATATTCTCTGATGTTTTTGGAGCTATTTCACAATAATACACAATGCAGGTGACTTGAAGGCTTCCGAATCAATTTTGTATATCTATTAAGTAAGATTAAGGTACGTGTATCTCATTTGTCAGGTCGGGTCGAGAAGAAAACTGCAGAGATTTACATGAAATTGAAATCATGTAAATACAATTTTTATTTCAAAATTAATCGAAGCGCAACTTTCTTAAAATAGATCATAAAACAATGTCAGTGGCACAACATCCAATCATCAATGTATTAATTTTAGTGCAAGAAAATCAAAAAGAGGTTCTTAATTCTGATAAAAATATTCGTAAATATTTATTACAAGTAAAAGAGTAACTTACCAAATATTTGGAGAGTGTTGAACATGCAAAATAACAAAATTCCACAGCACAGTTTGCTTTTTCGAATATCCGCCATTTTCACAATTTGAATTTTTTAATAACCCATAACTGTCGTAGCTGTTGTTAAGTTGACGATCTCTTTAATACTTGGAAATCTGGTCAAGTTCGACACCTTTTAATTCACGGATCAATTTCTGTCAATATTTACAGTTGCCTGACATCATAAAGGCAAGTATCGACTTTCTGTTTTGACGGTAGTACAGGATCCAGAAAAGTGTACAGATATTTCATCATAGACGTGTTCATAGTAAAATCGATACACGTTATGAATCTTCACAAGAGCAATTGAAACTACAAGGTGCGTTTAAATGAAATGAAAATTTTAACTTTAAAAGACAATATAATAAATAAATAAATAAATAAATAAAACACGTAGGACAACACAGATGGCCTCGTTTTGATTCCGTAGGAATTTTAAGGCGCAAATGAACTGAGAATAAATTATACACGATTAAACATGATATTTTGCCAGCCTTCAAATATATCTAAACGAAATGTGATGTAACGACACGTATAGTTGATTTAAAAAAAAGTTAATTTTATCAAACGAAAAATGTCCTCTTTAACTAAACACAAAGACGTGATAACCTAGAATAATATATAAAAGCTTATTAAGATTTAAACAAATACGAAGTTATTCATTCTAACGGATGTTGTATTATTCCAGAAAAAAAATTATCGACAAGTGAAAGATAACGTTATGTTAACAGAGCTTAATAACGTGTTTCCTGCTTTGATCTTGGATCGTTTGTTTTGACACAGCCAGCTCGTAATAGTACAGGATCGATTATAGAAACAAACGTGATAGCTTTGGCAACGTTGAATAGACCTATGCCCAAGCGATGGACGAAAGATATGGATCCATGTAATTAGCTTCCCTAGAGTCATTTTGACAACAAAGGGAGAGGGAGGTTGATTTATATTGTCAAAACAACGATATTTGTGTGAGGCCAAGTATGTAATTTTCATTAACAGACACTATAAACGCGTCAGTAACGTAACCATTTTCCAGGCATCAAAATATCTCTCGGCTTGGAACCGTTACAACAAGTCTCCACAATATCTAAGTTTATTCACACACACACACTCTCACACACACACACACACACCCACATACACACACACACACCCTCACATACACAGAGAGAGAGAGAGAGAGAGAGAGAGAGAGAGAGAGAGAGAGATAGAGGGGGGGGGGTTAGCTATGTCAGTATTTGCGATCAATTAATTTTTTTCTTTGAATGTGTGCTATATTGATTAAGCATATATTCTGGATTTTTTTCGCCTTGCTCTTTATTTTCATTTTCTTTTGTATACATTTTTAACTCTCTTAACCAAACATTTTACTTTGTGTTTTTGTGCAACTAATATACTTGTTACCAAAATGATGTGACTTCACTATCCTAGATTCATGTTGCCTGCTGATGTATTTCGTTGTACATCTTCGGTGTAACACATTTTCTGTCTATGATTTAGTAAGCATAGATAAAAATAAAGAGATAAATCCCGTGAATTATTGAAGCAGCTTGAGTTAAAATGTACCCCGAAAGTTTGTTTCTATTCCCAGGAATAAAATACTTTATTATACAATAAAAGGTCACGAATGTACATCGTGCCATTGCGCGTTTGACATTTAATAGCTACTGTTGTAAACAATATCAAATATTAGAATTGCTGGCCTAACATCAAGAGTGCACAATGTCAATCTGTCATCATAATATATCATAAAATGTGTCATACAGTGCGATGTATCGCTGTTCAATCTAACGCCGTGATTAACTTGACTTGAATTTTTTTTTACAAATTTCAAATGGCTGTACGTACTGTGTACGGAGACACGTACATCATATATGTCTCTGGTCTATGTAATGTTAGCATAAGATTTATCTTATTCCTCAAGACTAAAAATATTCCGTTGCAATCTAACGTTGGCTACCGTTGCAGTTATCTATCTCACCTTATTTTCTCATTCTGAAATCCCAGAGTTACTGCCCTTTAGCCCTTAGCTCCCTTTCCCGTAAAACTTTGAATCAAAGCTATTTCAGCATAGATGGATCCTATTATTAATCTGTGATTTAAGATATCAGAGCTGTAAAGCCATTTCTTTCTCTAAATTGAATATTTTAGGGACAGGGACCAGTGTGTTCCTTCCATGTGGTGACTACTAACACTTAACGGGACTTATGTCTTCTATTCGGCCTTTCAGTGGACGAGAGTCGATGTCACATTCTGTAGTGAGAAAGACCGGGCAATATCTCGCTATTGGGCCGACCGATTCCTTGTTGATTCAGTTGGATCACACGGAATGAAAATCTAATCCTTTTTATTGTCAGGGATCGGGTACACATTAAGCTTGCTATGTACCTTAAAACTCACTTTTTGTGACTCAAAGAGAATTTTCATAAAAAAAGGATCTGTAATTTTTAACGATGGATATCTCAAACCACGTCAAGACGAGAGCAAAACGTAGTCTGTGACGTGACAATAGATGATGTATCTAAGTATGACGTCATAATTGATATCCTGAACATCAACAAACACACCCACGATTTCACAAGGCTTCAATAATGGGCTGTTTCGCCTTCTTGAAATGTCTGAAACGTCGCAGGAAACCAAAAATCCACCCATACATGACCGAAGAAGAAATGGAAGGCATACCACCTCAAGCACCTTATGGGAAGAAGTATTACCGACTGAAACTTGCTCCACCTCCACGTGGACTAAAGATCTTATTTACCTTCCCCATCTGCACAAGAGACGTGAGAGGAACTTGTTGGATCAGGGACAATGACCCAATTTATCCGTGTCCACCACCGCCACCTCCGAGTCCTATTCCGTCTAAAGCCAACCCTAAGTTGCCACCCCTTCCTTCACCTGCTGAACCCGGTTCCTCAAAATAAGCGGCCATGTACTCCACTTTCTAGACATTTTACTCATTTACTTGTACAATATAATATGGAAAAGTTTGCTGGTATAATTGACAAAAATTCGTCACCATAATGTATATGAGAGATACACAGACATCAACATCGACAGATAGTCAATTGAAGGAACGAACGAAGATATAAGATTTGATTCCAAAGGAAATGACCGATGTCCAATGTGAGATATGCTGTCTTCCGTCTGAAGAGATTGTCCCTTTAATGTCCGGAAACAATGGCAGTGGTGATAGATTACCAATCAGACTTTACTTATACTCATTCTCGCATGCTTATTCGAATTAAATGTAAGATATATATATATATCAATAAATATGATCTTTCAAATATGTTGTGTGTTTGCCGTTGTCTATGTATATTCATAAACAATCTTCAGCACGGGACATCTCATGAACCCCAGGACAGGTTTAGTTAAACTTAGTCTATAACATCACATAATCAAGTTACACACATGAAAGGTAATTATCGGGTGGGTTGATGGTTAAAGTTACAATAGACTACTTTTGAAATATGTTCGTTGGATTTTTAATGACCCCACGACTAATCGAGGTCGTTAAAAGGATTTCCTTGTGGAAGCTTGTGGCTACCTCACTGAGCAACATACGGGAGGCGGCTCTTCGAAGTCCATTCACAGCAATTTGTGTAGTGATTTGGTCTATGAAATATCCACATGAGCACTTGTGAAAAATTAAAAACAAAAACTCAAGATTCAAGATATATATATAGAGAGAGAGAGAGAGAGGGAGGGAGGGAGGCAGGGAGAGAGAGAGAGAGAGAGAGTATATATTACACACGTGTGATCTCTTATTGGGGAAACGAAGTATGCATTCTTTGTGTGTTTTTAAGATAACCTGTATTACACTATAAAATGACTCTTTCAGAATGTGTTAATATTTTCCATGAATTATGTATAATCCTTACAAAAACACATACTTACTTTAATTCGTTGTTATTGGCCGGTGACATATTATTAAAAGAAATATAAACAAGTTTAATTTTTACTGCTTTTCAATGATAATGAAAAAAAACCAGTTTAATAGAAAATGAAAAGGCAATAAGTAAAGCTACAGTTATTTGTGTTCCAATCACTCGAAAATTAAACCTTTTTAGACTTTGTTAATTACGTTTGTATATATAGTATCTGGTCTAGCGTAGACCGGAAATATCTAGTAAAATCCACTTTGCATGATTAAATAACTCATTTAAATATGTTGTACAATTTAGACATGGTGACGTTTAAATGTTCCATTTTGAGACAAAGACACGCCCACCGTCCTCCCTTTGGTGTATTTCTCATATTGGTTTCCTGAAACCGTGTATGTGGGTGTAGAGTCATTAGCATACATGGTGCCGTTCGATGTAAAATTCAATGCAACGAGTAAGAGCAATGATAAACAATGATATCATCTAAAAATAATCAAAAGTAATTAGTTGTACGGGTACGGAAACCTCATTTGATTATCACAATTTACAAAATGTAATACCCAAAATTACTGTCTGATTTTGTTAGGATTCTTGAAATATTGTATTTTGAAAAGAATGGTTTGAAACACCACGTTTAAGATTTATTCCTGTGGTATATACAGAATACAAAAGCAGGATTTCAACACGTCTTCAAAACGAAGCCAAGTGTGATTTTTCCTGACTAGCCTTGCTTGTCTCATGAAACAAAGCTCCCGAAAATAGTGTTTTTTGTCCCTGTATTCCTAATTGCTTTTAAGAATTCGGACGCGCTAAGTCCGTTACGGTCTGCCGCTATTGAGGTTTTTTGTGTAGACCTGTTAAGCTTGTCTTTAGTCTGTGGTATTTATCATTTTATGTCCGTTCTTTTCTGTGTATGATGTAATCTGCATGCGTGGTTCCAACTGGCTTCTTAAATTTGTTGATTGAATTTTTAATTAGTTAGCGTAAATTGCATCCTGTCGATATGTGGTATGATCTAGGGACACTAAGTATGAATGCCATTCAAAATAGTTTATATAGACATATATATTATTACCAAACCCAGTAACCCACGCACGCACGCATATGCGCACGCACACAAACGCACACACACACACATCACACTCCCCCCCCCCACACACACACACACATACACACACGTTGGAATTGAGTCATTATGCAGTTCAAAGTTTTGATTAGGCATCAAATATTAAGTCTATCAAATGCTTTAGTTAGTCGATCGAAAAACTCATTCATTTGAACATTTTATCAATGGTTATATATTTGATATTAAATGTATGATACAAGTATATCAGTATCACATTTTTATACTTATTAAACAACAAACAAACAAACAAAAAACGAAAAAAAACCCCAAAAAACAAAACAAAACAAAGAAAAAAAGGACTGAACGAGTCGTGACATGGTAATTCCATCCTATTTCTAGTGAACACCATGCTCGGACGTTAATAATCAATTATCAATTAAGTCATGTTCCGTGACCTCGATGTAAAGTACAATTGTTAATTTGTTTTAAAAGTGTAAACGATTTAAAGGATGCTATTTAATCAAATGTTACACATTCATTTCTACCCACATGGACAACAGTACCGGAGTTCATGGTCAGTCTGATCAAAGGGACGGATGCTGTTGTTTGATTAACAATTAACGCCATCGATGGTCAGTACAAACAAACAAGACCTCTTTGACGTACAATTGGTCATTTGTTTTATCATTGAAAAACAAATTTAGCTGAAAGGTTAATCTAAAGTCACTGTAACTCAAATTACTTCGTACATTATAGTTGGTTCCACTAATATAGATAACAAATAAATAGAGGAGAAAAGTGAAAATAGAAAATAGCTATTGTGTTTCAACAGATAACTCTTCGACACAGAGACTGGTCACATAACACATAGATATGGTCTCATAACACACAGAGACAGGTTACATAACATACAGGATCTGGTCACACAACACATAGGTACCGGTCACACAACACATAGGTATGGTCTCATAACACACAGAGACAGGTCATATATCATACAAGTAGTGGTCACACAACACATAGATATGGTCCCATAACACACAGAGACAGGTCACATAACACACACAACACATAGGTATGGTCTCATAACACACAGGACAGGTTACATAACATACAGGAACTGGTCACACAACACATAGGTACTGGTCACACAACACATCACACAACACATAGGTACACACACAGAGACAGGTTACATAACATACAGGATCTGGTCACACAACACATAGGTACCGGTCACACAACACATAGATATGGTCTCATAACACACAGAGACAGGTCACATAACATACAGGCATACACACACAACACATAGGTATGGTCTCATAACACACAGAGACAGGTCATATATCATACAAGTAGTGGTCACACAACACATAGATATGGTCCCATAACACACAGAGACAGGTCACATAACATACAGGCATACAGGAGCTGGTCACACAACACATAGGTATGGTCTCATAACACACAGAGACAGGTTACATAACATACAGGAACTGGTCACACAACACATAGGTACTGGTCACACAACACATAGGTACCGGTCACACAACACATAGGTATGGTCTCATAACACACAGAGACAGGTTACATAACATACAGGATCTGGTCACACAACACATAGGTACCGGTCACACAACACATAGATATGGTCTCATAACACACAGAGACAGGTCACATAACATACAGGCATACAGGAGCTGGTCACACAACACATAGGTATGGTCTCATAACACACAGAGACAGGTTACATAACATACAGGAACTGGTCACACAACACATAGGTACCGGTCACACAACACATAGGTATGGTCTCATAACACACAGAGACAGGTCACATAACACACAGAAACTGGTTACAAAACATACTGGAACTGGTCACACAACACATAGCTACTGGTCACACAACACATAGATATGGTCTCATAACACACAGAGACAGGTCACATAACATACAGGCATACAGGAACTGGTCACACAACACATAGCTACTGGTCACACAACACATAGATATGGTCTCATAACACACAGAGACAGGTCACATAGCATACAGGCATACAGGAACTGGTCACACAACACATAGCTACTGGTCACACAACGCATAGATATGGTCTCATAACACACAGAGACAGGTCACATAGCATACAGGCATACAGGAGCTGGTCACACAACACATAGGTATGATCTCATAACACACAGAAACTGGTCACACAACAAACATGTATTGGTCACACTACATTGTAGGCACGCACTGTCTCACGCACTGGAAGTAGTGACCCCATACACAGGTACAAACCCAACCTAAATGTAGAGACTGGTGAACACGATCGTTATCTCGTTATATAGCGGTCGAAATTTGATGTATTGTACAGAAGAAGATAAAGTGGCGATGTTATTTATAAATACAAAATATGGTTAAAATATTGCTTTTTTGTGTGTGTATATACACTTTGAAGTACGGTGACTTGCCATTTCTAGTTCCCTTGTAACAAACAGCTGAAAGCAATCAAAATAATAGGAGCTGAAGCAGGACGCAATTCTCTATTAGTGTACAAAAGTACATTAAACTGATTCTTGAACGAAGTCAGGAAAATTCATTAAAAAGGGTTGAAATACAAAGAATATATAGTAAAATAAAAAAAGTGAAGGCTTATGGCACGTCACTATTAGCGCTATCGAATCAAATACTTTATAACACAAAATTAACGTTGTAAGTAACTTATAATAGTTGAACATCTAAAATGGCGGTACACATAAAGATCAACATGGTCATTCAAATATAACATAGTCGAAGTTTTGTTATGATAAAAGATCATCAATCATGAACGGTATTCTCCTTGTATCATTCTACAACTTAATGTACGTTACATATTTGCCATTTAGCGACGTATAAAATTCATGAATACACAGTTCCCAAATAGGCGGTATTTGTAAAAGTATACAACCCGTTTTAGAAGGATTATAGAATAACTATTCTTTTATTCAAATGTCACTGTTACCTATCGGAGCACAAACGAGCATACAGAGTGTACTTCCTTTTCTTTTTCGGGACCAGTTCACTTGTAGAGACCCATGGTAGTCAACTTTGTTACACAATGCAGTATTGCAAAGGCTACAAGTTTAGAGCCGTGTTTTTTGTTATAATCATAACTTTAACTTTTACGTTTGGAGCGTATTATTTTTCTGCTGATAACGCAGTCTTAAACAGTTTTATTCCAACAGACATTGGTAACAAGCCGCCAAGTCAAGAGATATTGAATGGTCATATCTGGTTTATTTCAAATGGAGCAACTGACAAGAATTCAAGTCAAAAGAAGTCAAGAGATGTTGCTAAGGGAGCAGACGACAGGCCACCTAGGCAAGAGAAAAATGCAGAAAAGCAAGTCCCATTTATCAAAAAAGTAGAACGGCCTTCAACTCAACAGAACTTTGTAGATCAGGAATTATATGAGATAAAAGAAGCAGACGACACGTCAACACGACAAGAGAGTTTAACTGATGGTGTCCCACTTATTCAAAAGGGAGCAGACGACAAGCCTACAACACAGGAGAGTTTAACAGATCGTGTCCCACTTATTCAAAAAGGAGCAGACGACAAGCCTACAACACAGGAGAGTTTAACAGACGGTGTCCCACTTATTAAAAAAGGAGCAGACGACAAGCTTATGTCACAAGAGAGTTTAAAAGGCCGTGTCCCACTTATTCAAAAAGGAGCAGACGACAAGCTTACGTCACAAGAGAGTTTAACTGATGGTGTCCCACTTATTCAAAAAGGAGCAGACGACAAGCCTACGTCACAAGAGAATATTCCAGAAGAAATAGGCGTCCAGCCTCCACAAAGAAGCCATGCATTACTGTCGTACAATAGCAGTACTCCTGTTAAAATCGACTACAGACAACGTTTCTTGGATTTTGCTAAGGAGGATGTTCTGCATACGGTACTGTCTGAATAATTTGCTTTACTATTTTGGAGCAAACTTGATTTGTTTTCACGTTTCTTCTCATCACTAACGAACTTGTATACGAATGTTGCAGTTATCTGCCCTTCTCTCGAAAAGTTTTATAACAAGACATTTATTCTTTTCACTCTAGTCAGATGTAAGTAGAATCTTTCATTCCACTGGGGATGAAATAGGGTGTCCACCCGAGGGTAAATATTATCAAGTTGGAAAACACCAGACTTGCCGAATGTTTTCAACTCGATAACCCCAGGGTTCCCCTTTCTTTCATAAGGGGTTGATTAACTATTTCCCTTCTTCTCTGCTAACCCTTCTTCTCTGCTAACCCTGGTGTTGTTATTCAATGCTTAACATTATTGGTGTGACGTCATAGTTATGAAGAGGCAGGTCCCCGTTTCAACCTCAGGGTGGAACAGGGAAACTCGTACCTTGTCCAGGGTAAAAGAATGCCTTGTCTCACCCTAGGATTGAGAATTGAGATTCTCCTCTCATTACTATGACTTCTCACCAACAAAGGAAAGCATGGACATGGCGACAATATAGAGAAAATAGGAACGTTAACAGGGTATGAGATCCCTCAACCCACTCGGGCAAGGGTAAACTTTTCTGTTATTCTAAAATACCATAATAGGGATGTCGGTCAGTGCAAATTAAGTTATGTTGCTACTCGTTTGTTAACGTCAGTAACCTTTAAAATATTTTGATAAGATATCACGTGTCTGTTAAAGCTATTTTACTGACATGCTTAAAGTACTGTATAGGAACGTCAATATTGTTATATAGGTTTTATTGAACAATGTCAATGATTTAACATACACTGAAACCCTATGGAGAATGTCGATTAAAATTGTTTAACTGGTCAGTCTATATTACAATTACACTCTTAATCACAAAACCCCTGTTTTACACTCTTAATCACAAAACCTCTGTTCAAGATGGTATAGAAGCAAAATTCAACAATCGAGTTATGATCAAGGCTTCATGCATTTTAATAAAGAAATGTGTGACGCAAATTATGATGTCATCGAAGAGTTTATCAAAATTCATTTGTATGCCATAAACATTTGAAACCCGAACGTCGTGCAGAATAGAAAGCTGTGGCAAGCCAACCTATCATTTCTGCACGGAGCAATGGTCGGTCCTTAATTTAATTCATAATTTGATGTATCCCTTTGTGATATAAATAAATTGATATAAGTTATACATATCTGATATACACATGTATGACATGTTATGTATGTAATAAAATTTCGTCTTTAATGATGATGATGATGATGCATGGGAAAGTGTGTTGCACATGTAGACGTCAGTATCTGTAAAAAGTATGAAACTTTTCAAAAATAAAAGAAATACAAAAAAAAAAAAAAATAAAATAAAAAATAAATAAATAAATAAAAAAAAATATCGTCTTCATAGAATTTTTAAGACTTACATTTGCCTGTATGAAGAGCCTTAAGAGGCCGAATATTTGGGCGAAATTTGGTAGGTAATATTTTAAATATGAATGAAAACATAAACGTTTTGCTGATACACATAGTATTTCTCACTGCCACTTTCTATAAACATTGCTTAATAATTACTCAAATTGTTTATATCCTAGCGATTCACAATTTGTTTAACAGAAACGTCCCACCTACATAGAATACTTGAAGAATCCATGTTGGTACGAGGACCATGGTGAGAAGAAGAAATTACGCTGCCTCCCCTACTTTATGATATTAGGACAAAACAAATGCGGAACCACTAATCTTTACAACAGTATGGTGTTACATCCTGATATTATACCCTCCAAATCCAAGGAACCACAGTTTTGGGCACGGATGCGACACTGTTACTGTAAGTACCGTCAAAAATTGAAAAGTTACAAACATTTTGTGTCATTAATCAATCTTATTACAACGTGCACATTTTGCAAAATAATTCTGGTTGATAGTAGGGATCGGAATTGCCTGTCGTGTTTATTTTTCAATGTGATATTGATTACCGACGGACCGTGACGGAGGGACATACCTGATCGCGCATTAATTACCAGTAGATAGGTCCTAAATTCGAACCCCATATATATCTCTTAAATGATAAACTTCTGTTTCTCTTTTCTCACAGGTTGCAGTAAACTGACGTATCACTTCCTCTGTTACAGTAAGTGTATTGCCAGTCTGTATTATTCTGAATTTCTATCAATTTTCATATTTCAGTCTGGACGTGTTTCATCATTATGAATACTGTGCTATAGGTTTATTTAGGAGATTTCCTAATTTGCGCTATTTTTTAAAGAATGGAACAGAATAGCAAAAAAGTGTGATTGATAGAGAAAACCTTTTTATCACATGATCGACAACTTCAAATAAAACGATCACGTGATAAAAATTCGTTTTCCATCAGGCTTTTTGTAACACCGCAAAAATTTAAAAAAGGTATCATTTTTTTTTTGGAAAACTGAAACTCTTGTGTATTTTATAATATTCGTTCATTGCTTCGCATTTACTGTAAACTAAAAAAGTCACACCACAAATTAAGTAAGCATAGTTTCATTGTTTTGTAGATAACAGACACTGGAACTGGACAGCCTATGTTAAATATTTCGATCCAACAGCGAAGAAAATACAAAAATTGCTGAAGTCTGAGGACCAGATAGATATAGAGCACAGTGCTGAACTTGTAACAGGTTTGTAAAAAATATTTTACATAATAATAATGACAATTGTCTAAACTAGACATGATAGAAGCGACACCATACACGTGAAGATTCAGTTCGCACAGGTTCGGGTTACTGACGTTTCACATCAATCATTCATAATTTCATTATTGTCTGCTTTCACTTGAGTTTCTAGTAGAGGCAAAAATACCACACGTCGTCTTTAATTTCCGTTATCCTCGCCTTCATTATTGAAATTCTTGAGATTGAAGAATATGATCTGCTAATCTTCCAGGAGAGGCCACGCCCTCTAACTTGTGGGACAATCGTTGGTGGTGGAATTATAAGATAAACCAGAACGACACAGAACCTCCAGGTCTTACCAACGCAGATTACATACATCACTTCATGCCAAATCTTAAAATAATTATCATATTACGGAATCCTGTTACGAGGTAAGAGTGTTAAACGAACTGCATATTGAAACATGAGTTCTACGGAACCTTAAATCGAGATAAGTATTTCAAGAAACCCGGTATCGAGATAAGAGTTTTATAAGCAATTTCATATTGAAATGTCGGTTCAACGGAATTCCCTAAATCGAGATAAGGTTTTTTAAGGAGCCAATATCAGGCTCAGTGGTTTTAAGTAACCCTATAGTGTTAGACTTTTTTTAAAGGAACTCCGTATCTAGGCAACGACTTTTAAGGAATCTCGTGTCGAGGTAAGAGATTTTATCGAACCTCATGACAAGGGAAGGTTTTAATAAGGAACCTCAGGTCGAGGTAAGTTTTTCCATGAAATCTACATCGGAAAAACACGAATTTATTATTGATTCTCTATGAGAAAATTATAATAATTCAAAGACCCATACCATTCAAAAAGTCTTGACGTTTAATTCGAATAAGGGGCGATAACCCATAAGATATCATTGAGACAGTATAAAACTATTTTTCTATTACTTTATATTTCAGATTATACTCCGACTATCTGTATGTTACCAAAGGCGTAAGATCACCAGAGGGATTCCATGAGGAAGTTTTAAGAGAAATAAACTGGTTTCAAAATTGTTCAAGGTTACACGACATTCGGTATTGTGTGTTTCGGAACTCCTTTGAGGAGGTAAGTATGACGTCATTTCTACGCCAACACCAATCTTTTTATCGCAACTTGTTAACGTAGGTCTTATAACTAACCCTTTATTATTTATTCATTTGTACTTGGAACGACTTTAAATGAAGAAAGAATAAAACTCTGAAAAGTTTATTTTATATATATCTATTCTTATCTATTCCTCAGAGAAACGTGACTAGCAAGGCACGCCTTCAGAATGGATTTTATGGCGTGTTTATTGAGGAATACATGAAGTTATTTTCGCGGGAACAATTTCATGTAATAAGACTTGAAGATTATGCCATACATAAGACCGAAGTAATGGCAGGCATATTTCGTTTTTTAAATCTACGTAAGTTTTTATCATACATTCAGTATACACACGTCTAATATCGGCTAATACAAACTCAACACAACTTTTCTCCATAGAAACCCATTAAACCAACTTCCTTACTGTTCTAAGTAAAGTATCTGTATAACACCGCTCTCGTGTCTTAAGTTCGATACAACGCCCCTCCTATCGTGTATATATATATATATATGATCCGTCATGGTGCCTCACTTACTGTCAAAAGGGAAATTTCGATACAACGCCCCTCCTGTCGTGTATATATGACGCGTCATGGTGCCTCGCTTACTGTCAAAAGGGAAATTACGATACAACGCCCTCCTATCGTTTAGATATACTCGTCATGGTGCCTCGCTAACTGTCAAAAGGGAAATTTCGATACAACGCCCTCCTATCGTTTAGATATACTCGTCATGGTGCCTCGCTTACTGTCAAAAGGGAAATTTCGATACAACGCCCCTCCTATCGTATATATATATATACAGTATATATATATATAATATGATCCGTCATGGTGCCTTGCTGTCAAACGGGAAATTTCGATACAACGCCCCTCCTATCGTTTAGATATACTCGTCATGGTGCCTCGCTTACTGTCAAAAGGGAAATTTCGATACAATGCCCCTCCTATCGTTTATATATACCCGTCATGGTGCCTCGCTAACTGTCAGAAGGTAAATTTCGATACAACGCCCTCCTATCGTTTAGATATACTCGTCATGGTGCCTCGCTTACTGTCAAAAGGGAAATTTCGATACAACGCCCCTCCTATCGTATATATATATATATATGATCCGTCATGGTGCCTTGCTGTCAAACGGGAAATTTCGATACAACGCCCCTCTTATCGTTTAGATATACTCGTCATGGTGCCTCGCTTACTGTCAAAAGGGAAATTTCGATACAATGCCCCTCTTATCGTTTAGATATACCCGTCATGGTGCCTCGCTTACTGTCAAAAGGGAAATTTCGATACAATGCCCCTCCTATCGTTTAGATATATATATATATATATATATGAACAATGCCTTGCTGTCTTTTCCAACGCCCCTTGTTTAGATATACTCGTCATGGTGCCTCGCTTACTGTCAAAAGGGAAATTTCGATACAATGCCCCTCTTACGGTCTAAAGTAAAAAAAAGTAAAACAATGTCTTGCTTTCCGTTGTTGGTACAACTTCGGTTCAACGCTACACTTATGCTTATCTGTTCTACACGTTGCTGCTCCTGTCATCAGTAACATAACACATCTCTTATTGTCTTCAGTAAGCATTCTGTGACTCACATACCACTTTAAATTAATCTTCCAACACAGCGCCTCACTGTCTGAAATAAATAATGATATTGATAAAGCATTTTATTAAAGTGTCGCATATTAATTCACAATTAAAACAATTTTTACGTAGTTTAAATTTTTGAGAGAATGTCCGGACAAGTATTGACCTACCTACTGTTGATGCAAGAACCAGCATATTATACTATAAAATTCACCCCAATCTCAATTTAAAACCAGCGTATAAAGACGGTTTTAAATTAATTATCTCCACATCATGTACATGACATGAACAAACTTAAGGATTATTTGATACAGCACGTATTTAATTGTGTGAGATAAAACATTCGATACAGCGCCTCGCTTACTGCCTTAAATGAATCTTTGATACAACACGTTTCTAATTGTCTGAGATAAAACATTCGATATAGCGCCTAACTTCATATCTTGAGGAAACTTCAAAACAAATACTCTCACATTATTTTTTTCTATACATCCTACACAATGCCATCTTTTAAAACAATTTATCGATAAAAGGGTATTTTCTTCTATGTTAAACTTCGAAACAAATACACTAAACAAAACCTCGATATAACGACATTATGTCCGGTATAATTGTATAATATAAAACCTTAATATGGCGCAGTATCGATATCACGCCTTTCATCAGAAGCTGATTTTATCGGTGAATTTAATTAATTTTGATAGTAATTTAGTTTCCATGCATCACCATAATTTTATTTGAAGAAAATATGATGCTGTTCATATGGATAAAGTTTCTGTTAAACTCTGACATTTACCGGACTTGTAAAATAGACGTTTGTGTAGTTATCTCCCTTTATATTAATGTTTTTTTTTTCTGTCTATATTTCAGCGTGTTGAGGTATAAACCATAAATAAAATAATGATATTTACAGAAAATTTTTATTTATTTTAGGGGACATGGACGAACCAGCGAGAAAAGTAAAGATAAATAGTACAAAGAAAAAGGGATCAAACGTTGGGGAAATGTTACTGGAAACGAAATCCTTACTCGAAGAATTCTACAAACCATATACTGAACATTTAGCAGATTTACTGAACGATTCTCGTTTTTTATGGTTGGATTAGATATATCTCTAATTAAATACATATCGACATAAACTTTGCCAATCAATTTTAAAACAAGTAAAAATCGAATACCAATTTTTATTTTTTAGTGACTTTGTTTATCAATATGTGGTTGAATTGATTTGTTTTTCAATGTGACACAGCATGTATCTACATGATTTGAGTCTCGATACAATCGTCTCGATATTTTTCGTATTTTTTAAATAAATATTATTATTTTTGAGAGGTTTTCTTTTCTAATACTGAATTGTGAGAAGTATGGAAAACATTGAAAATGTATATTTAATGAATTATTTGGTAATACTGCTGCCAAAGTGGGCCATTTTGTGATCATCAGTGACAAGCTTTGTGTTCTGAAGTAAGACACAAGCTTCGTGTTCTGAAGTAAGACACAAGCTTCGTGTTCTGAAGTAAGACACAAGCTTCGTGTTCTGAAGTAAGACACAAGCTTCGTGTTCTGAAGTGAGACACAACTTTCGTGTTCTGAAGGGAGACACAAGCTTCGTGTTTTGAAGTGAGACACAAGCTTCGTGTTCTGAAGGAAGACACAGGCTTCGTGTTCTGAAGGAAGACACAAGCTTCGGGTTCTGAAGTAAGACACAAGCTTCGTGTTCTGAAGTAAGACACAAGCTTCGTGTTCTGAAGTAAGACACAAGCTTCGTGTTCTGAAGTAAGACACAAGCTTCGTGTTCTGAAGGAAGACAAAAGCTTCGTGTTCTGAAGTAAGACACAACCTTCGTGTTCTGAAGTAAGACACAAGCTTCGTGTTCTGAAGTAAGACACAAGCTTCGTGTTCTGAAGGAAGACACATTCAAGTCAGCTGCATATAGTGTCGCCGGTCAAAGTAATTATGAACTTCAAAATAATGTCCGGACAAATTTAATACTGGAGTGAAAGTTTTTATGTCCCGAAATCGAAAGATCGGGGCATATATTTTTGTGCTATTTGTCTGTTGTCAACTTTACCCTTGCCCATAACTATTGCACCGTAAGAGATATGGCTTGCATATATGGCATGTGTGTTCGTTTTGACAAAACCTTTCTGGTGGTACCAAAATGCTTGACCATGTGACCTTGACCGTGACCTTTAACCTACATGTGAAAAGTAAAACAAATGAAGATATAAGTGTTTCACAAAAGTGTGCATGCAATTAGCACATGCCTTTCACAGCAGTTTTGTTCCACTTCAGAATTTTGTTGCAGCTGAGGGCAGTGTTTCAAAAACACATCTTGTTTGATGTTTTCAGCAATTAGACAGAGCTTAAGAATTCAGTTCGCTTAAAAATGACCAATGTACTTGACACATGTTTGACCCTACATGACCTGGAGGTCGCAGTGTATTTAAATTGTTATCAGCCAGTCCCTCTCTAGGAGTAAATATTCTCATCTTCACTTGCCCCAGGATAATTTCTACAATCTTACCCATGACGACGGAAAAATGATGACAGTTACATTAATAAGGCCATGTACATAATATTGTACATACTAAAACTTACTTATGTTTGAACTTACCTCAGTCATGAACTTGGATGCTTTCGCGTTCTTGAAAAGATTTTCATCTTTATTTTTCCTGAATGAAAACGAGACAACACCGTAAATGCTTGTTTTTGTCCATCGATGGTAAAAAACTGAAACTTAAATATAATGGGGGCAAGCTTATAGACGGCTAGAATTTGAGCTCTACTGATTGAAGACTAGAGGAGTCCTCACTCCACTGAAACCATGCTGATTCAGAGACTGGTCACTCTACTAAAAAAACCGAAACTGGAATGGATGTTAAGAGGACAAAACAAAGTTACATGTAATATATATTTATTGACAATTGCAGTATAAGATAACGGCATTGGGAGATTCACAAGACAAACATTTACATATAAGATATCAATGTTGGAGGAGTTTGCAGTAAATGATAACATTTGGGAGACATGGATATTTCTGATCGAAAAACGGGTTGGGCACATTACATGACAATGACAATAAATTTATTGGCAATTCACTTATAACCAAGGCTTAGAGTTATGTCTGGGTCAATTTGATACCATTTGTTATAAAAAAAAACCTGACGTGTTTACATCAGTATCACATTGGATCTGCTCAGTAACATGTCAAGTTGGAATAAAGAAAACCTGACGTGTTTACATCAGTATCACATTGGATCTGCTCAGTATCATGTCAAGCTTGAATAAAGAAACCCACAACTGATTGTTTTGATTACTTAAAATGTTTATTGCTCATGAAAATATAAAAATATAGAAGGTTAATTGACATACTAGTTGTAGTATATAAGTTCCACTGTATAATTTACATCAGACACTGTATCATGATTGCACATATATATATATAATTTGTCATTAATATACAGTTTATATCTTATCAACCTTCAAATTTTCATACAGAAATTCTGAGCTCTTACACCAGCAGTAGAAATTTCATGATCATGTTTAAGACAGTTTCTCATTTATATCTTACTTCTGAAACTACCAGTAGAGAAAAAAGTAGAAGACATTTTCTGTGATAATTTCTGATGAAGTCTACGGATCAATCATTTTTTTTTCTTTTGCAAAACATTTTCTTTTGTAATGCCAATTTTTATATGGATTTGAATATAGCAATTAGGTTGATGATACCAGAACTATACTTATGTACATATTAAAAAAAAAAGGGTGTGTGATACCTTACACAAAAAAGTTATCTCCCTCAACATTCCTGCTATCCATGACTTTAATTACATAATCCTCTCCTAAATTACCTGTTAACAAAAGTCAAATTTCGACTGATTCCAAATGTCATGTTTGGAACTCTTTTGCAAAGAGGATATGCACAGTATCATACATCCTTAAAGTGTTCTAGTTTTGTATCAGAAGAAAGATAGTGAAACAAGGAATTTTTGACTTACTAATCTGAAAACCAAGGTATATTTTTCTTTTCCATGAATGTTTTAAATATTCTTGAAGACTATTAAAGTAACCTACAAAGACATTAATTATCAGTGAATCTTGGATACCAGCTACGTTGTAGGAAAATGTATTGAATATGATCATTAAACGATATTCCAAACCTGGTATTCTGCTTAATTTACATCTAATATAAAGTATTCCCTGGAATTAAATTCTAATTTGAAATTACTATAAAAATCCTCTGAGTTTTGGACTAGAAAATTTTGAGACATGAAGTATTTCCTCAACACACCAAATGATTCTACAGTATGATCTTTTGAAGTATAATTTCTACTTATAGCTCAGCTTAACTCGGACTATGACTGAATGGTTTTTATTCGGAAACATTGAAAAAAAATAAGAAAAAGAAAAAACGATGGACAAATGCAAAACTCAATATGAAAATAATATAAATCTTTGATTTAAGGAAGAATATATAAATATACAAAAATGTATGTAAACTACCATGCAGTGGATTGTAAAATATAATTTTATAACTATTTTGATTTTGAATGGTAAATATCTATCAAAGCATAAGTATTCCTTGTTTTATCTCATGCATCAGTTAATAAGAGATTACACATCATTGAGGTGTTTTACAATAAAAGCAATTTTGTATTTCTAAGAAACCTCACAAACATGAGATTTAAAAAAAAAAAAAAACAGTTTTGCTGGTTTGAAATGAAAATTACCAAAATTAATATCCTTCTTTTTTTGCAATTGTATATAAAAAAATCTTCTGACCATTAGCTCTTATATCTTCCTGATGAATGCAATAAGTTAAAATATGAAAATTATTTTTTATTTTGTTAAATGTCCGACAAACATTCCTCTTAGAAATTTATTTATTTCTCAAAAATCATTTGACGTAATTTGAAAAAAAATATATTGCATATTTATCGTGTTTATGACCACCAAGACAATATGACTTTGTATGCTTTTTTTTTCATTTTAATGATTTTTTTTCCTGATCTTAGCAAATTATAATTTAATACATGTATCACTTAATTTTCATTTATTGCTTTCCTGTTAGAGGATATAATCATCTTTGAAACGTCTTGCATGTACTTTTCATTCCGCATATTTTTCTCCATGAAATGAATTCAGATCTTTTACAGAACATCAAAAAAACAACCAACACACATCAAATGAAAATGATTCATGTACCTTGCAAATTGAAGCCTACTTCTGAAAATGAGGCTCTTACAGCAACTGCTTACCTAGCAACATCAGTAACATCACAACAAGTTACATCAATTATATGCTAATTAGTTTTGTCAACAGGTCAAAAGGTGAAGGTCAAATGTCAAAGGTCAGAACAAGTCAAACTTACTGTGCCCAAAACACACTGAATACATCTTGGTATATAAACACGAGAGATTAACATGTTTGATATCTTGTTTACTAATAAATTGATGTTGATAAACATTGGTAAATCATTACAATGTTAATGTGACATCTAATTGTGGAAGGATATGTCTTGAACAGCAATGAATATAAATTTCTACATATTTCTACAATAATGTTGGACAATTACAAATGCTTTGAATGACAACAAAGTGAGGACTCCACCATGAGAAAGGAATAATATGAATGTCTCTCATTTAAATTGTGCCAGGTAAATCTTGATAAGATATTAAAATTCACGTTTAAATACATTTTTAAATGACTGAATTACAAGCTCATCCTAAAGCAAGATGAAAATTTTCAGTTTGTGAAGCATTCTATATTGACACTGTCTATCATATGAGATTATATCCATCTCAAATTTCATGTAAAAGGAATCTTCAAAATACAAAATATGCTGTATTGTGAGTGTATAACAAGTTGGTTTGGTACATAAGTATTTAATCAAGAGTTTGGAATATTATCTGACTCTCTTCTCGTGGATAAAAAGTAATAACTGTCAAAAAGGCTTCAATAGTAAGAAGTTGTAATAACACTTTTTTTATCTGCATTTGAATATGAGGAAGGGAGATAACCAACTTATCTCCCCTTGTGGACCTAAAGAATAGTGTTAGTCAAGTGATCATATTTCATGTGAAGATAATATTGTACAATCACAATAAACATATTAAGATTACAATGTAACATTTGTAGAATTTCATTTAAATGAAACATACTTCAATTAAGAGTTTTATTATTCAAAATTCTGGTTCAGTTACGCATGACCCAAAACTTTTTTCCACAAGCAATAAATATATGTTTTTTGTTTTAAAAGGGACAACAGATTATTTACTTTTGTCTCAAAATAACATTAAGAAAATCTCTTGACCAGTGCAAGTCATCATTCTGGTCATCAATGTTAGCTTTCTCTGGACAAAGGGTATTAACTGATAGTATCCATTGTCTCTTGTCATTTCCCTTAACTGAATACAACTGATATTCTTCTTGGTGTCGAGCAAATATGCAAAAAAAAAAAAAAAAACATAAGTGAAATTCAATCTTTAACAATGATAAATGTCTTCACAGAACTGTATACAGGTTTACGCAGAGCCAGTCAGCATTTCCTGTATAAGGGGAAAATGCCAAACAACTCTATAACCTTATCAACAACAAACAAAGGAATATTTCATATATATATCACAATAGCTGTGTCTCTTATAAACATGTATATAATTATATATAGAATTATAAGCATTATATGCATAAATCTGATTATAAACCAATGGATAAGAGTAGTGTATAGTGTTATGTTTCTTTTATATACAGATGAAACAATTCATAAATCCCTATAATTATCACACATATAATATTTCCAGCAACTTAAAATTCACAAGCACAACATTTCCACTGGGCCAGATCTGTTCTTCCAAATATGTTGAAAAGCTTTGTTCTTTTCATCTTTGTATACACAAATGGGGATCCCTTCTATGACAGGATTTGGCATGGAGGTTTTTCTGGCATAGCAGTAATTAGCATATGACAATTTTCGGATTCCACTGAAACACATCCATTATAATAACTACATTTTTTAGTATCACACATTCATAATATTTTATTTCCCTATAATTTCCCCAGTAGAACTCTAGATTATGTTTAAAAGATATTTTGGTAGTGTAATTACAACTTACAACCCTTTAATATACAAATATTTTATTTCTTTTGGCAGTTTCAGAAAGATGTCCTTGGGCTTCAGCATGCATTTGAAGGTCTGTGTCATCATGTATCTTCAGAAATAATGACATAGTTTACACATGCACAGACCCTTGAACATGCTTTCACAAACTTCCAGAAACACCATTTTCCAGTATGCCGATCCATGGAAGCTGGCATCCATAACAATTTCACTTTTGCTATCAGGAGTTTCCTACACCTAAACGTTGTGTATGCAACTGTTCACAGCTTCGCGTTTCATATGTTATTAGTCTGTCTTCTATTTCTCACATCCTGTGTGCAATGCTATTTCTATCAGCAGGCCGTTTCCGATGACGATTAATTACTTGCATATATTGTCCAATCAGACTCGAGATATCAGACCCCTGAAAAATAAAAAAATATAATAGATTTTTAGATTAACAGAAATCAAACTCAAGGACGACATATGGAGAAAGGATGAAAATTCAAGGGAAACCATGTGCTTTATAAAGTAATGAGCAGATACAATTGTGGGGTGGGATTCCTATAAGAATGGCAAGTTAAAAACATTATTATGTGTTTAAATAAACTGTACATAACTACAAACTGAGCACCCCCTCCTCCCCATCCCCCCTTACTTTGACCCCCATAATAGACACCTGTTATTACCAATCACTGATATTTAACATATCACTATTTTGGTGGTCTGTCACAAAGGAATCCAATCATGATATGAGCGGATGGGAATATCTTTACATCCTACTCTATAATAGTATTATAATAACAACACAAAGATTTATCATTTACCTGGTCTGTTTCAATGCGAACAATCTTCTGCACCATGAGATTGCCAAGTTTCATATCAAGGTAGTTCTGGTTGCTGTCGCTTCTGTAACGTCGGGTTGACATCACCTCACTAAACTGATACTGAATGATGGTCTCCTGTGACACACAAACCAAATCATCAACATTATGAGAAAATGTATGCAGGGTCAAAGGTGAAAATGTTTTAAGTATTCTTAATTCATTAACAAGTGCCACATGTTCATAGACCTTCATGCATTAAATCAAAGACCATAAATCTGTAAAATTGTTGTCAGTCATGTATAATTTGCACAAATGTGTTACATTGTCTTAATCTTGTATTAGTTTCTTGTATATTGCTGCTGCTGTTGTAATGTAAAATGTGCAAATATTTCATGTTAAGGGTTTCAATTGGTGGGTAGAATGTTTTACATACATACATATACACATTTTCTCCATACAAGAATGTATGTAAGAGGAATGTTTGTGGTCAAATGAACTGGATTAGTGCCTGAGGGAGGTCAAATGAACTGGATTAGTGTCTGAGGGAGGTCAAATGAACAGGATTAGTGCCTGAGGGAGGTCAAATGAACTGGATTAGTGTCAGAGGGAGGTCAAATGAACTGGATTAGTGCCTGAGGGAGGTCAAATGAAGTGGATTAGTGTCTGAGGGAGGTCAAATGAACTGGATTAGTGTCAGAGGGAGGTCAAATGAACTGGATTAGTGCCTGAGGGAGGTCAAATGAACTGGATTAGTGTCTGAGGGAGGTCAAATGAACTGGATTAGTGTCTGAGGGAGGTAAAATGAACTGGATTAGTGTCAGAGGGAGGTCATAAAAGTGGAGTTCATGTAAGAGATCATATTGATAAAGTTCATGACTGAGGTCAAATTAGTGAGGTTCATGTCCGAGTTCACATCAGTTGGGTTAATATCAAAGGTAATATGTCCAACTGGAGTTCATTCATAGGTCATATATCTTGTATATAGCAGGATTCATAATAAAGGTGATATGCCTTGGTGGGTCTCAAGTCTAAAATTTCATTTCAAGGAGGTATTCATGTGTAAGGCCAAGAGAAAGTTATTTAGTCATGTAAGAGGGAGAGAGAGAGAGAGAGAGAGATGTCTATGTAGGTCCACATTGGTAGACATTTTAATACAAAGCTGGACGTTGTCAACTTTTATTCACAATGATATTACATGCACAGCAAATAAAAGCTGCTTTACTACCACCAAAAAGTCAAATACTTACATGTGTAGCCTCGCTGAGGAAGTGGATGCCATTTTTGTTGACAGCCAAAATGGTGTCTCCTCTTATGACTGGCTGTGTGGGGGCATTCTGTAAATAAAACCAAGTAAAGGTCAAGGGTCACACTTAATCTAGACATTGCTTTCCCAGCTCAAGTTCACCTAGACTTTGCTTTCCCAGCTCAAGTTTACCTAGACTTTGCTTTCCCAGCTAAAATTCACCTAGACTTTGCTTTCCAAGCTCAAGTTCACCTAGACTTTGCTTTCCCAGCTCATGTTTACCTAGACTTTGCTTTCCCAGCTCAAGTTTACCTAGACTTTGCTTTCCCAGCTAAAATTCACCTATACTTTGCTTTTCCAGCTTAAGTTTACCTAGACTTTGCTTTTCCAGCTTAAGTTTACCTAGACTTTGCTTTTCCAGCTTAAGTTTACCTAGACTTTGCCTTCCCAGCTCAAGTTTACCAAGACTTTGCTTACCATATGCATATTAAAAGGACTTAACTTTACCTGAATCAAGCTTATGTAGACCGAGTTAACCTGCTTACCTTGACCATGAAGAATATAGATCCAAACAACGGCCACTTTGAAAGAATTGCTGTAACAAACCGATAATCAGGATTAAATTTTTTTTAAATAAAATTTTTTATCTATTAGTCGATTTGAAAAAGAAACCTTCAGGAAAAAAGTATGCATTTTTAAGTAATCAGCTACACTATGCTTCCAGCAATTTATCAGCACGTATTTCAATAAAACATCTTGACAAAACATGACTGCAAAACTATGCAAAATGAGATTCAATGAAGACGTACAAACAAATTTGGCCTTGCAGTTTAGAGGTCCCAGGCGGTTGGCAGCATTCATTTCATGGTGGATCCTGTTGACCCATTGTTGTGGCTGGAAGTCAGACAACTTGTTCATAGTCTTAGGCAGAAGGTAAGCAAGGTCTTTTCTGTAAAGAAAAACATTCACTGTGTAGATATAAGAGCATCTCGGTAACAATGATATTTTATCTTTCTGTAGTGACCACCTCTTAACAGTGTATTACTGTCCATATATAGTGACCACCTGGATACAAGGACCACTTGTTTAATGTGATCACCTACTTATAATGTATTTTTGCATGATTATCTGTCTAAAGTGATTGCCTACAAATGTTCTTAACTGTCAATTTTATTTTAACCTTTACTTCATTTTTAAAGGAACATTTTATATGGCAATTTGAAAAATCCAGAATCAAGTCACCTTAACTGACCAACATTCCATCAAAAACCTTCACTTACATGGTTGGTGTGCCTACTCTGTCAAAGGCCTTAAACAGAAGAGCTCCAAGTGAGGGGAGGTCATCCTGCAAATTAAATTAAGATATCACTTTTGTATCATCAGTTGTCACATTTGTAATGATAGTGACCAAATTGTTTCTTTTAAAACAATAATTGGACTCATTTAAGGAAATATAGCAAAACATAGTTTTCAGCAAAGGTGGAACATCATTTTTTAAATATTCTGTCCACTAATAAGGTTCAAGGACAAATTAGCAAACACACATAATAACATGCCTGAAACAGGTAATTCTATAAAGTCTCTTCATACAGGTAACACAGCAAATTTATTTTTAAATGTCGCTTACCTCCTCCTGTCTGGAGAGACGGCCACTTTGTAGAGTAATCAGTAGTCCCTCTAAGTAGTCTGGCAGACACTGCAAAGACCAATTTCACATTACACATATTTCTTAGAGGGATAGAATTTCGAGAATAAATTTTCTTCAATTTCTTTCCAATTCATAAACATGAACAGCTTTCAATGATTTTGATCTCATAATAATATGTTGTAATATAACAATAATGTTGTTATGTGACAATTACCTGGAAGAACATTAACTCGTTGTATATGATATTGTCGGTTTCCCGGAACGGGAAGAACCAAACGGTCCTTTGGAACACCAGTTGGTAGTCCTTATTTCCACGAATGAACTCCGATGTGACATCTAAGATGTATTCCTCTGACTTCAGGCGGCTGTAGTGATCGTCATCTGCAAAGGTCAAAGGTCATTGGTTCACATGAAAAGTGTTATCACAATCTCTTGAACTCATAATTTCAGACATCTTTTATGTTGTAACTTGCATTTGTCACAATACCTGATAGATGACTACTACCTAGGACTTCGTGAGGAATGGGAATCTGATGAGGAGAAGGCATTTGGTTTAGAGAGACTTTAAGAGGATTTGCAGATGATATGATGTAAATGTGTTGTATTGATAACTTAAGTTTATATTCTGAGTTACATGGTTTGGATTGGTAAGTAGTGAATGAAATGTTTCTTTGAGAGTGTGAATCAGACATGATATCCTTTATCCCAATTCTTATGGTGTTTATTTTGTAATATTCATGGGGATTTCATTTCACTGTATTTGCCGCTGATAAAGATAGCGTGCAATTCAACTCCCAGCAATCATTTCTACATTGAAAGAAATGATATCTAAACCTTATTCATAGACATACACACAAACTTTAATACCCTTTCACAGGCCCAAATTGGGTCAACCATGAAATACAACAAATATACAGGTAATACATGACCACCTAATAGTAAATTGGATCTGGGAAATTATACAGGTCTCGCACATTACGTATAACACTGGGTCCAGTTACAAGTTGCTATATTATACTATTGCTACCTTAGAAAAATCCCTCAGGAACATTTTCATTTTGAGAAAAATCCTTTAAATTTAAAACAGCAAAAAGTTTGTTTATAAATGGAAGAGTAAATAAAATTTTCTAGTTTAGTTAACATATAAAGTTAGTATCAGTTCATAAAAGCAGGCTTCAAATACAACAGGGAACTTACTGGTACGAAGGAACAATGTATATTCCTCCATTTCCACCGGATCAAAAATGTCGAGGCGATTGCAGATCTCCTCAATGGCATCCTTTACAACCTGGATCAAAGCGAAAATGTTGGTAATGAGTTCATTTGTATCAAGAATAGCTTATCTGTTTGTCAGACCTTGAAACTAATACCAATTACAGCTGTATCAATAAAACTTCGGTCTTCAATGATCCAATGGTAGTTTTTAAAATTACCTTTTCTTTTAAACCAACATTTTTGTATTAACCAACAAACACATTTAAATTGTCATCACACCAAGAGTTGACATCTGGGAGAAAGGAATGAAGTGAAAAAAATCATATATTTATGTGATGATTGCTGCAAAGAAAAGAAGATGATATGAACATTAACTTACCAAAGATGGCCGAACTTGCAGCATACCCTCACGTTCGGAACCGCTGTAGATAAAGGAGTACCTCTTTGATACACGTCCATCCTGATAAATAAAAATTTCAACAAAACATCAAAGTCAAGGTCAGATGTTAGCTGATGAAGGTCATCAAAAAATCATTTCTTGATTTCAGATTTAATTCTATTCATGGATCAACTCATCCTTACAGGTAGAAAGCCCACCCAAATTAATTGCTAAATATTTTTCAGTGATTAATGTTTATTATTATTATTACATTCTTAAAACAGTGATTAATGTAAAAGCAATTTACCACTGATAAATTTCACTCTCTCTCACTTTAGTCATCTTTTCTTACTTCTAATCCTGCTTAAGGTTTGAATTAAGTTCTATTTTGTTAAACACTTTCAAAAATCAATTACCGCTAATGCAGAAATTTCTGCTTTCAGTGGCACATTTTTGCGCCCTCCATATTTGAAGGTCTTTCTAAGGTTCTGCAGGCATATTGATGCCGCTCCACTGAACGTTCTAGATGAATCAGAAGCTGTTGTTTCAAGGTATTTGAACAGGTATGGTCGCAAGCTTTCAGAGCAGTCGCAGTAACACGCAATGATCGAAAATAATCTCCATCCCATAATGCAGCTCTTCCTGGAAAAATGTCAAAAAGAGAAAACTGTAGAGACAGAATATACTACCAAAGGTTACCTGCATCAATATAATACCAGTGGTGAGTTACAGGTATGGTATCTATGGTTACTGATAATAGACATGATAATGGTTACCTGTGGTAAGTATTGTTTCATGTTTAACACAAGCTTACACAGTATCAAAAACTTCAGAGGTGTTTCAAAACACTGATATGAAATTAAAGGTCTTACTTTGACAATACAAGAAAAATGTTTCTGAACATTTTCAAAAACTCAAATTTTTATCAAGGAAAGGTTAAGCCAGCTATCTGCCTTTTGCAATCAATGATATCTTCTTTTCAGTGATCATACGTACGGCTTCATGCTTCTGTTACTTGTTGTCTGCTTACACAGTTGGCAGTAGAGTTCATCTCTCATTTCTGGATGTTTATGACAGGACTGAAAGGAAAACAAGAAACTTTTATCTCTTATTTTCATTTTACCATCAATGTCTAACATTTTACACTTTTCGTTAAATGTGTCAGGAAAAATTTCTAGACCAACCTGACTATGAACAATTTAAATGATGTTACCTACCCTCAGGATTTTGAGGACACAGTCATAATCTGTTTGGTTGGAGCCCATAGGATAGTCTCCCATAAACTTCATCACACCTGTAGAATCAAGTGGTAGTTCATATCAAAACATTTAAAGGTATTAAACATCATCAAACAACAGAGAGAACAAATATCATGATAAACAGTCAATGACAGAGGTAAATGTCAAATTTAACAAAGAGGTCCCAGAGGGATCTTGCGGCCCACTATTATCTGATCTAACTTTGTTCTTTAAAACTTGGATTTTTTCCCTTCTTTTCTCCTCTCTCCCCTGTTTTTACTCTTTATTATTGAAATTTGAACATTCTCTTTAAGAAATTGAGACAATAATCATAAACTGCCTAATTCAATCCTAAAATCAAACCAGCACAACTAGGGATCAAGGAAAACCCAACATATCTGAGAGAGATCCATCCAGTATTTCTCAAGAAATAGCGATAACAAAAATTGTTTACGGACAGAAAGATTGACAGATGGAGAGACCACAGACCAGGGAAGATGTAGGGCTATTCAAATCAAATGATGGGCTTAAAAGAAATAATGGAGACCTACCTTATATCATTTATTAAATAATTCTTGTCATTATTTGCTTCAAACATCAAGTGGATTTTGTCATGTGACAAAAAGTAAACTTTACAGACCGTAGAAATTGTCTTTACACCTAGCTGTATTGCTAGATCTTCTGTTGAAGTCAAATATCTTTCTTCCTTATACTTACAGAGGAAGCACTCCAAGGCAAGCTTGTTGAACTCTGCTGTTTGTAGCTTCAGTAGTGAAGCTTGGATAGGGGACTGAAACAAGAAAAAAATTCTGGTTCAAATTTAATATCTCACATGTTTACAAATACTATGATATCACTAATATCTAGTCTAAGTGTACCTAATGTGCATTTCAGGAGATAAAATAGTCACTAAGAAGTAAATGTACAACTTGTGAGTTAAAAATCTACACCTAAGAATTTGTGCATAGTTATTGATATTTCCTCTACTGTACATTCACAGTTTCCTTCTGGAGATGTGTTTTATGTTTGAAGAATGGTGTCCGCTCACAGCTTATAAATACTGTACTGCTTTCACAAAGATTACAAGAGAGGTATAATAGTCAATATTATCCCCGATATATATACAACTTGTAATTCCTAATCTTGATGTTGATAAAGAAACCATTGTAGTAAATAAACAGAAGAAGTCAAGAAAAAATATTTCAAGATAAAAAAAAAAAAAAATTGGATAAAAGTCAACCTGTGTATTTACTCACCCTAGTCCACTATGTCAAAAGAATATGATTTGATGTAATGTAAAAACTTCACAATTTTCTAGTCAAATGCACATCAGAAAAATAAATCTAAATCTTAAGAATTTAATGACTATTTCAAAAAATCGGTTTTCCTTTTTTAACTATCTTATTTTTTAATATTTGTTAACACTGACCCGTGTCCACTTGACCATATCTGCTTGCTCTTTCCATGACCATTCACCGGAACCTGTAACATCAGATCTCAGATATAGTTCACCGATCTCGCTGGCTGTGGTTATTTTGTGTACAACATTTCTGTATATATCCTACATTAAGTCCAGGGAGTGACAAATTACCTCTGATTTACAGAAGGGTGCTTATTATAAGACAATGATAAAGTATCTGTTGCAACAAAAAACCTGATACAGGTTGATTGGTTTAAGGCATGAGATAAGAACAGTATCAGAAAAAGAGGCTTCCCTATTATAACAATTCAATGTTGATGCATTACAGATAATCTTCAATTTATACTGTACATTGGATTAGTAATCACAGATAGCCAGTAATCATCTTAATGATATTCATTTTGTCACATTTAAAAAAAATCATTTTGAGAATTTGGGTTCATAAAATAAGGACCACTATAAGATATCTAGGTTTTTAAAATATCTTCTCACATCACCTCCAGAATGAATTCGAAATATGTTTTTTATCAAAATAAACTGCCAGGCCATACACAATAATATTAAGATTTTCGCTATAAGACTAAAGAAAACAAAAAAAGTGCACAAGTGTTCAAGTGTTTAAAATCAGCAGTGTTAGTACAACAGCAGTACAAGCCATATTAGTACCTAGAAACAATCATGCAGCACAATGATGATGTTAGTATTTATAATCTTCGATCCTTGCACACGAAATTATGGCAAATTTGGTAGGGACTTGATCAACCTCTAGAAACAAGCCATGCTTCAATAATGAACATTTATCCCATTAGAACTGTCTCTACTTGACTCCGTAGTACATATAGATATGTTATTGTTGTGATTGGACTTGTTTAATTTAGGGTGTGGGGTGAGGTTGAGGGATTGTTCAGATTAAAATTTTCAATATTTTAAAATAAAATTTTTCACCCAAAACAGTATTTCTGGATTTAAATTTTATGACAAAAATATGAAAACACACTGACATTTAAAAAATGTTCCTACTTGTTTATTTTTAGGAGAAATTTTACTGTTAAAATTAAGATCATGACAGATGATTTAATAAAACATTATTTTTGTAGAAGATAAATATCTATGTATTTAGTCACTTTGTATGAAAACATATGACATACTTTTAAATTCTAATATGAATCTAATTTCCCTCAGTCTGTAGACCAACAAATGGACTACAATCACTGACCATGGTGTTAAACTGTCGAGAGATGTTAATGTGTGGGTGTGACTGATTAGAGGGTGGAGCTTAGGATTCAGATAAATCAGTGGGTAATTAGTCTATGTAATTAAAAAACTAATGACAATGTTAATAATAAGTTACAGCAAATTAATGGGTGGGGCTTATTGACACACCAGGCCCATGACCACAAAGTATTACAAGTGGGTGGAGTGTAGTGACACAAAAGTCCACTGTGATTATAGGATATTATAAGTGGGCGGAGCTTAGCGACCGTCACCTCTGCGGTGCAGTTTTTGCTGGTCCAGATTACGAAGCTTGATGCTCTCTATATGTTTGATTGTTCCTCGTATTGAACCATCCTCTCCTCTTTCCATCTCAAACCTTGAAATAAACAGACGGCAGGCATAACAACAATATACCATGGAAACGACAGCTACAGCCACAGGTACAATACAACTGTATACATAGGAGATGAATCAAATGATTTTCAAATGAAAATTTGGACACAAACAGAAGCCATTAAATTACTGCATACTATTTAGGAATCAAACACTGTGTTAAAGCATTTAATGGGTCTTAATCATCCCTTAAGGCATTGTAATTAACCTTAATATGACTTAAACATTGAAGCTGAGTCAAGCAAACAGGCAGTAAACAGATATCTGATGGTGTCCAAGTGAACCAACAATGAAGGATGATGTCTAAAAATAAAATGTAAAAAATGATTCTTGAATAACCAGCCATCATGCATGAGCTGAAAGCTAGGGTAACTCAACGATGGCAGAAAATATTCCACAAATCTCAAGTAATACCAAATACATTTATCTCAATCCAGGAAAAGTTGTTTAAAATATTCATTTTGTCTTCCAGACCGCAATACTATTTACATGTATGTGTGAAATTTTACTTTAATTATATTGTTAAAAAAAAAAATAAGGAAAATTACATAAGTCTGCCATCATTTCATACCTCTACAGCACAGTTTAATAAGAATGAGTCTGAATTACAAAAATGCTATCCAAGTTCTGACAGAGCACAGTATATCTCCAACAGCAGCAGTATAAATACATAATACAGTAAGCATGCAGTACAAAAATAGCATTTCCTCTTTAAAATGAAGGATTGGTGCAGCAATCAAAGGTCAAAGGTCACTGAGGTCATTCACTGCCAATGACCCCCTACTTTGACCTGTATAAATGACCATTTGTTTTATTACCTTGCTTATATGGTTTATTTAGTTCTCGTCTGTAAAGGTAAGATTTTTTTTGTATCAAAACATGGTTTGATGTAATAAGTTTCAGATTTGATGCTATCTGAAGACTAACAGAAAAGAAATTTTAGCAGATGATAAATCAATCAAATCTCTTAATAGTTAAAAAAAATGAATTGGTGCCATTCTTTTTTTTCCTTAAAATGCAACAATACCAATTAAACACTAAATGTTGGCAACAAAATTCATAAAGTAAACGATGTTTCTATCTCTGATCAGAGTGACTGATACTTATCACTGTTTTGTGAATACAATTTCTATTATCTTTCATTGGATTACCTGTTTAGGAAGCTACCTTCCCTGTTGATAGTGTTCATATACAGACCTTCATAATTCATGCTGCAAAGAGGAATCCCCTCCCAGCTACATATCCTCTCCCCCCCCCCCATTCCCCCTCAAAACATTGGTAAACAAATCTGATATCAAGCTTATGCACAAACCTGTTGTTAATGAAATACAGAAGAAATTTAGCATTACAGATGTATGCTACATAAATGTAGTGTTGTGTATCCAATAGAAATGAGTTTCAAATAAATGAGAAACAACTTCACAAATCAACAAATCATGCTGTATCTTGTAAAATATGACCTTGATTCCAAGACAAAGTTCAGACTGAACATGTAATTTACAAAGGTGTCCAGGTATTTTGTGGCCTCTACTTATGTAAATGCACTAGGATCTACCAAGTTCAAGTATTCAGTGTTAAATAGCTTAAAAAAAGGAATTAATGAAAAACAAAATTCTTCCTTTAAAAAAAAAAAATTTAAAAATATCGTACACTTACATTCATAAGCTCATTTCCCATATACGTAAGTCTTATGTAAAACAATACCCAAAATTGAAAACAATAGTTAAAAATTGCATTAAGGCTCATTATAAAGCCGAGTTCAACTGAAAATACATACTTCTGGACTGACTCCCGGAAGTGAAGGACAGCAAATTCCATCATCGAGAATTTACCGTCTGGAACGACGGTACCCTGACTAGTCTCACTTCTGTTGTCAGTATGACCGTCCGTCTGTAACACATTATGTATGACAGATTTTGAAAACTCTGCACCATTCTTTTTTTCAAAAAACATCATATAAAGAACCAGTTAACAGAATTTATAAAACCATCTTATAATATATCTGAGATCTGTATATAATCTGTACTCATTTGAGTTTGACCAAATCAATATTTACTTTAATATCTTATCAACATTTGTAACTATTTGCTGATGTACTTTTACGTTTGCTCAGAAGTACATGACTCACTCTGCTAGGAGGGCGAATGATCCGGTGTACAACATGCTCGGTCAGCTGGGCCTACAAGACAGAAAACAAAACATATGATTACAAGTACCGAGCCTTGCTATCAAGGGTCCACAAGGTCAGACATATGTAACTTATAGAGTTCATACCTTCATTTTAGCAAGCACTTGTCATTCGTGTTTGTTGCAATTAGTTCAGTCAAATAAATTATCCGCAATCATTTTCCATGCAGAAATAGTTTACCTCTTTTCAATAAAAACACCCAAGTATACAAACCATATAGTTTACTGACTATGCAAGTGTACTAGTTTTTCTAGTTTAGATGATTAAGCATTTATCAGCATTTATTAGCACCATATCTAATTATCTTCTTATTTCATTACATATTTATGATTTGCAATTCCTCCCACCCCCTATTCCTCCTAAATTTCCATTAATTATACAAGATTCATCTCATCAATAGTTACCTTCATGCCTCCTGACCTTTCAACCTCATGTCGTTGAAGAGGTTTTACATACTCTGCTGGGAAGTACCCGAGGACACCATTTAATGAACCATACAGCCAACCTGTAAAGTAAAATGATAAAATAACTAAAATCATATCGGACAAAAATTTTCATATTTTTTAGATTTGAATTGCAGATTTGATAAAACAGCCAAACACTTTTCCATACAAGAAATCCCTGAGAATGTGATACACACCATCTTCTAATGGAATTTCAGCATCCACCAGCTTGATGATCTCGCTGCGCTTAAAGCTGAGTAGTGTGGATTCGCGTGTAATGTAATCCTTTACTGCTATCACATACTTGTTTCCCTGTCAGAATTGAAGAAAGTCACGTCATTTACGGAAGGTAATATAAGAAAAATCAACACACAAGTTCACTTTTTATTTTATTATAATAGTCTTCAATTTTATTCTTTCTTGAAGACCAATTTGTTTCAAGTTTTTTATGAGACATATTTAGGAACAAAAGTATTGATAGTAAAAATGTATCCAATACCTTATCACTTTCAGTCAGGTACATATCAATCATCTGTTTCAATTGTAACGCCTGCAAAAAAGGTGAAAAATTCTCACATAAAAACCAAAACAAGACAATATTGTTTTGAAATAGCAAAACCTAAAAACATTTTTTTTCAAACAAAAAAATGCCTTCTATTCATTTGTTGTTTTATTTGTATAAAAAACAAAACTGAAAGTGGAAATCAGAAGAAAAACAAACACTGAAAACTGAAATACAAAGATACCCAGAAGTGTTTTGACAGTGATATCTGTTATACAATATATACAAAGAGGATATCTCTTGGATAGGACCTGCAGAATTTCTGATTCAATAATTTTAAAAGTTTCTTACGCGATTTGTATAGAACACCATGGATTTGTCCTTGAGGTTGATCTGGACCGTGTCCTTGGTTGGCATGACGATATCAATGATGTCCTCAAACTTTAAGTGTTCTAGTACTTCCAGGTTATCTTCGACCATGGACCTCTCACGGTCAATGAGGTGGATTCCTGAATGACTGACGCCAATGTAGCGTATTGTACCTTTCTGTGTCTGGCCCTGAAAATAAATAAACATCAAGGCTTATTGTCATAGTTTTATTTTAATATCAAACCTTGGCTATATAAATATATATACAATTTTCAATCCAACAATAAGCCCACCCATATTTATTGCAGTTTTAAAGAAATACTGACAAATGTTAAGCTATTGTTCTATATTAAGACTATTCCTTATACAAGCAAGATAATCTCCGCTTACAAGTATGGAGACGGAAGACATCAAAGACTCTTAAAAGGCCTTGATCATGATACATGTTATCAACTTACTGCAACAGGGAAGAGGCGAGAGAAATATGCCCCCCACTCCTTGGCTGTATCCACGACAATCTTCTTCACCTGGTTCGAGAAATTACCTGTCTGGTAATTTGTTCTATTTATGCCATAGTTCTCTGTCAATGAAAACAAAAACACATCAATGCAATTCTAAAACTCAATGCTAAATTTCATAAAAAAATCTTATTTTCATCAGGAAAATAAAAAATTGAACATATAAATAGAAATCTGTCCCCATGACCTTAAGTTTAACCTATAAATGGAAATCTGTCCCTGTGATCTTCAGTTTAACCTATAAATGGAAAACTGTCCCCTTGATCTTACTCTATCAACAAAGATTTTAACCCTAAATCCATGACTGCAGATATTCCTTACGAAAGCTTCATATTCATAGAATTCATCTTTGTAGAATAGAGATCTGTAGGCAATTCTTACATCATAAATGTTATCTACAACACTTTGCACAAAACTTTATGCAAAGAAAACTTTTAAAATCTTCTCAACAAATCCCCTTATTGGAGATATAAGACTATCAACCATACACTGGCTTTAGAGCTTATATTTAAGAAACGGTGAGATTTTCAAAGAATAGAAATAACAACCATCTACATCAAAACAAAATGTTCTTACCCAGCATGCCTCTCATCTTTATGCGTTCATCTTTGCCGATGCGAATACAGCCATGGTTGTAAACGTCTTCCACCACCTGGCAGAAGATGACATGTAGGGCTGAAACGTTCTCTAACCGTTCTCGTGGATGAAACACCTAAAAGTATAAACATCATTACAGTTTGTGTTGGAACCTTTAATTCAGGTTGGTAATGTTAATAAAATAGAAGTACTTAATTACATAACCAGTAGAAGATTTTAGTATGACATTTTGATGACTACACAGTCACCTTCATCAGACAAATGACCAGTGTGAACTGTACCAGGGCTGACATACATAGTGTACGAGATGGCAAGGAATAAACAACTTTTCTACATGTCTTATTACATTTTGTTTACTTGTTTTAAGCCAAGGATCTCTTATATATATTAAGTTTCTCTGCTTTAATTTTTTTTATCATTTTCTAGTAAATATTTACATTTTCTGTTAATTTCATAATTGCAATGAAGGTCAGTAGACAAGCAATGAGTTCCCAGCTCTGAGATAGATACAAAGTTATGTTCTCCTTAAATTGTATTGTTTCTGAAAACAACCGATATACATTTGCTGATAAGGGTGAGTAAATCTTCAAAATCTGATAACATTCTTTTACATGTGATATATTTACTCTAGCATTGTACTTCAATTATTTTCCATGTATGTTTTAAACAAAATAATGTAATTCTGTAATGATTTTCAAAAACTGACGATACCTCACCAGAAAACAGCTTTGAACTGGATTTATGTTTGACATATAAGAAAACATTCAACTGTTCAATATTCAAATATGATGAGAATGACCTCAACTGACCTCTTTGCGAACATTCAGTGACCAGGGCACACCGCTGTAAGTGAGATAGTTTTCCTTGCCCTGAGGGTAGAGACGACAAACCACACGCTCCAGAGAAGAGAAGTCAATGTTCATCTTCTTTTCTTTCTGTGGAGGAGGCGCCACTTCGATGACTTTGGTTTCCGGGACTGGCTGCGTAGGGGGTGGTGGTGGTGGGGGGAGTGTTTTGGGTAGTGGTGGAGGAGCTGTAGAAATCAAAACATCTGTGAACACCACATAAAGTGACAAGCATATTATTATGCTTTAACCCTAACTGTGTGTGGCATTAATTCATTGATTTGTAGGTTTTCCAATTTGTATTTGGTCTATACCCCAATATTTTTCATATGAAATGATGAAGTCTCCAAAACACAAGTCAACAATAAAAGTTTGTATAAGAAGTCCACAGTGTCCCGTCAGATACAGTAAAAAGATTATCATGGGGCAATTTCCTACATATTGTACAACCTATTAATATACATCACATGTTTTGTCATATCCAGCTTTTACTACCACACCTCTGTAATACGTATCAACAGACTATATGATCACAAACTTTCAAAAAACATTCTCACTGAAATTATTTTTCTGAACTGTTCTTCGCCAGTGTCAAATTTTATTAAGGAGAATCTGTCAATCCATTCAATAGAATACAACTCCAGCAGATTTGAACAGAAAAATGTCAGTATTTGGATTTAGAATTTTATTTTTTTGTAAAAGAAACATGCCTCTTCACTGCCTCTACTGATACACATGGGGTAGCTCTAGTTGGCGCATACTTACATGGAGGTGGGGTCTCTTTCTTGCCTCCAAGTTTCTGCTCCAGCAGTTGAAGAGTGGCAAGATGAACAGATTCTGTGAGAGATTTAGTTGACTTGACTGGTTCATGCTGAAGAACATAAAATTCTGGCATTAATAACATATAAACTTGATTAATTTTACAACAATTGTGAAACAAGTTATTTTAACTTATACTAATCACTTATTAATAGAAATACAAAAACGTGGTAAAGGTAATTTGATTAAAAAAGAAAAAACAAAAGTTTTCTGGTCATGATGTGATGGTTCAATTCAATTTCAAAGATTTTTCAGTTAAAACCTTTTTTTTAATGTTTTCATCTAACGATAAAGAAAAAAAAACTAAAAATAAACTCTGCAGAAGACTGTAACATACAATTTTCTTAAAATGTCTGTGGTCAGTTAGACAAATCACAATACAAAAAACCATTAAACAAATAAACACAAGAAAATTTCAGTATCAGTGACTTTGAAGACAAACCTTTGGTGGAGGAGCTGGGGCTGGTTTTTTTGGCTGCGTGCGTGCACCAACTTGCTCTTCAATTGAGTTAGCAACATTCTCATCAATTTCAAGCCTACCCACATTTGGTCGTGACTTTGATTCTTTTTCTACTGGTGGAGGCCACACTACACGACCAATTCTTACAGTTCTGGCACGACCCTTTTTATCTGTAAAGGTAAATGTGCCGTCCTCACGATTAAAGGTGTCCACATTCTGAGGAACAGTTGGTGGTGGAGGCGGAGCTGGAGGAAGGGCTGGCATTCTTGGACTCACCACAGACTGATCTTGGAAAGCAGGAGGAGGTGGTGGAGGAATTGTGGGAAGCGCCATCTGTCGAACTTTATGGCTCTCACTTTCTGAGTTTTGTTCTGTGATATGTAAACTTTTATCATGATTTGCTGTGATGAGAGGTGGTATATGCTCAGCCGGTTGAAATTGGTTAGTCTCCGTGCGACCTTCAAACTGTGTCCTTATCTTATACACTTTCTTTGGCACACCTCCTACGTTTGTCTGAGTTGTATTAATGCCTGCTACAGGCACAGTTTGTGTAGTGCTAAAGGAGGAGGTCACTGAACCATTCACTGGTTGTTCTTTTGGAGTTGCAAATGGGGACTGTCCCACTGAGTTCATGCTGGAGCTTGGGCTGACAATGTTTGGCACCATCCCATTTGTAGCCCCCAGCCCAGGTAGTCCTGGTAACCCATTGACACCCCCTAACCCTGCCTGTAAGAAATGCTGCTGAAGACCCTGTTGCTGTGCTGACTGAAGCAGAGCTTGCTGTTGCCGTGCTGCCTGGTTTTGAATTTGAGCCTGGGCCTGTGCTTGAGCTTGGGCCTGCATCTGGGTCTAAAAGAAAGAACAAATTTAATAATGTTGAAAGAAAATTTTGATGTTTTTTGTGTGAAGATTACCTGTAAATTATATTTCATTTTCATATCATTACATCTAGTTTATATTGGCAAGTATTACTTCAAAACATCAAATTTCAAAACCTTTTCAAGGTTTTGCTGACAGTTAAGTCGATCAACAATTTTTCCAAGGCTTTTTAGGGTCAGTTATCAAAGTATGCTCAATGAATTTCTGGGTTGCGATTAACAATTTTTTCTCAACATTATCACTTTGATCACAGGTAGCCACCATATTATTGCAGTTGTAGTTTGCACATAACAATTGAAAAAAATAAATAAATAAAAGTCCTCGTTTATTTGCAACACTACGGAGAATTTCTTTTGCGAATGAATTCTCATTGTGTGCTTTTTAAACACCAATGACATCAATTGACAAAATTTTCAAGATGTTAATGCTATATTCCAAGACTTTCCAGGGCTGACACTAAATTCCAAGACTTTTGCGGGAAGAGAAAGAATGAATTCTGTGTGTAAATTTGTATGGATCATGTATAATCGCTTGCCAGAAAAAAATTTCATTCCAATTCAACTGTAGAGAATACAATTTGGTCATAGTTTTTCAATTTTTAAATCAGGTTTATTGGGAAAAGAGTCAGAAAAATATGATTAGAAATTGCAAAAAAAAAAAAATCTTGAATTATCAATTCTATCAAAACTGTTTCCAAATAACAAACAAAAAGAATTGCATAAATTGAGAATGAAGTGTCTGGTGCATCAAAACAAAATTCAGAATTATTAAGACATGATACCATCTGATTCAGGTAGGCTTGCATTAACGCTTGCTGCTGTGCCTGCTGTTGAGCCAGCTGCTGAACTGCCAGCTGTTGTTGAATCTGCTGCATCAGAGTGTCTGTCATAATACAAACAAGAAATCAGAATACTTATAAAAACCAAAAGATGTGTGAAATGTGTGTATGACAGATTGAATCCCAAACTCTATAACATACAACAGAAAATAACAGAAAATTAAAGGTGACATAAGACAAAACTCATTTCATTACTTTCTGAGGAATAGTAATTTGTTCAAAATATTGATATGCACCACAAGTACAAAATGTATCATGACAAAGTATAGAACATTCAAAGTATCAGCTATTAAAAATATAAGCATTCTAGATTGTCTAATGACAACCATGTATATGTCCAAATATATCCCAAGGTAATAATGAACATTTGCAACCGAATGTAGCTTAAATCTAAAATTTGAGAAATCTTCAACAAGTTTTGAATTTTTAAATCCATAACAGTCATCTTGCATTTTTCAAACCTATCTGTAATAGTGTTAACAAAATTGAGAAAGGACGATGTCCAATGATCAATGAAACCACTTACCCTCATGTCTAATGTAAAGAATCAAGAAATGTTTTGCAGTTTTCCCAGAACTTGACAGTTACAGGTTAAGAGTTATCCCCCTTACCTGTGCTTCCTTGTGCTGTGGATGGTGTAGATCCAAGCCCAGTGGCTCCCCCTGCTGGGAGAACATTGACATTGCTCATGAGTGGGAGTGACACAGGAGGTGCTGGTGGAGGCTGCATCCCTGGTCCAGGAACGCCTTTCCCTCCACCCTTCAGTCGATTTTCCATTGACCGTGCGTCACTCAATGTATCAACATGCTCATTGAGCGCACTATTGAACACATCTTCCACCCAGTGAGACCAATCGGACTCTTGTCCAGTCCCCACTGACATATTATCTGATGATGCGGACATTTTCTCAAAACCACGATCTCTTCTTGAAATGCGATCAGCCGCACCATTTTTCATCCTCTTTGACACTGCAGATGACTTTACATATCTAGCGTTTAGTTTGGATGTCGAACTTAAATCTTGTACACGAGGTGTTCCATTAGATAATCCATTATTGTACCGTTGATTTAACTTAGATCCCGCCAATCCGTGAGCAGCACTTTCGTCCTCTAAGATTGGAGTTATGTCCCCATTGCTAAGACCATTTGTCACATGGCCATTATGGCCGTTACTTGTGACCGATGGTGGTCCTGGAGCTTTCCGTTTTGTGTAGCGCAAATTCAGTACAGAATTAGGAGAAAGTCCATCCATCATGATCTCTGTTGGACGCCTGTTGAGAGCACTTGTCATTGAGAATTCTATTTTCTTCTGGTCTTCATTCTCTTTTGTGCGAGGTGTGAAAGTTCGGTTTTCCAGACGCGATGCCTCAACTTTTAGTAACTCTGGCAGTTTGCCTACTAGCACCATATATCTATCCTTGTCAACATTATGTGGACTGTTGTAATAAAAAAAAATTATTACCGACAGTGTAAAACTGAAGCCATATTTGGTAAAAGTGTGAAAGTGCTAACATTGCTGGTAAAAATATTGTAATACTACCACTATATTTGGTATAAATGAATTTGATTTAAATACTATAAATAGTACAAACTATACCTGTACTTCAGGAACCTGATCAAAGTCCTATACATATCATCAGTAACGATTAGGGAACATTGCCATATATGGTAAAGTAACATTACCAGGTAAAACTGAATTATTTAGTAACAAAATGAAAGATTAAATTTTCACATCAAATAGAATAAGAAATTTTCAAATGAAGATTTTAGGTCACACGACTTTCGACCTGCAATGATATGTTACAAATCTCATGACTGATAAGGATATATGAAACTTACGAGTCCTTATAAAGACGATTTACAGCCCCAACTGGCTCTCGCATCTTATCTCGTGACACCAGGAAGTAAGCAGGCTTTGAGGGAAACCCTGGCGGAATCTCCATCTCACTCATAAGGTCAAGGACATAGTCATACCCCATCAACTCAAAGAAATCTGTTTCCTCCTGTAGCACCACTGTCCAACCGTACTTGTTTTCCTTCAGGCCCCTGTTAAAGGAAGTGTCAAGAGGATTTAGGTCTTGTACATTGAAACCTGTCTAAAATGAACAGCTAAGAAAGTAACATCACACCTAGAATACAGGTTTTTTCCTTCTAGACAGGTGAAATACCTATTGTTTTGGTTGGACCTTGTTGAATGTTCCTTCAACAGGTTTAGATTACAGAAAATTAAGGATAAGAGGTTACGCTCTGTAATTAAATACATACTTCTGTAAAACCTGTCCCTGATGCACCTGTTTGAAAGATACACTACCGCTTATACCATAAAAAATGGCTCCTTTGTTTAAAACCCTGACTTTACTGTTACCCAAGTCTATCAATCCATTTAGTTGTGTAAGTTACTTTTGATGACTACAGACAAGTTTAAATACACATGATATTGGCTTTTACAAAGCTAGTTTACTGTCACAAGTCTCAATCAAATTTTGCAGCTAATTAATCCAGATAAAATGGACATTTTGAACAAATGTTTAATAAATCCAGGTGAACCGGACTTATTAGACGGATATCTAACAGTCAGACTGGAAAATTCAGAGTGTTAGACTTACCGACTGCTGACAAGATGACTTGTGAAGATTTCTCCTGACGTCCAAGACTCAACAGGTCCGTACATTTTAACACCTGCATCAAAGTAAAGTTACATATACAAAAAGTTTACATTTTTACAAAAGATTTTTTTCCCTGAATTTTCAGGAACAGAAAGTCACAGCCCCTCTATTCTTGGAAAGAGCGCTTGTTGTAAATCCACTACCTTTCTTTATTATTTCTATTTTTTTCATTATGTCAGAACTTAAACCATGTTCTAACCCAATTAATGACATTTTAATCAATATCTCTTCAAATAATCATCAAATTCACTTCAAATTTTAATACAACATCCATCAGATTCTTTACATGTCCTTAAGATATACATACCATCAGCGAAGCGGACAGGTAGAGCCATGTTAGTAAATTGTTGAATGGCATGCCATTCCAGCAAACAGGGGGGATAACTGCGGCTTAACTGGGGTTGGATGTTGGCACACTGCAGTGCCTTGTGTTGACATGTAATCTTATGGCCATTGTAGCCAACGTCCGAAACAAACCTATTAAAACAGTTCAAGCAAAATGATATGGAAACATCCAAGCAAACTACTCCACCAAAAGTACATTAACAATACTGAGGGGGTAGGGTGTTGTTGAGCAAAGCTTTGTGATCAATCTCATCAATCCTACACCTGTCTTTAAACAGTCTCTGCCTTTATGAAAGATTCTACAAGTTTTCCAACCGAATAACTCTGCCTGCTACTAGTTGAAGAAGAAAAGCCTGATGGCATTTTAGCACAATGTACATACTTGAGTTGAGGAAGAAAAGCCTGATGGCATTTTAGCACAATGTACATACTTGAGATGAGAAAGAAAAGCCTGATGGCATTTTAGCACAATGTACATACTTGAGTTGAGGAAGAAAAGCCTGATGGCATTTTAGCACAATGTACATACTTGAGTAGGTATTTGAATAGTTTTTCACTCGGAGGGAAGGCACTAAGGCAGGCAGCCATCAGACACCAGGATCGTCCTATGGCAGTTAGGTCCTGGTTGTTCCAGCACTGGTTTGCCACCTGACAGTAAATCTCATCACGGAGTCCTTCATGGTTCAGTCCCTGTGTCACAAACACAAAACAGGTTATATTATTAAGAAACATTTTACAACAGTAAGGTTATTATTTGGAAAGTACAAACTTACTATTTTAACGCAAAAATTATTCATAGAAATAAAATGATAATTCATAATAAGAAACCTTTAAATCATCACAAGATTATGTGCCATAATAATCCCACCTACATCTTTGTTATTCTGCTGAGTGCTGGTAAATACGATCTAATTGTCCTTTGATAAGCTTACTCCCCCTCCACGAGTTTAATAGTTTCTGTTAGTACCCAGGACCTACTGCTAGATAAATATAGCTAGTTTATTGAATACATTCTAAAAGTTTTATATTTTGTTTGTTATTTTTTTCAATTTCATTTTTCAATTTCATGCCAAGGCATTAAGAAAGTTAGATGTATTATTGTCTTAAAAACAAAGAACGTAGAAAGATGCTTTAAAAATATTTAGGAGGCTATACATCAGTTTCCCTCTTACCATCTGTACAATGTAGTCAGACATTGCCTTTTCTCTCCTCTTACTGAGGTGGGGATCTCCCATATATCGCAAAATCTATAAGTGAAAAGATTATTTAAACATAAAAAGTATCTATAAGAAAATTTGAAATTGAAATGACACAATGAATCACATATCAGCACCTACACAATACTGTCATCACAAACAAGTTATGATATTGGAGCCTGCCTAAGAAAATCACAAACAATATCAAAGAGGTTTTAAAAATAATACTTGTATCCTTATCATAAATTTATTTTAGTTATCAGGATGTTTCTTTATAGACAATTAACTGCCAAAATCATTGAACAAATTTTCCTTTACACCAATAAAATTAAAGATATATTGCTTTATTAGCTAGTAATTCAACTTTTGAATGGAGAAATAGAATGTCTTTGTTACAACAGGAGAATAGCCAAATTATGAGACATATTGTTTAACGAAAACATATAGATATGAGTCAAGCAGTCTTCATTACAGGATGGCGAGCAATCTTGTTGCATCAAACATGGTGCATTGATTAAATGAGACAATGCTCAAGTATAGATAACAGATATGATTATAAGGTACTTATGCCCTTAACACAAACATAAATCACAGGTATAATGAGTAAGGTAGCATACAGCCTTAACACAAACATAATCAGATAAAGTATGAGTAAGGTAGCATACAGCCTTAACACAAACATAATCAGATAAAGTATGAGTAAGGTAGCATACAGCCTTAACACAAACATAATCAGATAAAGTATGAGTAAGGTAGCATACAGCCTTAACACAAACATAATCAGATAAAGTATGAGTAAGGTAGCATACAGCCTTAACACAAACATAATCAGATAAAGTATGAGTAAGGTAGCATACAGCCTTAACACAAACATAATCAGATAAAGTATGAGTAAGGTAGCATACAGCCTTAACACAAACATAATCAGATAAAGTATGAGTAAGGTAGCATACAGCCTTAACACAAACATAATCAGATAAAGTATGAGTAAGGTAGCATACAGCCTTAACACAAACATAATCAGATAAAGTATGAGTAAGGTAGCATACAGCCTTAACACAAACATAATCAGATAAAGTATGAGTAAGGTAGCATACAGCCTTAACACAAACATAATCAGATAAAGTATGAGTAAGGTAGCAACACAAACATAATCAGCCTTAACACAAACATAATCAGATAAAGTATGAGTAAGGTAGCATACAGCCTTAACACAAACATAATCAGATAAAGTATGAGTAAGGTAGCATACAGCCTTAACACAAACATAATCAGATAAAGTATGAGTAAGGTAGCATACAGCCTTAACACAAACATAATCAGATAAAGTATGAGTAAGGTAGCATACAGCCTTAACACAAACATAATCAGATAAAGTATGAGTAAGGTAGCATACAGCCTTAACACAAACATAATCAGATAAAGTATGAGTAAGGTAGCATACAGCCTTAACACAAACATAATCAGATAAAGTATGAGTAAGGTAACATACAGCCTTAACACAAACATAATCAGATAAAGTATGAGTAAGGTAGCATACAGCCTTAACACAAACATAATCAGATAAAGTATGAGTAAGGTAGCATACAGCCTTAACAAAAACAATAAAATAAAATATTATGTATGAGGTAGCATATAACTTTAAATTACCCAAATACAAATTAAGGATAAAGATGTGGGAATTAGCTTACAACCTTAATTCTGACACAAGTTATGGGTATAATGTGTAGGTAAAAAAATAGCATTAACTCCAACCCAATCACAGGTATAACATGTCAGGTAGCATATATCCTTAACTCTAACAAAAAACACAAGCTTAATGAGTAAGGTAGCATATAGCTTTAACAAAAACACCAATCACATGTATAGCATATACATCACAACACAGATCAAGGGTATAACCTGTAGCAAACATCCTTAACTCCTAACATGGTTATAGTATGTTAAAAATAGCACATATTTATACCTAGATACCTTCTTAATGTATGTTAGTTTTATAACACATTCACATCACACGATACCCACCATTTTGAAGACAGACACAGCCCTATTGTTGAGGTCCTCCCCCTGAAGTTGTGTGAGCCCCGCCTTTATAGGCGTCATAAGCACACCCCAATCGGGATTCTGAAAATCACCAACATGCAAACATTCATTCATGCAGTATACTGATGCTTAGAAATTGATAACTGAAATGAAATAGGGAGCTCATTCAGCAATTTTCAGAAACTGAAAATCTAGTTTACTTAAAAAAAGAGAAAAAAAATCTAAATGTTTAATTTTAGTAGAGTTTGAAGGGGTTAGATTTCTGGACATGTGCTTTCCAGAATTTATCTAGATTGGCATTTTAAAATCCAATCTATAACCATCAGTGAGAGTTGTTTCCTGAATCACGTTGAAATGTTCCTAACATTGATAAGAGGTGAGACAAATGTCTTGCTAAAAATTCAATCACTTGGAAGTATTGAAATCTAGTGATCATGCAAAAATTGTTTACTCCAAAAATGCATGTATGTTGTCCGCGACACCAGTTTCATAAGAGTACATAAAATATTCATATATAAATATTTTTCTACTTTTCTAAACGAGCAAACATTCAGATAAATATCAGTTAATCACATGCATTACAAAGTAAACTGTGTAATTGTTTGACCCTAAACCAGAGATTCTACTTATTACATATATACTTACTGGATGGATAGGAGTCTGGAACCATCATTTTAATGATGAAAGACAAATCTGATATGAGCACAGCTTTTTCCATTCCCCATCCCCCCCAATAAATACCTGGTATTGATACGAATTTCATTTGAAAAGGAATTCCTGAATCTTTTATAAAGAGGGTCTAGTATACTTTCAGTATATCTGCTCTTAATTTTCAAACTCTCAAAGGCGATATCCATGGATTACTAGATATCTTATCAGAATCAGTGTATTTCCCAATCTTTTTCCAAATATGTGTATGACATATGAATATTTCATTAAGAGGTTTTTGGTTTAATTTCTGTACATCTGAGAAAGGAACAGTTCTTCATTTTCAAACTCTCAAATGTGATATCCATGGATTACTAGATACGGAAACTTAAATTGGACAGAATCAGTTCATTATAAATCACTATATGCTTGTATGAAGTAAATGTAATTAAGGACAACTTGCAGGACTGGAAAATTGTGTATAACATTAGCTAGTTAGAGTTGATGAAGATATCCACACTGATCTGATAACTATCAAGATTATTTTCTCATCATTTATAAGTTTTGTAACAATCTACAGCTCAGCTGGGAATAAAAATGACATCATACTTCAATGGAAATATTTGCCACTTGACCTAATTTTTTGTGAAACCCACCATAAACATCTTAGGGAGATGAAGACATTTTGTTGGATTCAGTTTTTAAGAAGTCAGTGCCATCAATTCAACTTACCCTGAAATAAACATTGGCAAATTTGCTGAATGCATGGGAATCAACGTCCGTTGGGAGCTGATACTTCTGATCCATATGTGTGACCGGTCCTGATACCTGGCCAATATGTCGCTCCGTGTGTACTGACTGCCAGTCTGAAAACATTGCAACATGTTACATCAGTGTAAATATGTTTCATATCTTTATTTTTCATCTCCTCACAATTTTTAATGTGATTTGTTACTGTTGTCTCTTGCTGTCTTTGATATCATTTCTATGCTTATTTCATAAACATTCTTCTTTCTTTGGAAAACTACGTGTAAATATTTGTAAATCATTAACATTTGAATTTTCACACCTTTATATACACGTGTGTGTGCGTGTGTGTGTGTGTGTGTGTGTGTGTGTGTGTGTGTGTGTGTGTGTGTGTGTGTGAGTGTGTGTGTGTATGTGTGTGTGTGTTGTATAAAATAAACGACTGTTTAGTTTCGCAGCTAATATGTAATTTTGTTCACTATAAGTCTTCTCTAAAGACGAAAGCTGTAACAGAAAGCATTATGTAATGGTTATTTGTTTACTGAAGAAGCATCCATATACAGATAACGAACAAATCTAAACAAATATTTTTACTCAATATGTGTTACAAGTACAAAGCATGTTCTTACAGACTGGACCTATTCAGCTTGTGAAATATATTGATAGTGCTAAGTGGCTTAAATAAATACCCTGTGCAAATATACAAATATGTGTACAATCAAAATATTGACTGAAACTAACTTTCTGTAGGATCTAACTAAATAGTGGACCCCCTTTTTTTTATTAGTTTGTTTGGGTTTTTTTCCAATAGACATAAAGAAAACGACATGTCGATAAAATCTTACATTAAAGTCAAAACAAACCTACAAAAGAATGCAGATAATTGAAAAAGTAGACACGAAAAGAAGACCATGTGTCAAGCAAGAGTAAGCATTTTCTTCCTCAGTGACATCTGCCATGTCAAACTAGGTAAAATGCTAACAGATATCACTTCCCTCATTGCAGAAACTATTCAAGCAAACTCACTTTAAGAGATTCGAAGTTTACTACATGACAACATGACCAAATATTTATTTTTTTGTTCTATAGATCGTGTTGGCAGAAGAACACTAACTAGACAACTGCACGGGTCTGATGGTAATCTAGATTTCTGGGATGTCCGCAGAGAATGGGTTGGGATGTAATGTATCTATTCACATCCACATGAGTCTGAGTTGAGCATTTAGAACAGAAAAATACTGAAATATCAGACAAACAATCAAACAAACTTTTGGTTTTCTGTTGTATTAAAGACTGAACTAAGAGCTTAACACCAAGTGTTCATTGATAAGTCATCTATTATCAGCAGTCAAGCAAAGTTATCAAATAGGACAAGTTAACTTACCGTCCAGTTTACTATAAACATAGGCAAGTTCTCCTGGGATCTCCAGGTTGGCAATGGCTGCCATTGCTTTTGTCTGTCTTTCCTTAAAAAAATAAATAGAAAAATAAGTTTTATGACTTTGGTAAAAACAAATTGATTAAAAAATATTATCTAACATCATATTTGAAATTTCTTAAAATTCAATCCAATGACTGAAGACAAATCAGCTATCTTGATGTATTCTTGGACTTTGCGGTAGTTGATTTGAGTGGATCCAACAATAGACTCAGTTTAAGCGTTTAATACTAGGGAAGGGAAGCACTTCATTTACACAGCACAACATCAAGAATGATTTCGTGATATCTACTATCGACTCAAGAATTTGATCTGCAATATTGGCCATCACCAGGATATGGAGAAAACTGGCCTAAAGTAAGACATTATTTGGCTTTGACTATTATTACCATCACAGAGCTGTTTCAAACATTATAAATAATATAACAGGTTACAATTTCTGGAGTCAATTGAGGATTCCTAGCTTTATGATGCGAAACAGACAACCTATGTCGGAAACAAGTTGTTACTTACTAAGACCAAAAATATCCTCTGTATATATTGCTGGTTAATTGTCAGAATACTAATAATGTAATCAGTGAATCTATAACAGTGAAAATTTGAGGCAAAGTTTTGAAATATGATACTTGAATGAAATAGCTTAGATGATGAATTAATTACAGTTGAACAAGAAGCAATGTGAACTAATTCTGACTTCAAAAATCATAAATAGGAGAAAAATAATGTCGTCCCTATCAGATAGAGAGAATAGCCCAGTCTGACAAGTTTACGTGTAAATAGTGGGAAATTAAATGATTGGTTACTCATAAACCATGACAATTAATGTCTTGCTTCAATGATCACTAAGGTCCAACTACATGATTTTTATATCCTGACCCGCCAAATGTCCGGCAAATGTCAACTGATCATAGACTGGTCAGTTGTGCTGACCACATATTCATGGTTATGATGGACACTACTTAGTCAGACAAGGAAATGAACATATGGCAGCAGTGTACAGTCACATATCTGAAACCTATGGTACAATTTGGTTACTTATCTGTGTTAGGTATTGATGCAGTAAAAAGTAAACAATACAAATATCACCAAAATTTACATAAACGGCAACATTTTCCTTTCAATCCTTTAAGTAGTTGTTTCAACTTATTTTAAACATTTTCCATCTTTTAGCCTCTTTTGTTTGTAAAAAATATATAAATGACATACCTGAAAATTGTTTGTATTCCTTTGTGTAATTCTGTTGTAATGTATATACTAGAGCGACCCCATCAATAAACATCAATTTTGACATCCATCTTATGATACTGTTACATGGTAGATAAAATTTCACCTGAATTATGACGATTATGACCTACAGCTGTTGTTGATAATTACACATGACTATTACTGGGTGTTAATACTAAAACACTAGGATGGATGAAACACCAGAACATGTGTTACCCTGAATGTAAAAACATTACGTTGTCATACATTTTATTGAAATTCAGATCAATAGGTAACGTGCCGTTCTTAATTCAAGTCATCAATCTTTCTTTAAATTTACTTTACTGGCTAAAAATGATCTAAAATTACCACTATAAATACACCATTTAACTAATAGGGCAATTACCTATCAAATTAAAACTTCTATGATCCAATGCCTATCAGGTCCCGTCCTCATTATAACTTTATAATTTTCAAATAATAAGGATTTTTTTCGTAGTTTATTTAACAAATTAAGAAGGAAATTGAAAGTTTTAAATTCTAATTTGCTTTTTAATTCTGCCTTGTCTGTAATCCATCACCAGAAAGATGAGACAAAGTTATTTTTTCCTTGTCGCTACGTAAATAACAAGCTGCCAAGTATATTGACATTACATTAGCTCGAAAATGAATTTCCTTGTTTGGAAAATGAAATCTTGCACTCTGTGTTTCTTGAAAAACCTACAGACAGAGAGGAGAGAACAATGAATCCTCTTTCCCTTGAGTAATCTTTCAAAAATCTTTTATAAAGATATCAGTAAAATGGAAGGACATGTATATGAATTATAAATAATTTTGTACATGACAAAAGAAACAAAACAAATTAACCGATATACATATGTTGACTAGTCTGTTAAGTATCGTAACATCCTGTCCTGAATTTAGTATTCGGTCATTGCCTAGAGATAGCTTTATATTATATGTCATAAAGATCAATATCACTTTGCTATAGGCCCAAATACCAGCAATACTGAATAGCATTCTTTGTCAGTCTGTTGTTTTTATTTAGGATAGTTTCAAAATAGTGAAATCTTGAATTTCTTGTATCTTTATTTTAAAAGATATAATGCACAGCTTTTTCCAGATGTTTTTCTTTCTTTAATAGCCTCTGCAATCTCAATCTTACCGGTCCATCAAATTACTGATTATAAACTCTTTCTTTTTACAATTTTGAAATCCATATAGAAAACAAACATATAATATTTTGTTATATAAAAGTACAAAATAACCTTAAAGGCTGAGATAAACTTTTCCTTGAATTTATGTAAAGCTTTATGCGAAGTCATGTACGTCTCCCTAACACTGCCAAAGTTTAAACATCAAAATGCCAATAACAAAACTGAATCAGGGTAATGAATATTTATGAGGCATATGAATTTAATCAGATTAATGAATATTCATGATGTTTATGACTTAAGGATCTGTCTGTATAGAGAAAACAACTGAACAGATAAATGTGGACAGATAGGTTCTAGATAAGTAGTTTTTTCATGCAGTGGTATATATACTTATAACTATTTTTGCAATTCTTGAAGCAAACCTGTTTAAAACTTATAACTGTGTATAATCGAAAACCTTCGTAGTGAAAGCATTGTATTGTAATCTAGGACCTTGAATTCTAGATTCACAATCTCTGAAATTGATGTCTGCAATGTATAATGGACAAAGACTGCTGTTGTTTCTATCATCAGCCAACTTTATTTTGACCTTCATAAATGTCCTTGACATTTAACCACTAGATTAATTCAGTCATATGCTTGAGCTGTCCAAATACAGGTGTAACATATGTACCCTTTGGGGAGAATTTACACTGCTACAGGTAACAACTGTATTAACATGTACCTTACACAAATGTTGAAAGTTGGTAAACAAAAAACAATTTCCACAATCTATACACTTGACCTAATTATTTTATGATAGGAACTACAGACAGAGTAATTGTCCTTGATTATCCATCATATGTCATAGAGTGTGATCTGATAAGGTCACCTGCCCAAGGTATTGACCGCTCAACTAATCACTTGACCATCGGCCATTGATTAATTGCCAACTGGCCTGAGAGACAAGCATAATACACAACGGTCAAATGTTCATCATAGGAAAATCAAATGATCTAACAGATAGTATCTAGAGGATCAATCTAAAGCAAAAATCTTTACCATAATTTCTACAGATCATAAATTGGCTTTTATGAAAAGTGATTGTCACAACAATCAAGTAACCCCTCCCTCCCCCACCTAAAAAAAAAAAAAAAAATCTGCCTTTTAAAAGTTGACCAGTGCAACAAATGCATTTATGTATTATAAATCATTGACCATCAGGACTGCATGACCACTACATGAGTTCTACCACTTCAGTTGTGTCACCTTGACACCAGTGGACGATGCCTGTTATGCTCATAAAGAGTGTGTTGGCTATAACAAGGGAAGCCCCAGCCTTTGTCATTTATTATGTGACAGGAGCTACTGACCGCTCCATTAGATTGCTGAGGTCAAAATATACTGCCACTCCCCTTCATCTGTCATCCTTCCTTTATCATAATATACTACCACAATTAGAAAACTTAGTATCAACACTTAGATTTCAGACATTTTACCAATACCATAGAGCATTAAATCTAAGAAGTGTTATAAAACATGATTCTCAAGAAAGTTTTAAATTTTAGGAAAAATTCTTAATAAATTAATAATTTCAAAATTGGCTTCAAAAAGAAATGTGCAGGTTTCTCAATATGTATTGTTCAGATAAGGTACAGATGTTACAAGACAAAAGAGTTTCTGATAAGAAAGGGAGTGAAGGGGAAAGAGCATGTAAGATTTACAAATTTCATGACATTGTCAGCTCTTGATGTCATTTTGGAGGGCAAAGTTGGGTGTTTTTGTTGAATGTTACAAATGTTTGTCAAGTTCAGAATTCCAAACTTCACAACTCACATACTAGTTTCTGTTTGTGTGCTAAATGAATTTGCATTAAGTCTTAATCATAAAAATGTTAAACATGAAGCACAAAAGACAAATATTGTCTGTCATAGGAATGACGAGCCCATATATCATCTTCACAGTTTTCAAATGAAAGCATTCTTTGATTAACTACTGATGACATCTTAATGTCTAATCAGTTCTTTTTTCAACTGAATTCGCTTTTGGTATATGATGTTCATATATCAAACATTTTCATCTGAATTCGTATTCATTACAAGTCTGCATTGTCACTTCAAGGTATTTCTTACACCAAATTAAATCTACTGTGATGATTCAGATCATTGCAGCATCATGTCATAATTATTGTATGTCAAATTAAATTGGATCTGATATCGACAATTTCAGCGGATTCTCTGTAAATAATATTTACAATTTCTAATCTGATTCTGAGAAACCAGATTCCTTCTGATTCACAACATCACTCTAATTAAATATATAAATAGACAAGATCAAAAAAGGTAGACCAACTGAAATTTTAGCTTAAGACCAAGACAGAAATTATCCATATAAATCATTGCATAGTCCATTACGTAGCTTAGTAATTTTGTCCGCCAATAAGTCCATGCTCGGTAATAAGCCTAAAAATAGCTATTCAGCAAAATTTAGTTAACCAATGTTATTTCGTTGTCCTGTAAAAAGTCAACCCAAAAAATTTCTGTAAGAGCTAATGTGTTGTCCATTGGGCTTATTGCTTATTCAGGGTGTGTTTTTTATAAGTAAAGAAAATGTTTTATAAGGACAAATTGTTCTGAATTTTTCTTTTCCAAACTCTACCAAGTTTTATCACCTATTATACTTCCCTGGTTTTTTATGTTTGAATAAGATATCTAAATGAGACAAATTTGTTTTGAGTGGACAATGATATATCTTCAATCTGGAGACAACCTCACCGACTCGCCCAATTTGATGGCTGTCCCCAAGGTATAAACATTTATCTGTAACGTCCACCTGCTGAAATGGTCGTCAACACTCACAACATATCTATGTTGATTCACTCCTTGTATATATATTATTCCAAACTTATATACACCTCAAATTGCACTTTCCTTTGTTTTGATGGCCTGAAGTTGACAATAGAAAAATCTGAATTCATCAGAGTCTGAATAATTAAATCTGATTCGTATTACCTCGAGCATTTGAATGTTAAAATTTTTTCCCAACAAAAGTTATTTTCAGGCCATTTTCACCAGGAGAAATTATAAGAGCTCTTGACACCTCATGTATCAATAAATGTAAAAACAAATGTTATATTTTACAGCAGGAATGCGACTAAATTTCATGTCTTGTCATCCCAATAATTTGCCATAGGAACAAGTCTCGTAAAAAACACAAAATAATTCAGAAAAACCAAAGTCTGGCAATATAGGCCAAAAACCTATTTCATTTACTTGAGTACAATAGTTTGCCATAGGAGCAAGTCTCATAAAAAAACACAATATAATTCAGAAAAACCAAAGTCTGGCAATATAGGCCAAAAACCTATTTCATTTACTTGAGTACAATAGTTTGCCATAGGAGCAAGTCTCATAAAAAAACACAAAATAATTCAGAAAAACCAAAGTCTGGCAATATAGGCCAAAAACCTATTTTATTTACCCGAGTACATTATTAACTGGAATTTCTCCAAATTCACCATAATTCCAAAGTTTTTAATCAAAGAATTTGGTCTTTTATATTCCCAAATTGGTATGTTTATGTATTTAAGATGAACACCTGATGCTCTATTTTAAAAACTAACCTAAACATAACTTCTGACCACTTCCAAGGCAAACAACAAGACCAAAACCAATGCCAGTGTTTACCTGGAACCATTGTAGAATCAACATTAAGAAATGAGCAGTGCTGAAATCATGTTTTGCATTTGTTAATTCATCCCACTGAGAGAAAAAACTGTTTTTTTCTGTGTATACTAGTACAACCTACTAAAGAAGAAGTTACATTGGAATACTTGGCTAAGTATCATTTTCATAAAAGGTGAAAACCTCAAGAAGAATTTCATTAAAACCAAATCTTGAATGATCAAAACAAGTCTCAGATTTGAAATGTCTCCAAAATTTAAGAGAGAGGAATGAAAAGAACGATATGATTGAATTCACTTACTTTTTCTTCTTGTTCCATTTTTACTTGTTCCTCCCGTTTCTGGCGTGCGATACGTTCCTGTTCAACCTTGCGTTTTAATTCCTCTCGAGCCTGAGAAAAGTAAAATTTAACTTCATCACACACAGAATCGTATGCAGGAGACGAAGGCGTAGAATCCAACACAGAGCACGGCATTATGACATCAAATTTAAGACTTCACTGTGATATTATTTCCTATTCGTAAGTAAAGACAGATTTTCTTCCCTCCACAGCGACTAACAAAGCCCCTTGTCCAGCACATCTCACTAAACAAAACTATCAGGGAAAGATAAAGATTTAATGTAGAAGCATTTGTCTGTGATGTCCTTGGATCATAATCCTGGAATAATCACTCATGCTGAATGGAAACTGTCCAAAACCCTACCATCAAACCAACCGACAGAACACAAAAACTCCTCTGGCTATGACAGACCCAAAACACTGACCCAAAACACAAGATAAAACTAATCAATCATGACGGTGATTGACCATGTACAACACATCTAATCTGTAAGGGTTTATGCTAATTAGTTAACTGTAAAACTACATCTTTTACAACGATGTTACATAGATGTATAAACATCGCGTATCTTATACAAAAAAAAAACTTTACCTCTTTTTAAATGCCGAAATAAAAAGTTTGAGAAGTAAATCCAGGAGGAAGATTTAAAAATGTTGCATTCTGTCGCAAGATCTAGCTGTCCACAGAACAAGACTACAAAATGTGTATACACACTTCAGCAAAGCTGAGGAAGGTGTGGGGGAAATTTGGGTGGATTCAAGATGCGCGAGTTTGATTGAGGCCATGTTTATACCAACTGACTAATACTGCGCCAGCCCTTGTCAACCAGCTATCGCCCCAGGGTCATCAAGGGTGGAACAAATAGTCACATCACACAATAAATACACATATACCACAACTTCATATGCTAAAGTCGAGCTCTTCAACCTCCTGCAGCTAAATCTACAGGTTATGACCTTGTGAGGTATTAATGTACCTAAGGAGCTATTATCATTGACATAAGGGACCTTACGTAAAGATATTTTCTGCGCTGCCTCCGCATGCGGATCTGTGCTTGAGCTTTGATGATTCCATTCCGAACCTTCAGATACTTTTTTCTGCAAAAGAGAGAAATAGAACTCAATGACAATATTTATTTAATATTTCATAAAAATTATAAACTCACTGAAAAAATTAACAGTATTTCATCCATGTTATTTTTGCGAAGTTTTTCAAAGCTTGTTAGGTATAGAAATATATCTTTTAAATATATCTATTTCTTTAAATTATTCTATTAAAAAGTTAAAACAAATAGCTAGTACTTTACAATTTTTTTTATATAAGTATTTGAATTTGAATTTTATATTCATGATTTTTATTCTAATAAAAGAAATGAAGTTATCATGGTTTTGAGATGGTCAGACTTTAAGCTGCTGTTCTCTAGCACACAGCCTCCAGTTATCCTACTATGGTATATAAGTGAGGAGAGTATGAAGCTATTCATCATGTCCAAATGAAAAACCTCCAAGCTACACATGAAAGATAAGCATTATGTCAAATCTCTACGTTCCAGAGAGTATCCAATTAATTATGTCTTAACTGACCATTGCTCTCTGTAGTCAAATCCCATGAAGAAAAGACAGTTAAAAATAATGCTGATATGTAAAAAAAAAAAATAGTGTGGAGTTATTTGACTTCCAAATAATTTTTTTATTTCTTTTTTTAACTAAATAAACCTAGATAAATAAACTTTCCTCATTAATCCTTAATTTCTGTACAAGTGTGTTTGATTATCAGTTACCATGGAGAACATTCATTTCCCAGAAGCACTTAATGTCGTACAACCACCTGGACAGTTTGTATACTAAAGTGTCTTGTGATATACGTAAACACATTTACAAAATAAATATTTGGATATTCGCTGTCATGTTTTGTCTCATTATATTATTCAAAGCCGGCATAATTAAAACTTTTCATTTTTTGTTTATTATGGAATATATTTCCCTCTGACAACTTCATCAACAAGGAAAATTCACCAAACATAAACATGAAGGAATGATTTTCCTCGTACCTGTACATAACAATACATATGTTCTATCATGCTGTTGAAATACACAATTTAACATGTAAAACACTTAAAAATATCAAAAGAAAAACAAAAAAAACAAGAAATATTCATACCTACAAACATTGAAGTCCATAAAACATTTTCCCTGCCATATGTGACACAACACTTCTCCAATTTAACTTAGTTTTGTTCTTGTCTAACTTCCCGTATCAATTTGATGAATCCTTTTTCAATGTACAAATACACAACCTTTACATTTTTTTTTATAAGTGTGCATGTCCAGATCAAAGAGTGGTAGAGTCCATATTTAGATTCTGGGTTAGTTAGGATACACATTTGTCATTGTCTTATTGATGCTCTAACTGCTTCTCAAACACAGGTACATATCAAACATTTAACTGATTCATACTGTGGTCACAGCTGATCAATTGGCCTGGAGACAAAAGGATGATCATTAAGAAAACATTATTTTTGGTTGTATACAAACTTATTTGCTTTTTCTTAAATTTTCCTAATAATTTTTTTCCTTCCTCTTTATTACAGAGATTGAAATGTAAATAATATTATGTCTTATATAAAAATTTGAATTTAACTTTTAATTAAATTTTTCTTTTATTATTAAAGTCTTTTTTTGATGATTTTGTTTTAATATTTGCTTCTGAAGTGTCATTTTTGTTAATCTTTATACTCCAAATATTTAATTCTACAATAGGCTTCTGATGAATACACAAACATATCCAGGTAATCCTCAACACCTCCCAGGTGAACGAGACACAGGTAGGTATTACTTCATACATCACCTGTACGGTGCCCGTTTTAAAAGCTCTCTGATTTACCTGTGCCACATTATTTACTTAAAAAGATGAATTCTGAGTGCAGCATTTCAGATGACACCAAGATTAATCATGATTGGCAAGCATTCAAATATGTCACATCTTGACCTTACCTGGGTTTCCCCTCTGGTGTGGAAAGAAATTTAGTAAATTCCAACACAATACAAGTAAATGTTATACCTGACATCAAGTTTCAGATAACAACAAATACTGGAGTGCAAGCTAGAGTGTCATTAACTGTCAAGTTAACCATCAGTTAAAAAAAAACAAAAAAAACACCAATGCTGAGACATGATACCATTAAAATTCACAATAAAATGCCTTAAATCACATTCAACATCTTAATTATAATCATAGAAAACTTATTTATGATCAAATACCAATATCCACTGTGAATTACCTTAATCCTTAAAACCAGCAAATATGATGACAGTTCTCGACGAATGAAGACATTGTGTTTGCAGATTTGCAAATAAGTATTTGACCAAATCGAACAAATTGTCGTCTTTCAAATTATCACATTAAATTCCCACTTAATTGACCTGGACTGATGAAAACCTAGTATAAATAATTTACACAGCTGCGTGTATTCGCCGAGAAGTCGAGCACAACATGCCAATTAATACTAAAACCACCATTGACAAACAGAAATACAAATGTTAATCCAGGTATTACGAAACCGATGTGAAAATCCAGACAATCACAGAAGAACAATGTTTAACTTGGATGGCAAATATGTTCCGTAATTCATAATGCTGACTAACACACACATGGATATCCAAATCTAGTTTTGTATGAGATCAATATCAGAGACATTTTGGAAAATTTATAAAACTAAGATATTTCTAGATAGTGTTTAAATCAATTTCATAATTCTCAATTGTAAATATGAATAAATATTACAGTTAAATGGTGAGACTGGAAATTAATTGAATCTAAATATTAGTTAAAACGTCACTCAACAGGAACCTCTGTATTAAGATTGTCACTATTTATTTTGGTAATAAATGGAAGTAATCATTTGTACCAACTGAAATGTAGAGCTTAGTCAGCTGGTCTAAATAACATATGATACACGTTCTTTACAGAAATCATTACTACACATCAATTCTGCTTTAGAGCCTGTTTTTGATAGGGACAGCCACTAAACACAGGTTTTCTGTTTACAAACATCACCTCTGTATAGTGACCAATATCATACAATGTCAATTACTGTAAATTAAGATGTTACTATAGAAAATAAATGCTCTATAGGCAGGTTGTCACTTTACAGAGATGGTCATTGTAGGAAGGTTGTCTCTTTTGGAACTGATTTCGCACATCATCACCTCAGTGACAAACGACCTGTCCTACATGAACACAGGTTTCCTTCAATAAAACAAAGGATGGTCAGCCATGATTGGTTATATTTAACACACAGCTTCATATCTGCAGCAAATAATTTCTGCTGGGACATCTGAAGTTTAGATCAGACTGGTGGGTGTTTTGATAAACAGGTTTTTGCTGAAACCTCAAGCTGACCCCAGGCTAACATCATGTAGTGTGTCTACACAGCCTACTTGCACACAAGCCCTGTGATGTCCATAGACATCAAACACCACGATGCCCTGGATCCCATGTACCTGAGTCCTTCATATGTTTGTGAGGAAAACAAAACTGACCTTACATCTAAAAGTTTAAATAAAGTGATAGCCATTCCATATAAAGCCTGCCTCTGTGCCCTGTTGGGGTTCACTCATCGTACAGCCAAATCTAAGTTTGGCATATTTGTGACCTTGTCTAAAAAAATGTTCAGAACTATGATAATATAAATTCGGTTTAGGATCAAAAATTAAAATAACAAACCTCCATAGGATTCCATATTTCTATCGTTAAACATTTTTCATCACACTAAAAAGAAATCTGTCCTATTGTAAAGCCATTTACAGTAGCACCTGCTCTCAGAACAAAACTTCATATTCCCATCATGCAATGTTGAATTCATTCAGAGTCAAGTGCATTCTGTAGAAACCTATTAAAGATTTATTTTTAAAAGTTTCAAGAAAAATTAGCTGATTTTTCTAAAACCTACTGATTCCTAACATTCCAGTTCAATGGAATCACAATGTACCATATGTTCTTTATATACTCAGGCTTTTCATACATATATATTGAGCATCAAAGAATTTGTGGAAACGTTATTGGCAGAAGGGGAGGGGTAGACTGACTTTTTTCTCATGTCAAGATCTATATGAAGAAGTACATTTCTAATAAAAGCGAACTTTTTATTGTAAAATATCTGTTGGGATTACCTTGTAGAACTTCTTAAAATTCTATTGGTGTGAATTGAATATAGAATCTAGTATTGCAGACAGATCAACACAATGAAGCCTAGTTTTTACTTTTTTCCGATTTAATATAAATTTCAAACATTGTGAATGAAATATAGTTGAAAAGTTAAATACACAAAGACCTGGCATGATAACGTTTCTATACCACAAAAGTGACCAGAATAAAGACTCCATCTACAGAGCTCTGTGTGAAAATTGTCAACCTGGGCCATCTTCAAGATTGTGATGGGAAAATTTCTCAATTATTTTTGATACATGTGTTCCTAAAAATTGATCTCTTCAACCAATGTGTTCAGTCAATAATTTAATCAACTATGATATAAAAATTATTTTTGGTACATCTGTACATACAAAATTTGACCTTTTCGATCAACATATTCAGTAGATAATTTAACCAACTACTTTCCTAAAGTGACTTTCTGTGATGTAATCAGGGCTCCACTAAGATTTAATGGTCCTTCTTCAAACAATCATTTCCATAAATATTTTTTGTCCTAATACATCTAATAAATTAATGAGTCACAGTCCAATATCACAACATATTTTACAAATTAATTATGTATTAAGATATTCCTTGTACATACGAATAATTTATGCATAAACTGAAGAATGTATTGATTCTAATTAATTCTTATAACTAAGCTGGTAACATAACCCTTACATTTGTAAACCTATTGTAATTCATAACCTATGTTCTGTCAGAATAACTACACCATCACAGATTAAAACTGTATCAAAATTAATTTATTTTTATCCTGAGTTAAACCATAATTTATCAGTCCAGAAAATAATGAAACTTCTTCTAAATATTTTCATGAAAACGAATGGTTATCAGGCTAAAAAGTATTCCTAAAGATGCAAGCAACTACTAAACTGTTATGAAACCATGTCCCGTTGTTTTGTAAAATATCATTGTGACGTAAGAATTTAGACATGATCCAACACAAGACATTATTGATTTGATGTAGGTCAACATCAATGACTGTCAGAAAATAGGTGTTTATCAAATATGTAGTTAGATAATCTAGGTATGTTATTGAAGATTATGAGAATTTCTATAATAAACAAGGCAAAAATGAACACTCCTTTAGTAACTGGAATATCAATATGGAGTTTATATGTGTTAACATGGACAATCATTAACTAGGTGATGAAACTCTGTCCCATTACATGTGTAATACATTAGGGTATCTGATGCCTCACATTTTCACATCCACAGGTTTAAAACATTACGGTATGGGAAGCCTAACCTATGCCCATTGGGCATTACATGATGTGTTTTTCAACTGTAATATCTATGCATAAGAAGACAACAGTCTGTGAAAAAACTGACGACTGAAGGCTGTACGTTACACCCAAATCTGTGACATTCATGTCATATTCGTGGCCAAGACCCTTGTGGCTAACAAAGCTGAATATATTATTGCATAATTGCATATCTTATGGCAACTTTTTTGAGAAAGATTTTACATAATTCATAGATAAAACAACACAAGGAATTTTTTTGGAGTCTTTTTCTTTAAAAAAGGAAGAAAAACATGTTTAAAACAAATATTTCAGGTATCAGAATGTGAGATAATGTACCTACCAGCTCAGGTGATGAAAATCCCAGGACATTAGCTGATCACAAACTCACAAGCATACAGGTAAACTTTACAGAGCACAGAATATCAATCAAATGGCCATATGAGAGAGTGAAGTTCAATATGAAGCCTTCACATCTTCCAACAAATACCACCAGGTAGGATGTTGTACGTCATAATACAGACCCACAGACCACAGTAACACTGGGTGGGAGAGTTACATCAGTAAGACAAGCTTTCTACTATTAGTATCACAGCATAGGAGGTTGTAAGTATTCTCCATTGGTGGTATCACAGTATGGGAGGGTTTCATTGTCATTATTACACAGACTCTCTACTATTGGTATCACAATGTGGGAGACTGTACATCATTAAAATACAGATACTCTACCATCACAGGATGGGAGGGTTTCATCGTCATTATTACACAGACTCTCTACTATTGGTATCACAATGTGGGAGACTGTACATCATTAAAATACAGATACTCTACCATCACAGTATGGGAGGGTTTTATCGTCATTATTACACAGACTCTCTACCACTATATCACAGGCTGGGCGACTGTACATTATCATTACACAAATTCTCTACCATTGGTATTACAAAGTGGGAGAGTTACGTCATTAACAAAGACTCTTTACCAATGTACCACAGGTTGGGAGACTGTCCACCATCAAGACACAGATTCTCTACAACTGGTATCACAGAGTAGGAGAGTTAAATCATTAACAAAGACTCTTTACCAATGTACCACAGGGTGGGAGATTGTCCACCATCAAGACACAGATTCTCTACCATTGGTATCACAGAGTAGGAGAGTTAAATCATTAACAAAGACTCTTTACCAATGTACCACAGGGTGGGATTGTCCACCATCAAGACACAGATTCTCTACCATTGGTATCACAGAGTAGGAGAGTTAAATCATTAACAAAGACTCTTTACCAATGTACCACAGGGTGGGAGATTGTCCACCATCAAGACACAGATTCTCTACCATTGGTATCACAGAGTGGGAGACTGTACATTATCATCACAAGGACACTCTACTACTAATATCACAATATGGGAGACCATACAAGGACATCAGAAGAGAAAAGAAATCTAAATTAATTCTCACCTTTCGAACCATGTCTTTATCACTGCCTGAATCTTGCATGTGGCTGAACTTAATTGTCGGAATTTTCTTCGGGCCAGGAACATGCGTGTGAGTTTTTGGATGGTGACCACAGAATTGTACTGAATGTTTTTAGCATGTACATCTAACTGCTGCTCAAATGCCTCCTTCATGAAGACCTGTGAGGAATTTAACAATGAAAATCAAATTAACAAACAAAAATCAAACAAACCAAAATCATTCAAATACCAATTAATTTAATGTATAGAGAATCTTCTTTAGATACATGTTAACAGACATCATTTCCAATTATTTTTAAAAAGAAAAATGAAATCGTGGACAAGTTTGAAATAAGAAACTCTTTCAAAAAGTGTCAACAAGTGCACCCTATTTAATTCTTCATTAGCTTTTACTCCCACAGCTGAAGGCATGATCAATAATTACCAAGGATAAGAAATATCAAATCTTAATTCTTAAATTTTATGGCAATGTACATTTTGGAATGATTTTTAAAAATTTATTGCAAAAAGACATTTTTTCTTTTTAAAGAAAGGAGTCTTTAATGCATCCCATATATCTCATAGCATGACCTTTGACCTTAAGTTCTTTTTTTTCTTGATGACATCATACCAAAAGCATGTCAACCTAACATTATAACAAAAAATTGCCTCCATGACCTAACAATCTCTTTAAACTTGATACATCTATGGCATGCAATGAAAGTGTAATTTACAAATAAAATATTACATGTACAATGTATTTATATAAAAAAACTTGCTTGCTGTGAAGGTCATTATACAAATAAACAACATATGTACTTAATGGCTTTCAAAATGACAAATTGTCCTGAACTGTCTGACAAGGTTTCTGAAATGTATTATTAATTCAAAGTCTCCTTCAACATGTTGGAAAATTGGGACACATAAATCTGAGTTTTATTACAGGTATCTTGTACTGGTGACAGCATTTATAGGGGTCAACACATAACGAAATCCTACAATTATGAGATTCTGAGCTTGAGAGATAACATCTTTGTTAAATTAATCTGGTTTGTGTGTCTATTCAAATATTTTTTAATAATAAATAAACACAATAATATTAAGATTCGGTAGAAAGTTACATTATTGAAAAGCCTTATATTTTGGTTGCTTGACAACATAAAATGACACTAATATATATTGTAGAAATGTTTAGGAGTTCATAGTAACTGAAATAACTCAATGTTTAAACAGAGGTTTGAACAAAAACAAGCATATTTATAATACTGCTACCTACTGAGCATGCTTTACACTAGTTTCAGTGCTGAAGCAAACTCCATCAAATTAGTCCAAATTAAGGAATGGCATATTCTTTTAATTTCAATCACCTGCAGTTTCTATAACACTTAACTTAATACTTGATAGTAAAAGATCGCACTTTATTGATAATCAAAGGGAAATAACTCCAATCATTTGTGGAGGTGGTATGAAATATCACCTATCATACAAACAATGGTAAATATTTCTGTTCAATGACTGGACTTAAGAAGAGCTAAACATTTTACGCATGTATACTTAATCATCATTATCTTTGGGTTTTTCCAGTTTCTGTCTATTTAATTATTACTGTGGTGTGAAATTTCAACACCAAAATGCAAATTTATCATAAGAGTGTCAAGTCGATTACAAACCCTTGATAATGAGGTAATTTGTATGCACTACAGATAACCATGTCACATAATTAAGCAGATTTATGAATTCCTTAACAAACTGTAACAGACCAAAAACATAGAAAGACAATCATCCCACAAACTAAAAGAAATTGCTACAAAACAGGTGTACATGATACATTCAAGAAATTGAAGTGATCCATTATTTATTTTTTTAATAATTTTAGTAAAGGAACACACAACCTGATATTTTACACATTTCTATCATAAAGTTGTCTCCCTTTAAACACTTTCAGTTATAATTCATACTTCAAGACTCAACAAGCTTTATCAGAAAATCTTTCTCAGTAAGTTTAAAAAGGTTCAAAGGAAAAATGTAAATATAAACAGGTCTGAAATTAATATTTCGGAAAAACAATCCTCTTCTTGAAAATCGCATTTTGAAAATTTATGAATTTCATAAAAGAACTATTTTACAGGTATGTTTTTGTTTATGAAAGATAAGCAGCATAGAGTGAAACCTCACTTAACAACCACCTCAAAATTATGACCACCGCGCTATTAGGGGCACTTTTTTTCAGTCTCTTTTTTTTCCACAATATATCATTGTATTGGTCGCTTCAGTGTTACTATCTCCCCGCTATTCTGTATTACGACCACTTCTTACAATCCCAATTACCACTAATTAACACTAATTGACCTCACAATTACAACCAAGCACTGACTAGTATTTAAAGTTTACCTAATGGGCAGTGAACTGCGAGCATGTGGTATTTCGTCACGGGTTACCCATCCCTGTGGAGTTATACATAGTAAACATCATTATTGGATTAACTTGGCCTACCCGTGTGAAACTGCATGCCAGACACATTTTAATAGTTTGTCAATTATATATCGATAGGTCGCTAGGTATGCTGTTAAATACCTTAGAAGCCCTGCATACCCATAGTTGAATTAAGTCATCTTTTTGACCGACTGTCCTTTGCTCGCACACCCACACTTTGTTGAGGGTTATTTTACTGTTTTTGTAGCGATAATACACTCTTGACATCGTTTGAACAATAAAACAAACATGTATCTAAACTTTTTACAACATATTTTTTGCTGTCACAGAATTTAGCTGAACTTTATCACACAATGACAATACCAAGTAAACAAAACGAGCCATCGCTAAAAAGGACTATGGAAGAGGAGGCTGTCCAGATCCGTAGCTCTTCGCAAGTGTACACTGGACTCTTTTTCTTCAGTAAAAAGGCAAATGTGTTGTACTGAGTGATACACTGATAGAGTTAATGTGTTTGCTAATTAATGTGAATAATGAAGCATTGAAAGACTTTATAATGACTTTATTAATATTGTTACAAATGTTTTTTACTGTGTAATCCATTGACTGACTTATTGTTTGTAAATCTATGAGAAAAAATTTAAAAATTGATGTTAAATTCCTATTGGACTTAAAAATTCATTGCTTGTTTCCTTTTATTCAATGTTTACAAAGATAAATATACATGTATATTATGATATAAACTAACAAAAATATATCTACATATATATATACTTTAGTCAGTTCAAAAAGTTTATCTGTTTTACATACTTTTCATAAAATTCAACATTTTTTATATAATGCAGTTGTTATTGTTGAATAATATACATAGACATTATATATATAGTCTTTATTTTAAACAGAGTTACGGTTCTAGGTGGTCAATCTGATCTACCTCACTATTAAGATCACCTCGCCACTAAGACCACTTCTGCCCAGTCCCCAAAGTAGTCTTAATGGCCAGGATTAACTATACATAAATCCTAAAAGGAATGTTGATTTTACATAATGTATTTTGAATTTATTACAGAATTTTGCTTGCGATACAGATAATTCACACAGCAAATTTTGTATTTCTTTAAAAAAAACACAACCTTTAGTCAGACATTATAAATCTGGAAACTGATTTCCTAAGATAAAATATTTTTAAACTCTAAGATGAGTCTGACATTAGAAATTCCTCAGTTTGTTTTTGTTTCACTTCACAATGAGTTTTGAGATGTCCAGGATAACTTGAATGTTGAGGTGCCTTTAGGTTATACTCCTTACCTTTGTGGCCCCGATTCTGTACATATGAGACATGGAAGGCCCTTGTGTCAGCAGAATCTTATTACACACCTCTGTTGGTAATGCCTTGTCATTGATTTTTCCCATTAAGAGGAAACGGTACCTGAAAATTAAAGGAGAACATATAGAAGAAAATTATAAAGCAAGAGTGTTTAAGAACTAAAAAATATGGCAACTGGTAACATTCAATTATCAATACAACTTAATTTTCGTTCTAAAAAAATAAAAAAAAAATGAAATCAGCAGGGCTTAAGTATAGGCCTTCATGCTTAATCAATTAAGATATTTATGCTAACTATTAAGGTCCAAATGCTAAATCAGTTAAGATATTATTTAAGATAAGATTTAAATGCTTAATCAATTACTTTCTCTATCATGTCAGACATCAAATATACTAAGAAAGTCAGAAGCTTCAAGGGATATAACTCTTGCAGAGACAGATCAAGACTCACCTTTCAATGAAGACTGGGAATTTGACTCGGATAGGGAAGCCCATTTTACGTATTCGGATGGTTTCTAACATCCCTGTATATCTCAGTTGGTCTAGTACTACTGTTTTCTCAAACTGCATTGGTGCCTTGTGATTGTTTGGTTTTATACATCGCACAAAATATGGGTTACATCTGTCAACAGAGAGAAACAAGATTTTTCTACGCTGTACAAATTTATCCAAAGTTATACCATATCAACAGTAGGTATGTCAACAAGTGCTTTTTCATTGTCCTGAAATAAGCCCACCACATGTCAAATCAGAAAATACTTGTTGGCCCCTGAGCTTATCAAAAATTGAATTTACAACTAAATTTGATTATTATGAAATATGTAAATATCTGTTTTATAATCAGTCAAGGATTCTAACTCCTAATTTGATTTTTGCAAATTTTTACAAACATTAGATTAAAAAAAATAACAAGATAACCCAAAGCGTGACATTATCTTCTGTGTCCCATTGTTTAAAAAGTATTAAAACAATATCTATTTGTTAGTTATAATTATTCTATACAAAGTATTGAAATGGAGAACTTCTACTTGATTACTAGCTTGATGCTTGTACAAAGTTTTGAGTACTGGGTAATTATCTTGAATTATCTTGAACTGTTTAAGAGAATTGGTCTGAAAAAACCGAACTTTGTGATTTGGCAATCTGTTTCCATGGTAACATAAACAGTATTTAAATTGAGAACTTTTATTATTTTGAAGTTTCAGAGCACTTGTCCATAAAAAATGAAATTTGTGATGAGGGATATCTGTTTCCATGGTAACAGAAACAAAAACTGAACCCAAATCTAATTTATACAGAAAGTTTTGTGGTGTTGAGTGGAAAAGTGTCGAAGTTGTAGCCCAGAAAGGAAAGTTAACACTACTTTTGTGTATTTTGACCATATGTTCATGGCAACACAAAAAAATATATCAAAACTGAAATGTCAATAGCAAAAACACAACTAGGGCACAAACTTAATATATACAGCAAGTTTTGTAAAGTTGAGTTGAATGGTTTTTAACTTACTGGGAAAAACCCTCAGACGGACGGATGCATGCATGCACAAATGGATGGAGCCCAAATTAATATCCCCATTTCACCAGGGATAAACAGCAAGCATTAAGCTTTACATATTTCTCAACCTGGTTTAATTAACACATAACATGGCATGGAGTTCCTTTAACATGATAGGAGCATTTGATTTGAAAGAACACAATTACGTACTTTGACATTGTATCTATCAGTAAGAGCAGTGACTCAGTGAAACCTGCTGCCACAGTGGGTGTCCTCGGTTTGAGGGTCACGTAGCGCCCAGTTGACTTGCTGAGCGTCTTTGTAATGAGTCGGTCACGCATTTCTTTAAACATTGACGCAATCATCTAAAAAAAAAAACAGTGCAATCATTTGAAATTGCCTGGTTAATTTAAGTTACAGCTATCCATAGTATGTGTGAAATACTTTTGCTTTAAATTTGAAATGACTTTGAAATAATTAAACTTGTTACAATCAATTTTTTTTTATAATCAAAGCCCTATATTAAACATGTACACAGAAGGAATTTTAGTTTATAATTTTAAAATGCACACATGTAGCCTTAAAAAAAAACCGGGGAAGACTGGACACTTGTTTATAAATAAACAAGGATTTCTTTAATAGACAGATCAAGGATTCCTATAAATCTCTAACATGGATCTTTATTGTTTTTTAACAATTGTGATCAGATTCCGTCCTCATTCGTGACAATATAAAACCTACCCTGTTTTTACTTTCACACAAAAGTTCGACGACATCACTCCTCAAGGTGTCCTTGTTCTTCTCCAGAAAATGATCCACCTGTAACAGTTCATGGATTAATATTATTTGTGAATTTTGAGCAGTATTGTACTGTTCTTTAAAACAGTCATACATGTGTTGGTCCCTCATGCTCAGTAACACGCCATCTTTCTCACTCAGCAATATCATATAAAACTCCTAACAAGCAGGATAAGATTTTTGAATAAGGTCATTCCAGTTCATCATATCAGCAAATTAAAACAGCAAATTGAGAATTAATCATAAAATTGAATCAGTGTGATTCCAGTCTAGAAATATTGTCCTGCAATGTTTAGTTCTAACACGTTTCACAGCTTTCTTACATTGTATTTGATTTTTCCAGCAAAGTGGATGACATAAAACTCGGGGACTGACATCCGTGGCTTGTCATACAGAGAATTACTGGAGTGATGGAAATGACATTTCTCCAGGAATGAAAGATCTGTAGCCTGTAATACACAAAATGTAATTGAAATATTTGATAAATTGTTTAACTTATAACACATCATTAATGCAGATAAATGTAATGCTATCAAAATCCTTTCAAACTTCTGTACAAAACAGGTTTGTCTGTGTCTGAAGGCAGTGTCAATGGATGATGCAGCCTCCAAACGGTTACTTTTTATTGTAAGGTGTCAAAGGGGAGATGACATTCTTTACTTGTGAAGTAACGCAGTGGAGGGAGGGAGGGGGGAGGGGAGGGGCACTTTGGTATCCATAAGTAGCGGAAATCTCAATATGTACATTATTTTCTCATTCAACCTGAAGAGGTCTACTCAACATTCAAATAATGTATATAATACTGATTTGTAATAAGTAAACCTGCATTGTACATAGTAACTTGTATACCTGAGGAAAACTGCACTCATCATCGAGGATGACTAGGATCCCAGCAGGTTTGCTGGCGAGGAGATCGATAACTGGCTGATTGTCCTGGAACTCTATAGACGACCAGTCAATGTTCTCTTTAGCATATTCCTTCTGTTCAAGACGGAAGATGTGCTGGTTGAAGAAAAACTGTAATGTCTCGTTTGCATAGTTGATACACAGCTGCTCGAAGCTGTTCACATGGAAGTCCTGCAAATAGAAGAGTCTTGTATCACCTTTGGGTGAGTGTGTTACGCAGTTTCTTACTGTCCCTTTATAGTTTCTTGCATCTGCATTAAAAGGGTTTAAAAGTCATTACTTCTGAGTTTTGGTATGGACCTTTAAATCATTTAAGTCACAATCCAATTAACAAGTTTTCATAAGAAAAAATTAAATTCAAATCTACCTCAAACCCGAAAATATCTAAAACAGCAATGGCTGATGTCTTTTCTCGCTCCGCTCGACAGATGATGAGGTTGACCCGTTGCACCAACCATGTAAACAGACGACTGTAGAGTGCTTTGGATATGGCATCCCTGTAAAACATCAGAACATAAACTGAATACATACCTCTGTATGTTCGTGTCAATTTTTTCCTTTTTATCATATTTATCCGAGTCTTATTTCTGTTAGTTGATATTTTTTTATCTTTTTAACCTGCATAAAATGTTTATCAAAATTATAATCAAATACAGAAACTGATGACTATTATTCAGATAATAGTCCAAATTATATAGATCAGAACATACCTTGAATCCAGCGCCTGATCTATGTTAAAAGGTGTTAGGACACGATCCCCGCGTGTTTCCTGAAAAATGAATTCAGTCGGTTTCAAATCTTGACTTTCATATACAGACAATTCTTGTAATTAACGATAACAGATATCAGAAAGTAATATGAGATTCTATTCATCAATAATATAAGATTCTGTTTATCAAATATCATTCATATTGTTTGCTAGCCCATGATTACACCATTTATCTTTTAGTCAGACATTAACAAATGGATAAATTATGACTTATTGTCCATCTTGTTGAGGTTATGGAAATGAATGTTTGTTGTTGTCTGGCTTAGTATGATTTTGGCAGCTAGGGATTGTTCTAACTTACATATAGACTTGATAACAGCGTGCTTGAACTGTACTTACTGTGACTTTGGTAGTGAGGGCTTGCTGGAGCCAGTCCTCTGACAATTGTAGGAGATGGGAGATCCATTTCAGTTCAGCGTCACTCCCAAGTAAAACAGTGTCATGTCCATTGTCATGCTATAAACAAGGAAAGATTTATTATGAATTATTACTATTACACACAAATCAAGAAAAACCAAAGTAAAAAAACTGAAGTATTGCAACACTAGATCCTCAACATATCAAGACTTCCATAACAAAATATTCTTAATCCTGCATGGTATTTACCAGGGGGACTACACAATACCCCACAGTCAAGTGAAGTACTCAATATCAAACACAGAAATATTACATATTACCAGAGTAGACCACTTTTGGTTCAAAGGTCATCAAAGGGTATTCAAACTTCTCTATATAAGCTGAATAATTTATGTGAATACTAATTTTCCAATGACATCTTCATGAAAGGAACAGTAGATACTTGTTGATACTTGTAAGAATGAGTGCACAAAATGTTTGAAGTTCTGATTATCCCTCCTTACCAATCATACAGAAAATAACCATCATGTTCGTGATTGTCAGTTAAGCCTTTATTGGCACTTAAATTCTAGGTAAAGATATTGAATGTATACATTTTTCTACTTAAATTCTGCATTAGCTTGTACTTAAAAAAATGAAAAATAAGGAGATATTCTACAAAATTTGCCATAATGTGACTCATTTTATTTACATTTATGTTTTTTTCCCAGAAGGCAACAGAGATCAGGATGGAATTTTCTGGTTAATAGATCAATTGTTTTTGGTTTTAGCTCTAAAGTAGGAAGACATCAACAAGGAACGCCCCTCTGTACATCATTTTACCTGTATTGCTTTGAAATAAATATTGCCTAGATGTAAGACACAGGACAGAATCTTGAAAATAGTCTCTTGTTCATGTCGCTCAAAGTTGAGAACTTCCATGGCAGTGCTGAGAGTTCGGTAATTTTCTGCATCATCACGTCCTGATATGCTGCAGTTTCCTCCCTGTGTATGAATAATAAAATGCAAAATGAAATTGTATAATCACACAACATTTGACATATTTAGAATAGTCTTGTAACTGTGTAATAGAAATTATAGACTGTGGTATTATTTGTAGGGTGATGGTGAAAATGAATGGTAATTTTAGGATGACTATTACTTTTAGAATTGCCTTTCTTGAACAGATTGTTCATACTAAAATTTTATCTCCTGAACCAACTGAATTGTACCATTCTTTTTGTAGAATTCCATGTCCATGAGTGAAGCATCCTGTACTGCCCATACCTATTTGGATAGCTGGGCAGACTACAACAATCTGGTCATAATTGAGTAGGTCACAACATCATTTTATCTTAAAAAGGAGTAAGGCAATTAAACTTTCTGGCAAGACATAAAAATCTTCCAGAGTGTTGTATTGTTATGTGAATAACATGCCTGAATGATGACATATGATAGAAGAAAACAGGAAATTTACCACCAGATGCTACCAGTCTATCATTATAGCCAGACTACCAGTCTATCATTATAGAAAGACAGACTACCAGTCTATCATTGTAGAGACAGACTACCAGTCTATCATTATAAATAGACAGACTACCAGCCTATCATTATAGACAGACTACCAGTCTATCCAGTACCAGTATCATTATAAATAGTCTATCATTGTACAGACTACCAGTCCATTGTATACAGTTATCATTGTAGACAGACTACCAGCCTATCATTATAGACAGACTACCAGTCTATCATTATAACTAGACAGACTACCAGTCTATCATTATAGACAGGCTACCAGCCTATCATTATAGCCAGATTACCTGCCTATCATTATAGATAGACAGACTACCAGTCTATCATTGTAGACAGACTACCAGTCTATCATTATAAATAGACAGACTACCAGTCTATCATTATAGCCAGACTACCAGTCTATCATTATAGACAGACTACCAGTCTATCATTATAGACAGACTACCAGTCTATCATTATAGACAGACTACCAGTCTATCATTATAGCCAGACTACCAGTCTATCATTATAGACAGACTACCAGTCTATCATTATAGACAGACTACCAGTCTATCATTGTAGACAGACTACCAGTCTATCATTATAAATAGACAGACTACCAGTCTATCATTGTAGACAGACTACCAGTCTATCATTGTAGACAGACTACCAGTCTATCATTGTAGACAGACTACCAGTCTATCATTATAGACAGACTACCAATCTATCATTCTAGACAGACTACCAGCCTATCATTCTAGACAGACTACCAGTCTATCATTATAGCCAGACTACTTGCCTATCATTATAGACAGACTACCAGTCTATCATTATAGACAGACTACCAGTCTATCATTATAGACAGACTACCAGTCTATCATTATAGACAGACTACCAGTCTATCATTATAGACAGACTACCAGTCTATCATTATAGACAGACTACCAGTCTATCATTATAGACAGACTACCAGTCTATCATTATAGACAGACTACCTGTCTATCATTATAGACAGACTACCAGTCTATCATTGTAGACAGACTACCAGTCTATCATTATAGACAGACTACCAGTCTATCATTATAGCCAGATTACCAGTCTATCATTATAAATAGACAGACTACCAGTCTATCATTATAGACAGACTACCAGTCTATCATTATAGACAGACTACCAGTCTATCATTGTAGACAGACTACCAGTCTATCATTGTAGACAGACTACCAGTCTATCATTATAGACAGACTACCAGTCTATCATTGTAGACAGACTACCAGTCTATCATTATAGACAGACTACCAATCTATCATTATAGCCAGATTACCAATCTATCATTATAAACAGACAGACTACCAGTCTATCATTATAGACAGACTACCAGTCTATCATTATAGCCAGACTACCAGTCTATCATTATAGACAGACTACCAGTCTATCATTATAGACAGACTACCAGTCTAAGTCTATGATTATAGATAGACTACCGGTCTATCATTATAAATAGCCAGACTACCAGTCTATCATTATAGACAGACTACCAGTCTATCATTATAGACAGACTACCAGTCTATCATTATAGACAGACTACCAGTCTATCATTATAGACAGACTACCAGTCTATCATTATAGACAGACTACCAGTCTATCATTATAGACAGACTACCAGTCTATCATTATAGACAGACTACCAGTCTATCATTATACACAGACTACCAGTCTATCATTATAAATAGACAGACTACCAGTCTATCATTATAGACAGACTACCAGTCTATCATTATAGACAGACTACCAGTCTATCATTATAGACAGACTACCAGTCTATCATTATAGACAGACTACCAGTCTATCATTATAGAAAGACTACCAGTCTATCATTATAGACAGACTACCAGTCTATCATTATAGACAGACTACCAGTCTATCATTATACACAGACTACCAGTCTATCATTATAGACAGACTACCAGTCTATCATTATACACAGACTACCAATCTATCATTATAGACAGACTACCAGCCTATCATTATAGACAGACTACCAGTCTATCATTATAGACAGACTACCAGTCTATCATTATACACAGACTACCAGTCTATCATTATAAACAGACAGGCTACCAGCCTATCATTATAGACAGACTACCAGCCTATCATTATAGACAGACTACCAGTCTATCATTATAGACAGACTACCAGTCTATCATTATAGACAGACTACCAGCCTATCATTATAGACAGACTACCAGCCTAAGGCTATAATCATAGATAGACGGACTACCAGTTTTTGGTTTGAGCATTCAAGATCTATTCATTCAATTATTTATATTGTTTTTATCGTGTTTCACTGCCCCGATTTCATGCTTAATGAATTAGAATTATTCAAATTTAATATCTGCTGTGACTGTCAAATCTATTTCTGGGTTTCATTCAGGCAATAAAAACTGATGTTGATTTCCCAATCGACTACCTGTTGTCCAGAATCCTGATTAATCATTAATCAATAACGACAGACTAGGTGAGGTGTTCCAGACTTCGCCATATGAGTATATAAGGTTGTACTGTATTATCTTGACTACAACTTTTTAATGGGTATTCTATCATGTACAGGTTATGATGTTTGTTTATTCCAGAGCTTATCATATGCTAATATAAACATGGCTGACTTTCCTAGAGACTTCAATTACGTGTGTCTTGAAACGTTCATATTTTGTAAATTTATTAATTTTAGTTGAAGCACAGGTAAACTGATTTTCCTGATAAACATCATTTAAAATGTCTCAATAACTCAATGGAATTAATCAGTATACCTGGAATCTTAAATCGTATATTTTTAAAATCTTCATTTAAATATCGATTTTTGAGTCGGTACATAAATTGTCTTGTGGACTTCTATTCTACCACCAAGCTGTAAAACGGAGTATCCCATCCTATGAGGAAGGTAACATTTGACAGCCTGTTGCACTATTTATGAGAATTAATGGAGAGGCCCTTAGATTTTTCGATTCTGTTGCACAGTATGATTATACTTCACAATACTGACTAGTAAATCATGTTTAAAAAGAAAGCTTTGTAAGCTCAAAATATTTGTGATTCTCAAACAGATTTCAGGTGTGTTCAAGTTCCATATCCACAGGTGACTTACCTGGTTAAGGTAAAAGTACGTGCTGGCAGCCTGGAGTCCATACTTCCCTTTCTGCTCTTCAGAAAATCCAGACAACATCTCGTAAAATACATGGTAGTTTCTTTCTTCTGCCGCCTAAACAAACAATTTTTGCTAGATTTATTTATAGAAGGTAATAAATTTTATTAAATCTTTCCAACATGATACAAAAGGTGTTTATTTCTTATTACAATTTTTGTCTCCACATGACATTTTTTTTGACAGCAGCTAATCAGGAGTATAGAGTGTACTAATTATCATGATTTCTATTTTAATGACTATAAACCTTGAACTGTATACTGACAAAAAAAAACTGCATGTTTCTGCAACAGCCAAAAAAACGTATTAAAATCCAGTAATTTTCACTATACAAACCTGAGTTACGAGGCGAGATTTCTCCAGTAAGTATTCTGATGTACGTGCCCCTACTATGGACCCCCTAGATAACAAAACATATAAATAAAAATAAGCCATTTCTTTCATTTAATATTAATTATTACATAATACACAAAAATATTAAAAGAAATCTTGGGTATAAAAACTGAAAGTGTCATTCATTGTTCATTAACTTCAATATCAGAATAAGGATCGACTTACGCTTTAAAGTATACTTCAATATATTTTCCAAATCTGCTAGAGTTGTCATTTCGGATGGTTTTGGCATTGCCGAAGGACTCGAGAAGTGGGTTCGCTTCGAGGATTTGTTCAGTGATCAGATCGTTGCCAGATTTATTTACAGCAGCCAAATATTGCATCACCAGTTTAGTGGCTTCTGTTTTACCGGCTCCACTCTCACCACTGAAAGTAGGTCACAAACTCTTAAAAGTAGGTCACAGGATTCAATTTGGGTCATAGTATCATTAATTTTTTGTTAAAGAAAGCATGAATTAGGTCATAGAATACGACTGAAGTCCTTAAATGAAACCAAGACAAATACAGGAGTATGCTCTTAGCAATAAGTAGACAAGGTGAAGGTCAAATAAAATAAGTTTACATGTACAAGTTAATAAAAGAGGAAGTTGTATATCAGGTCAAGGTCGTACAATAACAGGACTAGCCCTGAAAAAAGTTGAGAAACCTCACTAGAAATTTGTATCATATATGTGTCTCTTTAAAATATTAACTGATTTATTCAAATTCTGTATGTCATAGTACTGACAGTAATTAAGTTACAGCAGTACAAGTCTATCCACTTTTTTTTGTATCACAGATGAAGGTCACACCTTGTGTTAAGAATTTGTCACTTGTTAATTTAACTAGTGATACACATGAATTCCATGCATTGATTATGTGGCTTATCCTAATCTGAATGTAATCTGCACTAAGCACTTTACAGTATGGTATTTTCAGTTTGTTTTTAGACATGTGTGGTTTATTTTTTTAATCTCTAGAAAAATTAAACTTATCAGAAAGATTGTCTGCTAGTCCTTGTGACTCCTGCTACCAACACTTGTCTAGATTGAATAAAGATATGAAGGACATATCATGGTATAAATTTTTTTTTAAAAATTACTGATAACTATGACACAGTTATTTTCACAGGAATGTTATTTTCACTACTTCTCTGTACATAAACATTTTCATAAAAATTTTAACCTTGACTTACTAAGACATGCATGTATTAGAAGTTCTTTTGCATCCAGGTTGCCAAATCTGAATTTGTAAAAATATAATTTGAACTTTCAAAAATAAAGTCCCTGAAATTTTGACCTGTGAAACTGACCAATTACTGCATCTATCTGACAATAAACCCACCAACATCTTTTACAATGTCAGCAGAAAAGCAAACAAATATTATATTAACATCCGAATCTTTCAAGCCCACCTGTCTATCTTGAATCAGAGTGACCTTTTGACCCCAAACACTCCCCCTCCCAACCAAGGCTGAATTACAGGATGATCATGTCACCATCTTCAGCTATACCTGACCAAATACCAACAATAATTGGACCATTGTCTCTGTACCTGGTTTCTTTAACACACCTGTGCCAGGTAAACTACCAAATATTGATTAAAACATTACAGACCTCTCCACTCCTTGTCCTAACATCAGACGACCAGATGTAATAAACCCAGTATCCAGACCAAACCTAGATTTTCCTATCTATTGATTATTTATAATAAACAGTCCTCTTCTCTCTTTATATATATTCCCACTTTACTCTTTAAGTTCTGATCCATTCAATATCACTGAAACACACTTCAAAGGCTTTCAAATGTAGAGATAGGCGAAAGATTTTTTTTAAAGAAAAAAAATTGCTATTAGCTTGCCATAATGTTTGTAGTAATTTCTACACAGGCATAATGTTGAAGGAACAACAATTAGCCTGTACCAGCACTTCTGTTTAGAGTATGCAGAAAAAGAACTTACATTCTGTCAATTCATCCAGAATACATACAATGGCAACTGTTTTGTAATAGGAAACTGGGGTACCTTTTAAAGCATTTCACATTAATTATTCAAAACGGTTTGTTTTTATGATCCTCTGCTTTGTACAGTGATCTGTTTTTAAAGGGGCTATGTACTGCACAGGATCCAATTGATATAATACAAATAACATTTTGAAAATCAACTGAGGAAGATGCTATTGACCAAAACTATAATTCATTGATAAAATATCCTAAAGTATCCTAGTTCTTGAATTCTTCTTTTACAGATATTTCAAAATAAAACTCTTGTAATTAAAAAGAATTGAATTTTAAGTGGGGCATAGTGATATTTCAGATTGTACCTCACCAGTCCCTATCTTACTACAACTATTGCCATGTTTTCTAACAGAAAGTGTCAACAAACTCTCTCAGATAAATCATTATATCTAAAGTATAGTCAACTTTACATAACAATTATAAAGTTTTAAAACTTATATGTATAATGTAAGTTTTGACTCTTAAATTTTTTCCCCATATATTTGACATTTACAAGAAAACAAACAGAAACAAGAAATTTATAAAGATAATTTGAAACAGATGGTTAAATTCTACATGTATTTGTTATTACAGGTTGACAATGCTCATTCTACAGCCAGCTACACACCCAAATTATCTTAGACCTCTATTTTATCCTAACCGTATTTAATTCTTAATCAAATTTACAACAATGTGAACATCAGTTTAAAAATCATTTAACATAAATTATCTTGGAAACATAATACCTACCTTATCAAATATTGACACGGATCATTCTAAACCTTATTTATATTGTCACGAGTAGAACTCAACAGCTTATATTTTACTTTTTTATTTTTATATAGGAACATTTCTATTGATAAGCCCATCACTATCTATTGCAGTTTCATCCCAGATGTTCCACCTCCGTCCTGTCATGAGCCAGGTGATGAATGCAGGAAAATTAAGGGGGGGTTCCGGATGGGCTTGGGGGATTGTAATTGTAATGGTGAGGTGTTTTTATGAATTATCTGACTCAAAAGTCACAGGGTGGGCTTATAACAGGACCTCAGGAAGTCATCACATTACCTCTGGTTCAAAGTCAGGGGGCTTATTCAGGATGATAAAAAATTACTTGTTGGTAATATTACAAAACAATAGGTATCAATGGGCTTCTTGACAGATAAATACAAGCCTTTCAGTTTCTCTCTCCTATACATTACAACATGTCACCTTTCAGTTTCTCTCTCCTATACATTTCAACATATATCACCTTTCAGTTTGTCTCTCCTATACATTTCAACATATATCACCTTTCAGTTTTTCTCTCCAATACATTACAACATATATCACCTTTCAGTTTGTCTCTCCTATACATTACAACATATATCACCTTTCAGTTTGTCTCTCCTATACATTACAACATATATCACCTTTCAGTTTGTCTCTCCTATACATTACAACATATATCACCTTTCAGTTTTCTCTCCTATACATTACAACATATATCACCTTTCAGTTTTCTCTCCTATACATTACAACATATATCACCTTTCAGTTTGTCTCTCCTATACATTACAACATATATCACCTTTCAGTTTCTCTTTCCTATACATTACAACATATATCACCTTTCAGTTTGTCTCTCCTATACATTTCAACATATGTCACCTTTCAGTTTCTCTTTCCTATACATTACAACATATATCACCTTTCAGTTTGTCTCTCCTATACATTACAACATATATCACCTTTCAGTTTGTCTCTCCTATACATTACAAAATATATCACCTTTCAGTTTGTCTCTCCTATACATTTCAACATATATCACCTTTCAGTTTCTCTCTCCTATACATTACAAAATATATCACCTTTCCGTTTCTCTCTCCCATACAGCACAACATATATCACCTTTCAGTTTCTCTCTCCTATACATTACAACATATATCACCTTTCAGTTTCTCTCTCCTGTACAGCACAACATATATCACCTTTCAGTTTGTCTCTCCTATACATTACAACATATATCACCTTTCAGTTTGTCTTTCCTATACATTACAACATATATCACCTTTCAGTTTGTCTCTCCTGTACAGCACAACATATATCACCTTTTAGTTTCTCTTTCCTATACATTTCAACATATATCACCTTTCAGTTTTTCTCTCCTATACATTTCTAAATAACTTTTGTAAGCAATTAATGAACAATGAACTAAATATAATAATTTTGTGTTAATTTTCAGGAACTTATATTAAAATTGTTCACTTCACATAAAAATTTGATTTATTTTAAATTCATCAACAAAAATTTTGATAAGTTTTAAACTTTATTTAAAAGAATGTGATTTAAAAGTTTAAATGTATAAATCTAAACGCAGGTTTATATTTCCTTTAACACTTTACCATCGTTCCTGAACCAGAACACCTGCATAATGAAATAGCAAACATGAATTGAGGTTCATGGAGTTCAAGGTAAGGGCAAGACTCGTGTGATTTCGCAACTACCGCATACGTAAAATTACCCCGTGCCATTTGAGTATGCAATGAAAATCAACCATACATCAAGAACAACCCACTCCTTGCCACCTCAAAGACACGGGCCACGTGTTGTTCACCCAACAGTAATTACATAAATGTACAATGTAAGATGATAATCCCAGACCTGGCTTTGACATATACAATATAACATATCTCAAGCAAAGATTTCTGGACAAACTTTACTGTGAACAGGGCTGTTGATCTGCCAGATTTGGGGCCGAATATTCCCAATGCAAAATAGCATTTTTTTCCCAATTTAGACCCCAAGTTTTCCCAATTCTAAGGAAAACACCATTATTTTTCCCAATTCTAAGGGCCCCCGGCTCCAGTTCCAAAATGGGGTGCGAGAGCCCGGGTGAATAATGTTTACCTTCTTGATAAATATAACCAAACTTGTCAATGAAGACCAGTCAAGTAAAAAAGAAAAAGAAAACCTACCCCCTATAGACAGGGTGCCTCTATATAGAAGTTCAATTGTTATGAATAATTGTATTCCACTGGGATGTAAAACCAGTGACCTTTATAGAAAGGTATTTGTTTTATATACAGCAGGTGCTTATTACATATAAAGGTGACCTTGATAGACAAGTATTTATCTTCAGATTGCGGCCTTTAAAGCCAGGTATCTATTGCATAAAGGTGACCATAACCACTACCAGTCTGTTTTGACTATAGCTAAAAAAATAGCTTGAAATGAAATGATGTAAAAACAATTATTTTTCTCAGACACGACCTAGTCTTTTAACAATTTACCTTTAAAATTTGTTGAGGTTGGGTGCAGACAGAAAACTTGATATTTGTGGGTTAAATATAACTGGAAAATAAATTTACCTGGAAATCTGATCTTCTTTCATTTAAACAGAGCTGAGGTCACAAGTTTTCTACCAGTTTCTGAGGATTTATATATATATATATATACTACTTAAATTCCTTTGTACATGTTGTGGATAGTTTTACTAGAGAAACTGGCCTTATTGGATAACACCAACTTTTAACTTGTAAAAAAAAGTTGTTCATAAAAATATGAAGGCCTGGAATTCTGTCAACACTAATGTTGCTCTCCTTACGATATGACAGTCTTCCAAGTCCAAGTGAGAGTAAATTGTCTAACCACTGAAGTAGTATTACTGTAGTGATACTGACAAAAGTATTTTAGTCGAAAGTCAAACGATCAAACCTTAAACAGATATCTAGGTCATAGATGCAGCCATGTTGGCTTTATTAGATTGAGAATACACAAGAGGACTTCACCATGATAACTGATATCTAAGGCCCGTCTTACATTTCACTGTCTGGAACCTGGCAGGGAAGTTTTGGGGTCTGGTTGATGAAAATGTTTATTGGAATGGAAATCCAAAGAGCTGTCAAATCTTTATGTTACAAAATAAAAAAGGAAGATCATGTAAATTTCTGATTTATGATTAAAATAATAATCATCTGAGAACAGTTATCAGTTCCTCATCTGAAGCATGTCATTAAGATAAAGAATTTCTCAACAAGGGTGTGGGAAACTTTATTATTTTCATTTCTGTCATCGGAAATCTACCTTATTACAATGACTTGGTTCTCCTTTTCCTTCAGCATCCGGGCATAAGACACACTCCCAATAGCAAACAGGTGACTGGAAATGAACAAAAACAGAAGCTGTATAGAGTCAACATTATACTTGTACTGTATATTTAGAATTCAATAGAGGGCCCTATGGGGAATGTCGAAACACAAACATGGCACAAATACAAAATAGCCTTATTTAAGCCAGACTAGATAATTAACAAAAGTTGACATATCCATTGACAAATTCTTGGGACAATGGAGTTTAAATACCCCGACAGAATCAACGGGGGTCACAAGATTATTGAAAAGCTTTGGATATACAATGTACATAATATATATAGGCTGTGTTTATTGTGCTGTGTCACTGAAAAATCAGGTGTCTATGGACAACATCCTCCTTAGTCCATAATCCACAGTAACAAGAGTGTTAGCTAAACCAAACAATGCAGGTCCTGGGCAGCTCATATGAATACATTTTTCCTGCTCTAGGGAGGATATTTTCTATCATAGACACTGCTAGGTTAATCTACAAGCTGAATTATTCATCATATTTCTTTGTTGAACTGACGGGTACCTGAAAGGTGGCATGCATAAAAAAGTTGATGTAGAGCCTTAGAGATCTATATGACCTATATATCAAGTGAGCATGTAGACATAAAACTGACCTGAATTCTTATTAAGAGATCAAGTCTGTAAAATAGCCATGGTGTTTTCGACACAGTTCAGTTACTTGTTTACATTTGTAAGAAAGCTAATAACATCCCATTTACAATTATAAGATTTGATCCATGATAAGACCATGCCCAGTAATAAGCCCAGTCTATTATCATGTTGACATAAATCTTTTCAATGACCTGAATTTTTATTAAGAGATCAAGTCTGTACAATATATAGCCACAGTGGTTTTGACACAGTTCAGTTACTTGTTTACGTTTGTAAGAAAGCTAATAACATCCCATTTACAATTACAAGATTTGACCCACAATATGACCAGTAATAAGCCCAGTAATAAGCCCAGTCTATTATTATTCTTTACAGATAATGTTCATATTTTTACCATGGTGCAGCAATATTTCCCTAATTTTGAATCAACAAGACACCAGTAAATCACTGCATCAATTTAAGCTTAAAAGCATACAAAATTCAACGCTTTAGATATTAGCATATTATGTTAATCAGTTTTGCTTTTAAAGTCATAAACTTTTAAACAAGAGATAAACTTTAAAACTTATTTTATATTAATTAGCATATTATTGTCAGGTTTTTATTCGAAACAGGACAAACAGGAATTATATGTTGTTTATGAATCCTGTTTTTCTTCAAAGTAAATCATTTCTGATTTGTTGTTGTATATCTGCCATTTTTTCTGCACAGGGCACTTTGCAAAAACAATGATTAAGATATCAACATGGTTTCTGAAGGTCAATAACAACATTTGCTGGTCCAATTAGAAAATGTAATAAAGACATTATTCAGCACTGTAACTCTTTCCTAGTTTTAGTAACATAGTTTGATAAATCAAATGATAATGGTGACTTTAACATTGATATCCTGAAACTATCTGATGTGTTCTCATACTTGAACTTTAAGCTGCTATTTATCGAAATTCCTTACCCCAACCCCCACCCCATGAATGGGACAGAGGAAAAGATGGGACAAAAAGGTAAGGTTGTAAAAACCAATGTGTGGACAACTTACGGGGGTAAGCTACCAAGTGGCTGTCCCTCATACTTCTTGACTACGTCACGGCCATAGATGTTAAACATCTTGTAGGGATTGACAGACGCCAGGATGCTGCCAACAAACGTCTGTCAAGACAAGAAAAATTCTTCTGTTTAATAAACAATATTGTAATATTACTACAATTTGCTAATAAAGAAGATAAATTTGAAAGTACTTGGTATATTCTGATTAAGTTTAAGATATATATTTAATCATATCTTTATTCATTTGTTTTTTGTTGGGACAGAAATTGACATATAACGCTATACTTGAACTCTAAATTGGTATATAAAACTGCACAAAGTAGATGAGCGATAAAGAACGTTACATGGAGTGGAACTCATGCCTCACTATCTTAAGATCTGATATTTAAACCCGGAAGAAAAAATACAACCTAAAAATATACAATGAAAGGATTAAAGCATGACAAAATTACTGCACACTCCAGACAGTTCCATTTCAAGCCTGATGGTGACTTTTCAAACAGCAGACTGAATTATGAAGACACTTGATATGCACTCGGGAACCACTTTTGTTGAGACAGTTTTAGATAAGGAAATAAACATGCATTTCAAATTATCTTAATCTTTTCAATCTGAAGTAAATGATATTTCCCTTTTTTTTCCCCTTCAGTGCAATCCAAACAGAAGACTTTTAAACATTTCACAAGTCCAAATCGTCACACCACCATGACAAGATATTGTGTAATTCTGTTTACTCTCACAGGTTCTTGACGACAAATTCTATTTTCACTTGCAAAAATTCTTTTCATAAATTCATGTGACTTTTTTTAAATGTGATCATATGTACAACAGAATTCAATAATTTGGTAAGAATTTTAATTTTTTTTTTAACTGAAAATTAAAAATCTATTTGCATTGTATTTTAATTCTATGCCTCTGCTGAAAAAAAGAGATAAAAATAAGCCTATCATGATAATGGAAGTGGGGTTTCAATGAAAACAAATTCCAGGAATATGTGCAACACATTGTCTGGCCTTGAAGATCCCGATTTTTAAAACAGATCCATATTTTGTGCTTTAATGGGCAGTTTGTTACAACTCTAAGCAGAAGACGTCCACCCAAGCCAGGTGCGACATCTGTTTCCATAATCGTTTTATTTGGATTTTTCTTTATTAAGAAAATTACTGGTCATGACTTCACACTGATGGGATGTCATCATTTATTGAATACAATCAATGGATTTCCACTCCGCATATGTAGTTGAGCAATACCTATCCCAGTAAACATCAGTATAAAGCCACATCTTGCATAAACAACAATGAAATGTTTGCCGTGGGCCATTTTGAAAAATATACAAGCATCTTTATCTGAATGATAATGACTTACATATATACGTTCTCTTTCATATCTGGCCTGGAGGTTATGGAGAATTGTGCTCTCATCCAGAACACTGTTAAAAGAAAGTAAAGCATCTTAGGCAATTCATAAATACGGTAAAATACTTTAAGTTTTGCCAACCACTCCATAACATGCTGGTATTTGTTATGTTATTCTCAGTTCCATACATAACAATTGGATACAAACTCAAATATTTCGAAAATCTTTGTTTTAGTAAAAAATATTAATCAACCGTATGCCTTCATTACCATATGTTAGTACATAAAATTTTAAAAATTTATAAAACGCCTACAAGACATGAATGACTTTGTTCCTATGAATTTAATTAATTTGTTACACTAATTTCTAGGTGATTTTTTTATGTATGATGACAATGACTTCAACATTGTGAAACACAAACACAAACTTATTAAATGTATCCTTATGATTTGTCATCACATAAACTTTTACCTAATCTCAGAAAACAATACCAGAGCAATTATAGAAAAGACATCATGGTTACATGTACCTAAATGCTTCCAAACCACACATTATTTCTATCAAAATTTAGACACATTTACCACAGTATAGAAACACATAAAACATTGAGCAGTAGGAATCATGATACCTTCTCATTGATTTGGCTGTAAAATGAAAGATTTTGTGTAACTGAATGCTGTAAACTGATAATAATTCTATATCAAACAAGATTTTCCATTTCCTGTAACAGTTAGTGTTTGTGTATTCAAAATGCATTCACTTAAAGCCCTCAAAGAAATCCCATTTACTACCCTACGTTTCATTCATGTTGCCCGATAAAACTTGTAAAGATCCAATTTGTTATGACCAGACTAAATAAAGAAATACATAAACTCTACGTAAACAATCTATTCGTCCTTATTTGGTCATAGGTCAATATAGTTATACAAAATAATATGCGATTTATGTAAATACTGTTGCCTAAAAGGAAGTATGCAAGCTATTTTATTTACTGAGGTACAGATCCTCTATTGATAATTGTAGGAAATCACCCAGAGTGTGAAAATTTGATAAAAAGTTTCTCACTTTGTATGTGTCTTTTCAAAGGAAATGATTACATAAAATATTTAGACCAGGTTTTGAAATTTTTGCATGGTGCATAGAATTACTTTTTGAAATTCATTATAAATCATGGAATTCAATTTGATTTCTTTTCTAACAAAGGTACATATTTCACAATGATTGGAATGCTCCAGAACCCATTATATAATGATACATTACATGATAGAAAGGGATTTAAAGCTGATCCCTGTTAAGTACTGTCAATGTGTAATGATCAACCAAACCTACACTATACACTGGAAAGACGTACAGAAAAGATGAAGGCCTCTGTCACCTTATGTATAAAGACTTTAACAATCCAAACCAAGATGTAGAAAACTTTTCCAGGCATGTCAATCAGATGTGAAAGTATACTAGTCAACCTACATATTGACAACTCAACAATCAGATGTGAATGTACATTAGCCAACCTACATATTGACAACTCAACGATCAGATGTGAAAGTACATTAGCCAACCTACATATTGACAACTCAACGATCAGATGTGAATGTGCATTAGCCAACCTACATATCGACAACTCAACGATCAGATGTGAATGTACATTAGCCAACCTACATATTGACAACTCAACAAACAGAAACGTCACAGTCAGAACACAAAAATGGCTACACATGTGTCTTTAGAATTGTCCAGCAATTGTCTGTTGAATGTTTTGACACAAAAACAGAATTGTTATTGAAATTATAATTCCAATAGACAAGGTCATTATGAAAAAAACATTTACCACTATTAAAGTCTGTAAAGAGCAATAGTCTCCAAGATTTCATGTAAAAATCAAAATACGATTTACTTTCTCTAATAATTTGGCTCATTAACGGTCAATGAACCAAGCATATTATAAAATTTCAAAAAGAAAAATTAAGATAGATATATCTTAATGTTGAAACAGTCTTTGTGAACACATTTTAAATGATAAAGATTTTTTGGTCATCAAGATCTGTGCACAAGCCTGCATTTTTTTTATTTATTTATTTACAATGAAAAAATCAGGGTTGGGATCTTACTAAGGCAAGCATGGTAATATCTTGGCCACACCTGGGTGTGTTCACATCAATTACTTAAATGTTCACTATATCTAAACAGAAACAAAATTACAAGACACATTATCTTTGAATGATAATTTGAAAAAATAAAAATACTGAATTTGCTTTATCACAATGTGATCTATAAGAAACACAAAACAAAAAAACAATTAACATAGACACAATGAAAATGAAAAAGAAAAACATCTTTTTGTTAAAATTTCTTTGACTAACTTTCAAATATTGTTGACGTCAAACAAAGACTAGTATTTTTCAGCTTGTAATTAGATAGGTATGCTAATTGTCAAAACAATTGTGTACACCTGGAATATGGTGGACTCTCATATCTGGGACCAGAAAGACATTGAGCAATAGATTAATTCAGGTCAATGCAACTGCTTTGCTTTGCTTCAGTTTCATTTCTAAATTTCATATTGGGAACATCTGACATTTGCTCATTTCCATGATGCATTTCTTTATCTCAATGTATTTATAACCAGGAAACACTGATCATAAATTCTAACATCTAGTGCATTTTTTTAAAACAAGTTAAATCTGGTATCTGCTGCAATCTAAATCCAGAATTCAAATCTGTATTATTAGCTGATTTTAGCTGCATGGTAATTTTGATATTGATGCAGTCCATATGTATTCATTATAAAGGACTACTACCAGAATCATTCATGGTCCAAACCCTGGACCACAGTATTGTCTGTTTCTAGACTACTATCGGTTATGTTTCTTTCATCAATTTTTCAGGCAGCATGCATCTGATATGAAATTTAGATTTCAGTCCTGTATGAATTTCTTTCAATGTACTTCAACACATTTCAAATCTTTGCAAGTTCTGATGAAGGACACGTTTACACCTGGTATTACACTTATGTGACGGAAATCAAAACAAGGCCTTTACCTATTTCGTTTTTTGGAATCATTAAGATGACAGATTCCCTGGTGTCTTGGGTCGCTGGTGTCTAAATGATTATGTACGAGCCAGACATGTACTTAAAACTGTCAACACAAGGTTTCATTTGCTTTGCTGATATATGAAGATACCTACTTGACTTAAAATGATAAATATTTAAAACATGTGACAATTTATGTACGGGAGATGTTTCAAAAAAACTTTATGCCTTATCTCTGTCTGCATGATGAACTGTTCCTTCATTTCAAAAATTTATTAGTGAAAAGACCATGCATAGAATATAAATTGTGTACCATAACCATAACACTGAGGACATGTCAGAACTATATTCTTCTAATATCAGTTTTTTTGTGTATTTAAACAAGCACTTCCTAGACATTAACCTGAATCATTTTAATAAAGTATGCAGCCATTGGTCACTCTATCAATCCAATGTCCTTGGTCAATTGCTGGAGATCATAAACCAGATGAACTGAAGGACTGACACAACTGATAACGCCTTTATACTCCTATAAAGTCACACCTATATAACAGTACATTACCTAAAAAGTCACACCTATATAACAGTATATTACCTACAAAGTCACACCTATATAACAGTACATTACCTACAAAGTCACACCTATATAACAGTACATTACCTACAAAGTCACACCTATATAACAGTACATTACCTACAAAGTCACACC